CAAGGGGAAATTTCAGAGCCTGAAAAACCGCTACGGCCGCCCCCAAACCAAGGCCCCAGATAATCCAAGAACCCTTGCTTCGAATCGCTGCTTTCGGAAGATTGCAGTACATACGCACACGACAGGGACGCACGCAAGACGGGCACACTGCGGAGGCTGCGTCAATGGCACGGAATGATACGAGAGGGGCGTATCCGCGACTGGTGGCCACGGCTCTGGGTGAAGGCTACCCTTAACGATTGACAATACTTCAACTCGAAGTGCACAGACAGATACCACCGAGTCCTGCGGGCACCACGAAGATGCTGCCAGAAAGTGGCATAGAAACACAAGCGGTCCAAACCCCAGGATTCTCAGCTAGGCCACCATCGCCATGACCCATCATCGGTCACCGAGTTTCTTGTCGATCCGTCTGGTTGCACTCAAATGCCTACATGGAGCCGATTACAACCCCATCCGCCGGAAGACATGCAGGGCGCGAACTGTATCTTCGGGAACCAAGCCGACAGCTCTGGAGTGCACCCTCGCGTCCGCCCCAAGGGCGAGATATGGTGCAAGCCCTTGTAATTCGACATTGACTTGTCGACTTACCGTGCTCTACACGTTTTTGGCAGAGACATCCAATGTCACCAATGTACGGGCCCGAGGCTACTGTCATGCCAATTTCCATCGGCAGTCGGCATGTAATTCCAGGACCAAGATCGGCTCCTTCATCATTCGACATTGCCGCATCTACCATCGCCTGCTAATCCCTCAGGTGATGCAGCTCTCACAAGAATAGCATGCGCTAACTCCCAGCCAACGAGAGCCTCACCGCTCTTAGCCCTTCTCCCCGCAACTGGATCACGATTCTCAAACCTAGCGGGGAACATTCACTCCAGCTTATCGGTCAGGAGACCACCATCTCTTATCGGATGACCGAGAGCGGTGTCGCAGCAAGATCGATCTGTCTACTCTACATACGCTGAATACGGACTCTGCCGTCTAAATTGAAGCTGGCCTGATCATGTCACAGAGAAATAGTCCTGCTGGGTGCCGTACCATGGCATAATTGTCGTCTCGGAGGACATGCTAAACCAGTGTGGTGCCGCCCGCGTTCGTCATGCAACAACAGCACCTCGGATTTAGTTATTGGCGCCCGAGATATCTAATCCCAATACCAATGCCCCCTTGACTTTCCCTCCTTAAAACAGTAAAGCATATGGATATCCAGCAAGGGGCGGCAACAGGGGGTTCTCCCTGTGCCCTCCACTCTCTCCCTTGCGATGCACAAAGAGGAGGCATAGGCCTGCAATGCAACCGCCCATCGTGGATTGGATCTCACCTCAGGCTTGCCTCTTCTCAGTTGTGCACGTGTGCTAGGCGCACCTAGAGCAGTGAGTTGTAGTGTCAGATAGGGTCAAACGCCACCAAAGCCATTAGACGGCTCCCACGTCACTCGTGGCGCCAGGCCAACTCGCATCATTCAAAGAACCAACAACAAGGCACAAACAGCTTCCGGGTTCAAAGCCACAGTGTCCAGCAATCCGAGCAAATTAGCCAGCGCTTCCCAGCTTAGGCGTCTCCTCACCGTGTTTTTTGGACCGTCCGTAAGGTCAAAATCCGGATTGTGCTCACTGCCTGACCGAAGCTCACGACTCAGACGTCCGAACCGTTTACCCCTGTCCAGCCAACTGTCTCGGAGTTGGGCAGCAACCCCTACGCAACGATCCCTAGTCTGCGGCATGACGGGGAGCTGGATTCCGTGCATGCTGTGGAATGAAGCGCTTGCTCCCGCGACGCCCTGTCTCCTGGCTCGGCTGGGACGTACGAATTCACAATGATTGCAATGGCCATGGATATGACAGAAACACAGATTCGGGCTTCGCTCCCAAAGACGGCCGTGCGGCTCGAGATGATTCTCAGCGAAACGCAATGCGGGAAGCATCTCGCTAGGCACCTTGGGAGGCGTCCAGCGTGTTTCCTTGTCTGGCAATCGTCGGTCCCCCACTTTGCTACAAAGAGCGAGCTCCGACTGACTGTTCGGTGGCGGTGGGTACGAATAATCGTGTTTTGTGAGCTTGCTCGCTTGAAGCATGATGGTCGGCATAAACGAGGCAACGAGTTCGCCTCCAGAAGGGATGAAAATGCCTCTCCCCATATCTGTAGAGCTGACAGTACTGAGTAAGCCTGCTTGCTTCATACGCTGGAGGGGCAGCTTTAGTAACATGCAGAAGTACTGGCGCACTCTATCAAAAAGTTCGAGAAGCGGCATATGGCTGGTCACGGTATTCTGGAAGCTCACCGCCGCTGGCAGCGCTACACTACGCCTTGGCTTCATTTGATACAAGGGCATCGCACGTCCGTCTCGAACCGTGGAACGCAGACTGCAGGTCTTTCAAGCTGTCCCCGTAGCAGCGGTTCAGGAATGCCACTCGTTCTCCCACAAGCCAACGGTCATTGCTTCCGCTTTGTCTTTCGGCCACTTGAGACGATGGAGATGCTCAAGCTACCAAAGTCTATTCCGCGCTCGGCCGGATGACCGACATCTCTTCTACTCTTCCGAAAGCCTGCCATTCCAGCTGGCGCAACATTAAATATGTAGTCCCGAGATTAGCAACGCCGAGGCAACCAAACTTTGCAAACAGGTGCAGAGTTGTGGCGCCCCAAATCTGGCATGCCAATGTCGGCATCCAACGTCATTTGGAGCGAGAAGAACTTGATTTCGTAGCCAGTCACCCAAATTTCGATTCTTAACGAGTTCTGGACGAAACCATTCAATGCGTGCTATTCAGGGAGTCTCCGGTGGTTCACCCAACGACAGGCGAACGGTTGCCGATGCTTCCAGGACCCCCGCAAAGCCAAGCAATCCAGAGCTTACCCAAGGAGTGCAGCACCTATCAACCCAGAGGCCGATGAGCTTCTGGCCACTGCCGATCTCCTTCGGGTTTCCCGCCTCGGCCAATCCACCCGCACCTCAGACGGCACGGATAGGCCCTCCATCACATCACCGCCCTGCAGTTGCCTGGCCTGCCCCCTGGTTCCAATGAGCTTCCGGGAGGTGCTTGGCGCGGTACACACCGAGTATCTGCGCGTTGCCTGATCTTGCCTGCTTCAAGGCATTCGACTGGGACGCTAAGGTCACAAGATCTCGACGGCTGCATGTCATGGAACTTTATGGCAGGATAAGTGTCTGACCTGGCACGGCAGGCTTACCTGAAGACGGTATGCAAAATTGGTTGGTGAGGCAGAAGCGGAGGGGACGACCGTTCGACCGATCTTGAACTGACCTCAGACATCGGCGGTTGGCGCGCTCAGGGACGATAATCGAACACTTTCAACCGTGCCATTTGGGTTCGAGATGTGTCGTAATAACGGCCCCGAATAGGCCACTTTGGACTCCCTTCAGTTCCGAATTTTCATTGGCGAGTCTTCGACGCCAGCAAACTCGGTCTACCCATGTCGAGCGTTGAGGCCTTGAAACCGCACCGGACCATCCCACATTATGCTCCGGGCCGCGAACCAAAGCCATAAATGAACTCTGCCGCCCTTTGTCCGGATCGCCGGTAGAATGGAGCTAGAGAGCCCGGCTGGGGGTCCTGGTTCGTCTTGTAACTATGTACTGGTTATATGTGCTTCCTCAACGTTGAGTCTCTGCTGCCTATCTGTTATCTGGCGCACATTTTGCCTCGTCAATCCTGGATGCTGTGCTTGGGTAACAAGACCCGTGAGCGGCGTGTGTCCTCCCTCAGCAACCGAACTCGCTCAAAATCGAAACTGGGGACAGAAAGCCTTTGGGGCGGAGCAAATTTTTTTCTAATAGAAAATCTTGCCATCCAACAGTCCATCTGCCGGTGATCGATGGCAAAATCACTGACTCGAACCCCCACTTTCCCAAATCGCGCGCATCTCCGAAACTTGAGATGAACTTTCACGCCGCACGACGCCAACGAAGAAGAAGAACAAGAGCTTTCTGCTGGCCCTGGTCCCTCGTCTGAGCTGTCTTGGCGCGGTTTGCCCGAGTGACAGTGGGGATCAAACTCCGCATCGATCACGACCTCAACTTTGGACCCTGCTCCTCGGAAACTTTTTTCTCTTGTAGCTTTCGGAATATGCCCGTCATGGCCTGCCCCTGGTTTTCGGGGTCCAACGTGCTGATACCACGCGGGCTCACGTGAGTACCACTCATATGAGTAAGCTTTCTCGTATTGGAAGATGCTAGTACAGCTGATCATCAATTGCTTCGAGATCCTTGGGCTGCTGTCGATGAGGTCATCTGTCAAGATCTGAACTGGGCAAGTTGCCAGTTAATGGCCTTGACACGCGTTCGATACCCATGATCCCGAAGACTCCTGCTTCTTCATGATTCTGTGACAGCCATGGAGGCTATGCTCTTTCCGCCTATCTCTACAACAGTAGCCCGGAAACTTTAATAGCATTTCTTGCTTAGGTTCAAGTTGTCCGAGGTGCCCAATCATGATTTGTGAAGACTCATCTGTCATTTACATTATTCTCGTGATACGGCTCGAAATCTCTCAGGCTACACCCATGCACTCCCAGCTGCAGCCGCGGAGCCACCCAGAGGCCACCGGCATGCTCGTGCTCGAGCTTGAGGCAGCAAGGACCGTATTGACGAGCATTGTTAGCTCGTGACTCTATCGCGCCAGGACAGGCTCCCGCAAGCCTCCGACTCCGCTGCCTACGGGCACCGACGACATGCCGCAAGCGCGCGCGCGCGTCTTGCTCCGTCCAACCTGACTCGGTCCCCCGAGCCAGCCCACGCCCCGGGCGTCTGCATGTGCCCGGCGGACAGCTCCTTTCTCTGTATTTGATCTCCCACTCGCTGTGCAGATCTCGCCCACTTGCGCGACTCGGCTCTGTGTCGCGGCTGGCGTTACAGCAACATAATACCTCTGCCGCACCAGGGGCAAGGGCGCCTATTCCGGCGGGACTCTGCCGCCCGGGTTGTACATACAGCTCCCTCGCTGCTCACTGCACAGCTGCCACCGTGGCTTTCCCATTCAGGGCGTATGAGACGCATTGGGGCCCTCGCGGGCTGCGGGCGGGGCCGCCGCATACGTTGCTACAACACGAACCCGTCAGTCTCACGACTAACAAGGCACGGACTCGCCAGGCGGAAAACCAAAACTACGTACGTTGAGAGGGGGCGTAGCCCTGCTGCTGCTGCTGCTGATACTGGCCCTGCGGCCCGGACGGCGGCCGGTTCAGGTACTGGTTCTGGTGCTGGTACATGTTGTACGGCGGCCTGTGCCGGTGGTCCTGGAGGTACGGTGTGATGGTCTGGTCCATGAGCTCCGTCGTCTTGCTGAGCAGCTTCCGCGCTGTGGCGCTGCTGAAGAGCCGCGAGTCGGACTTGGGAGGCGGGGCCTGGTAGTTCGGCCGCGTCGGAGGCGGGCCGTAGGGCGAGGGCGCCGCGTATCCGAGCTGGCCTGGCGCCGGCGGAGACGTCCGCGGCGGGAGGGGCGGGGGGGTCGCTTGGTACTGCTGCGGGCCGTTGACGTAGGACGGCTGAGGGATCGGAGGCGAGGCGTGCTGGTTGTAGGGGTATTGCTGTGGGACCGGAGAGGGCTGGTAGTGGAAGCCCATCTTGTCTGCGCCGATGCAGGATGGGGAGTACGGGTACTGCGAGGGGGAGGAGGGCTCATGGGCAGAGGGATGCCGGTTGGGTTCGGAGAGAGGGGCTGAGCGGGCGCCGGCGGTTGGTAGAAGTGTGTCTGGGAGGCTGGCGATGTGGGTACCGGTTGGCTTTGGGTCACGACCTGGTTGTACGACGGGGGCGGAGATGTGTACGGCTGGCCTGGGGAGTGCTGGCCGGTCTGGGGGCCTGCTTGAGTGGTGCTCGAGACCGACGGCGCGGGGCTGTGATGTGCGGAGGGAGGAGCCTGGGCCGGTTGGGCTACTTCCGAAAGGGCGTAGGACGGTTGTTGGGGGAAGTAGGAGCCCGCGGGCAGAGTCGGTGGCAGCCCGGCCTGGACGATGATGGGGCTTACGGGCGTTGCCTGGGTATACGTCTGCTGGGGAGGAACCTGGTAGTGCTGCGGTTGCAGTTTTTGCGCCGCGGTGCCCGTTTGTAAGGGCGTAAGGGGCGAAGGAGCAAAGGTTGTGGGAGACGCCGGGTTCGGAGAGGGGCCGGCGGCGGCGGCGGGGTGTATGGGGAGCGTAATCTGGGCCCCTGGCTGGGGCATGGGATGAGGACCCGGCGTTGGGATGCTGGCGCCGTCGACGGGGTACGGGAGCTGGGACGCCGACGGAGCAGTGGACACGGGCGACGTCGGGCCCAGAGGGCGGTCTTGGGCGGCAGGGGAATGCGGGCGTGTGATGTTCAGCGGCGCCGGGGCCAGTTGCGCCAGATCGGGGGCCCCGCCGGCCTGAAGTGGTCCGCCCACTCCCGCGACCGCGGCCGGCGCGACATCTTCCAAGACGCCGTTCTGAGGTCTGCTCCCGGGCTTTTCCTCGGCGGGACCGGTCTTCACGATCCTCAGGGGCTTCACCGAGAGCGTCTGATCGTCCGCGAGCGCCTCTTTGGTCGGGGAGGTGGAGCCGACGCGGTCGGGGAGGTCGTCGGGGAGGAAGAAGCCCCAGGGGTTCGCCTGGATGGTTGGCGGTTTCTGGCCTGCCTGCTCTGCGGCCTCTGCATCCGCCGCCGCCGGCGATGTCGCGGTGGCCGAGGACACAGAGGCTATCCTCTGCGGCTTGGAGACGTTTTCTGGCTTGGGCGCCGATGCCTCGGCGGGCATCTCGAAGACGGGACCGGTGCCGGTGCTGGAGATGCCATGTTGGATTTGAGCGGAGCCGGCCGACCCGGCGGTGGTGGACGGTGATGACGTCGACGTTGATGTCGGTCTTGGTTTCGCGGCCGGCGTTGTGGACTGCGGGGCTTCCAGCTCGGCGAGGAAGTGTTGCTGCTGCGACGGAGGGGCGACAGGTGGCGGGGGTTGCGATGCAGCAGGAGGAGGAGGAGAGGCATATTGCTGCTGGTGGGGAGGGTAGTAGTACTGCGGCTGCTGCGGTGGTTGGTACGGCGGGTAATGCTGCTGATATTGCTGATACTGAGGCTGCGATTGCTGCGACGGTTGCCCCGGAGGCGTGGGTTGCTGCTGGACGTAGTATTGCTGTTGCGGCGGGTATGTCGCATGCGCATACTGCGGCTGGATCGGGGGTCCTCGGCCGGTGGTGTCCATATTTGCCGTCCAACCCACACGCTCTCTTACCTGCTGCCTCGTGTTGTCTCCCTGGCTCCCTTGCTTTGCCTCGTTTCGGTATCCGCAACCCGGGCCAGGAAGTTCACGGCAATCCACGGGTTTCGGGGTGGTGAAGAGGGAGAAGGTTTGAAAAAAAGAGAGTTGCCCAGGCGCTGCAGGACGTCGGGATGAAATGAAGAGAAACAAGATTAGCTTCTTTCGCGCCCTTCACAGCCGCAGCGCGCCTCTACTCTTCTTGGCTTAGCCTCGATGGGCGCGGTAGGTAGGTAGGTAGTCGTCAAAGGACGAACGTTCGGGTTCGGAGTCCTTCAGCCACGAGGACCGGGGGATTGGGAACAGGGTTATGGGAACATGGGGGGACATTGGAGAGTGGGCTCTAGGAGACATGAGGAGAGGGGCAATGGCAGTCCAAGGGTTCGATGGAGTTCATCAGGAAAAGGCCCTGTTTAGCGCCGCTGAATGACCTCACGTCTCGACCGAACACACACACACACACACACACACAGTCCGCTAGCTGGATCATCCGTCCACTGCTTGCGACTGGGCTGTGTACACGTACTGCGTAATTACTATGTGTGTGTGGCCCCGTTGACCGTAGGACTGTCGGGCTGCTGCCGCTGCTTGCTGCCAATCTGACCTGCCTGCCCGATGTCTCGCTACAATTCTGCTGCCTATTCACAGCCCTTGCCTGACCCTTGTTGCAAACCCCCTGCGTGCGCGTGTGTTGGTTAACGGGAAGCGCGGTGCGGTGTGCGTGTGTGCGGGAGCCCAGCTGAAAGCCTGGAGGCCTGGGGTTTGCGACCCCCTTGGCGACGATGCAGGCTTACGGGGACGATCGCTCATTTTGAAAGGAAGGAAACGAAAACAATTCCGCCACGAGCTGAGTTTCCGATTGGATTCTGGAAGGGGTCTCGGACGAGCTGGCGGTACTTTGCTTTGCCTGTTTTTGTTGTTTTTTCCCCTCCCATCACAGCCGGTCTGCTCACGGCCTTCGTCATTCCAATCCTTCTGGGCTAGATGGGCACGACAGTGGTTGGAAGCCTTGGAAGTGGTGCGGCTAGGACGCTAGCGGCGAGTGGTTGTTTTTAAGCTTTAGAGCTGAATGCCATGGAGGGGTGAACCCTTGCCTTGCTCTCAGGACCCTGGCGTTCCAGCTCTGGCCGTCTCTTGCCCGCTTGGGTACTCCAACATCTGGATCCCGAGGTTGGCCGACGACGACGGTGGTGATGGTTAAAGGTGTCGAGATGCTGTAGATGAGTATGGTTCTAGGCACTGGCACCACCACTTGCGTGTACTCTGCGGGACTGCATGCAATGCGCAGCACATCTCGACACTGCAACATGGCACCGAAGCCGCGAGGGCTGCCAGCTCTGAAATTATCCAAAGTGGCGTGCTTTGCCGCAACCTGCAGTGGCTGGCCTTCCTATAGATTGCAACCCTCCGTCGCGAATATCGCAGTCGTCTTGGGGCTCGAGCCAGGCAGCTTTCCTCTCTTGGTCACACCTTGGGATTGCTACGCTGATTCTATTTAAGCATAATGCTGGTAAGCAGTGGTCAGCACGGCGAGCAAAGCAGACCCTGGCTGTCCAATTCCTGGGCCGAGACACAGACCTAGAGTCTGCCGTGTTTGGAGATTTACTACTTCATGGGTGGCGGAAGATGGCACGTCAGACAAAGTCCGTGGCCCCGCCGATATGGGCGTCGGATATTGACTCCGGCAGCCGAAGCAGGCCCTCATTGGGCCCAATGAAATGGCGGAAATCACGAAAGGTATTCGAAGAGTATGTTCTGATCATTATTTCGCTTACGGTGGCGATGTATACATACTTACAAGATACCCTCCAAGCGTTCTCTGTACCAATCATAACCACAAACTCCCTTCAGGTCAATCGTTGCTGAGTGTTCTCAAGCAAGATGAAGTCGACGAACTTCCTTTGTGTTTTTGAGTCACCGTTGAAATATGTCTCGAAGATGAACCCATGTGGAGGTTGTTCGAACAAGCGGCGAGCGTGGATCCGGAAAGGCAGTTCTGCTTTTCGAAACTCGTTATGCGTTGCTTGTCAACCAAGAAATCATGCGGTTTGCCTACCTTTTTATATGTTAGGACTGACTTTGAGTATACACAGCTATGCATTGTTACTAGATGCATTGCTAAAGCCACTAACAATTTCAAAACACCCTCTTTCTCGGTTTCAATCTACTGTCTACGCTTCTTCCCCGTCTCATCCCACGTACTCTTGTAGCAACAAGGGTAAACAAGGTCCAGACAAGGTGGATAAGAGGCTACCAGATGAGAATTTCTCGTTCAACTTTCGACTGAACTGGCATGAGACACGACTCTCAACACGGCAGGAAGACTGCATCGCCTGTAAGGTTTTCGGAGTATCGTCTTGATTCATATGTTCAACGTCTACTATGGTACATGCTGAGTCGCTATGGGTTGTTTCTGTTGCAGCGTGACAGTCTCGAAGAACCAAATGCATTCTGAAAGTCCTATTCTCGGACAAACACCATTAACTCAACGTGTACAAGAACGGGCCAGTGCAAACGAACGCCATCTTGATCCAGATATCATGCGTCTATTACTGAATACCCTCTAGAAGACCAAAGTACGACTACAACTACAAATCCTCCGATACCTCCTTCTCAACCCTCGTCAAGCTCAGAGCAAACGGTTTCGGCAGCACGCTCTCAACCTTGCCGTCGTCTCCGTAGGTAAACTCAAAGTGGTCCAATGCCTTGTAGTTGTACGTCGTCCGGTCCATCGACAGCCACGAAACACACGACGCGTTGGGATAGAACATGAGGTCGTCGACCGCGTCCCGCATCTCCGGCGTGAACGTGTCAAACAGGGCCCGCCACGCCGTCCTGTTACCCTCTCCCAGCCCAGTCGGGTACAGCCTCGCCGTCCTCTCCCGGTTCTGCGGCAGCTCGGTCTCGTTGACGGCCAGGAAGATGTACCGGCTCAGGTTCGGAATCACCTCGAAGCCCTTCATGTACCAGTCCTCCAGCAGGAGGCCCCACCCGTCGTCCATTGAAATCGTCAAGCTCGAATTCGTCTCCGCGTCGGCGTACGTTCCAACAATCTCCTTCCTGGCGTCGTCCTTTGCAGCCTCGTCCAGGGCTTTGATGAGCGACGGGAGCAAGTCGTTCATCTTCAGCGAGTAATACGAGAACAAGCCCCCGCTGACCTCGGGTCCCGCGACCAGCACCGACATGGTGATGCCGTACTCCGGAACCAGGATGAATATCGAGTGGTAGCTGATGATGTCGCCACCCTTGGTGTACACCTCGACGAGCCGCCCGTCCGCTGTGAGGTTGTCCGAGACTATGCCTTCCCACGGCTTTCCGACGAAGCTGCCGGGCGCGGAGGTGAAGGTTGAGGGCTTGAGCCACCTACGGGTCTTTGCCGCGCTGAGGAGCCTGTTCTGAAGGATCGCGTCGCCAAAGTTGAGCATGTCGGCTGTGGTGGAGTAAATGCCGCCGGCTCTGCGTGGTCAAATTAGCTCGCATCTCATGGAGAGGCTGTTCGGGTGGAACACTCACGGGTCGAAGACACCCAAGGGGTGTTTGTAATACGTGTCGTTTGCGGGGATGAAAAGCGTCTCCAGGTCCTTTGGGAGTTTGCCATATGTCGTATTGCCCATCCCGGCGGGATCCAGGATAGACTCGAACAGTACCTTTTCAAACGTCTTGTTCGTGGCCCCCTCTACGACAAGTCCCAGAAGGGTCGTGCCGAGGTTTGAGTAGACCGGTGACTGGTAGGCCGGGTAGACTGGTGATCGGCGATCTTTCATCACGCTCAGGAACTCTGCAATTTGTCAACTCAGCCTCTCGCGGGAACCCGGCAAGGACAGTGTCCACTCTCCTTCGGAACTTACCTTCTCTGGTGCAAGCCGGAACATCCAAGAAACCTCCACAGGTCGGCTTTTCCTTCTCAGACACGGGAGGCAATCCAAGCGCCTCCCAGTCTCCAGGGTACGCTGCGCCGTCCGTCGTCACTATTGACTTCGTCAGCTCAAATTCCACTCAACCTCTCCTCATAGGTCTTCACAGCACGGGATGCCCTTACTTTCACCCGCAACGCCACCAGTATGAACAGCGGCAGCCTCAACGGTAATCTCCTCCCAATCATGATAATCCAACGCCCCTTTCGGCGCACCCCTAAGCTCCGGAATGAACTTCGCCACGGAGTCCTCCCACCCGATCACGTCCCCATTCTGCAGCGCCGCCAGCACCGGGAACAGTTTACTCACGCTCGCGAGCCGGTACACGGTGTGCTTGTCGACGACCTGTGCGCCCTGCGGGTCGCGGTCCCGCGGCGTGAAGTGGAAGTCCACCAGCGGCTCGTCCTCGAGCGCGGACTTCACGCCGATGGAGACGGCGGAGCCGTTGAAGGCCGCGGTCTCGGCCTCGAGCGCCGTGATGAAGGCGGATACGGCTCTGCGGACGGAGGGGTGCGTGCTGGGGGACTTGGCTTTGGGGAGGACGGGGCCGAGGGGAGGGCATTGGTAGGGTGTTGCGGCTGTGATTGCCGCAAGGGCAGCCGTGGCCGCGAGAGCAAGGGAGGAGCGCATGGTTGGTTGTGATGTCTTGAGTCTGGAATCAACTGTCAGTCTACGGGTCTTATCTCTTTGTACAGAGGACCGGTTTGAAAGTTCTGGCCAGGGTGAAGTACAGAATCACCTCGCCAACACTATCAGTACTTAGGGTACAAGAGATTCGGATTCACTCTCTGTGATAGTTCCGGTTCAGCGGCTACATGGGCCTGAAGAAGAAATAGATGGGGACTGATCCTTGTCCCCTCTGATAAGACTTCGTACTGACCTGTGTAGTAATTATTCCGGGTCCACAGCTACTTGGGAGCCTGGCCAAAACTTTTGAACCGGTCCTCTGTGTCACTAAGGAGAGATCTTGTCAAGTCACTTACTATCACTGTCAAGATCACACCCAAGGCAAATCTTTACGCACACAAGAACCTGAAAGCACTCTCATCATGTTTTCCCGCGTTCTCGGCGACATGAGTTTTATAGTCTTTGCGCTATGTTCTTCGCCAAGATCAACAAATCTAGATACCGGATACAACAAGACCTTCCTCACACAGCATGGTGCGTCTGACTGCTTGCCTGTCGCGTTGCGCAAGGCAGGATCCGAATCCCTGCCGAGCTGCGCCGGCCCCAGTAACGTCAGCCGAACCCCACGGTACCCGGGCGCGCGGGCGGGAACGCCGCCGGCTTCCAAGACCACTAGCACGAAAGCGTGGGACGCACACTGCGACCTGCCCACAGCGTTTACGATAGCCTCGTCATTGCCAAGGAGGTTCGACCCTAAGGAGTTAGATGGCGCTGTAAGCTGTCTCGCAAGTGCCCTCACATCTTCTCAAACGCTCTCTCCCTGTACTATGCTGTGACTAGAAACTCGTGAGGTCGGTTCGTCTCCCTTGTTCAGGGTCTTACCAAGCAGTCTCGAGTCTGATATCTTGGCCTAATCATCGGTCATCCGCTCAAACTTCCAGCTGTGTAGTGTCTTCTTCCACCAGATACAGCCTCGTCCACGCCGACGACGAGACGGTTGTTGCCTCGAAAATCAACACTCGATGCGGCAAGTAACCCTTACGGGGCCTCGTTGCACCCCGAGGCGCCCTCCTCGCGCGGCCTGCAGTCCGCGCCGACGCTGACGGCCATTCCCTATTGACAGCATAGGCGTTGTTAGAGGGGCGTCAGCGCGGGGAAGTGAGACCTTTCGCTTCCTGGTCGTGGAATGCTGCATGGAAGGTAACTAATAATACGACGAATGTATTGTGACGTGGTTGGAGAACAGGGTAGAACAGAGACGCGGCAACCTTCGAGAACGAAAGTGCCCCTGCACATGCAGGCTAGCAGTACTCAGAGCTACCTGTTTGAGATAATGAGGTCTTGGCAGGCAGGCAGGCAGGCAGGGTATCGTAGATTCGTAATCACCTTCCTCACCAATCTAGGGGAGGTGTCATTAGTCGCCGTAAAGTGCCGAGCAACAACGACGACTGCACAAACCAGACAATAGTCTTAATGTGCCCTCGTTCGAGATGCTTCACCTAACTTGTAGGATTTTCAAGCATGTGTCAACGTAGGAATCGTTATATTCTTCATCTGCGAGAAAGTGTGTACCCCGCCGTCGCTACAGCAGAAGAATGAGAAATCCCCAATAGAGAACAACAGACACGAACGACAAGAAACATGAACATCCTGGCCGTGGCCTAGGACCGATTTATAAACCCATCCGCCGCCCGCCGGCGCCCCTTCTTTCCAACCGCGCAAACAAAAACCCTTCCTTGATCCACGTTGATCCAGAACGCCCTTACGGTCCGCGCAACTTACTTGCGTATCCACAACATCTTGGTCGTCAACTGGGAACTCCCCGCCCAGAGGCAGGTGAAATGGAGAGAAACGAGCTGGAAGCCCGTCATCTGCCCAATCATAAGACACACATAGTGCCCCTTTCATCAATCGTCACACCCTCTACACAACCTATTCAGCCCTACTTCTCCATATGTCCATCGTTGAGGAGCATCTCCATAACCACCTGTACGCCATGCTGCTCAGGGTGGCTCATCGAGATCTTCACTGTCCCCTTTGAATCCTCTCCAACGGGGGTCTGCCCGCTCAGCCAGTTCTGGGTGTTCGATGAGTTGCCGCCCGTGGGGCCTCTGACGCCAAAGTCGAGGCATTTCACATCCCGGCCGGCGATAATTTGTCGGAGCCGGCCGTTCTCGGCGTTCCGCACCTCGACGTAGTCTCCGTTGAAGAGGAGTAGGTACTGACCGTACATGGTAGCGCTCGTAGCCTTCTTCTGCTTGCCCGAGTACTCCATAATCAGGGTGCGGCTCACGTCGCCGTGTTTATCGACGTACACGGCGCAATCCTCATATGCAAGCAAGAACTCCTGGTCGTTCAGCTTGAACATACCCAGCGGTCTCTGATCCCGTATCCGGCTAGCAATGTTGGCAATAGCAGGCTGCTTCAGGTCGGGGATCGACATTGTCTGCTTCTTATCGAGGGTAAGCAGTTCGAAACCCTTCGCAGTAGACACCGCAATATAGCTCTGGAAGAGGTTGAGCGAGTAGCATTCTGTCGGAAGGTAGAACTCGTCATAGTCGCGGAAGGAATCAGTGCTGCCTCCCAGCCCCTTGCGGCCACCAAAGATTCTGGGTCTCTTTTCGGTTGCCTTCTGGAAGACGGGTTCAAGGACTTTGAAGGTGTTGTGCATGCCCTCTTTGCGTTTGAAAAAGATCAGCATGCGCTCCTTCATGCGGGCGGTGGCAAAGAAAGCCACGTCCTTGGCCAACCTCTGTGGCGCTCGTCTCGGGTTGTCGTGGGCTGGAGCAGGGAAGTTTGATACTGGGGCGACCACATCCAGTGGATAAGCGACGAGAGATCGGTCTGCAATGACAAGGCAGACAGAGAACTCCTCGAGGACAGCTATTTGCGTCACTCTAGTTGTTTGCACGCTCTGCACAATATTAGCGATCGGCTCTGCTGGGTATCACGGGATGCACAGTAGCTTACCTTCATCCAACCACGGGGATTTGTGGCATCCGAGATGAACAGGCCGTAGTCCGTGCCAATGGCAACGAGAGACTTGCCGAACGCATTGAAGCCACAGGCGCAGTTGACCTGTGCTCTGCATACCGGAGCTGGGCCTCTGCCGGGCCCGTAGACCTCCTCAATCTCACGGACTGCTCGGTCGAGAGGGTACCCCGGATAGGAACGCCAGGTTGCCTTCCGACAGCTGATGCCGCATCATACACGAACGCGCTGTCGGCCAGGACACGAAGGCGGAAGGGCTCGGCATTTTGTGAGAAAAGCGCCTTCGCGTGCCTCGTCTTGGCCTCAATGATTTTTTCGACCCATTCCGCACGGCTCTGGGCTGACGTGGCGTACAGTGTGTACGTCTCGTGACCCAGATGCTTGATCTTGAAAGGGTAGAGGATCTTGCCCTCGGGATCGTTTGACATGGTCGGCGTAAGCCTGGCTGCCGAAGACGAGGCTACCGAGGAACTCGTTGGAATGTGCTCCAACCCGGGACGCTCGGTGCCGTTGGTTGCGACCTTGTTCAGTCTGGGGTCTGAACCTGCCCCAGCGGTCCGGGCCAAGGGGGCAGTTATGCCCTTCTGCTTCGAGATGGGGTCATCGTTCATGCTGTCAAGGAATAGCAGAGGCATTGGGATAGGCTGAACAATTAGCATGCAATCAGCTCTAGGATTCTATAGTGACTTACCTCTTTCGACACGTCGTACTTCTTCTCTCCCCTAACGTCTTTGGGAGTCACTACCTTTGCAAGGATGAAGTAGTGATCAAACAGCAATGCATGCGTGTCAACCCATCTGACGCCCTTGGAACCCATTCTCTGCAAATCGCCCTGCTTAATAAGCTCTCTGCCAAGGTGGTCGAGGTTGAGGACTGAGTGGAAGCCTGGCCGAAGGACGAGCATATTGTTGAGCTCCATCATTTCTACCTTCTTCTGCATCTCGGCGACCTTGGTGTCACATTCCATGGTGACGTGGCGAATCTCTGCGATCGCCCTTGCCAAGTTGGCCTTCTCTTCATCGTCTCGGAGAGTCTTCTTCTCGACGGTCTCAAGCAGGAGCGAGTACCGCTGTAACCGCGTGATGGGGGTCTTGAGAAAATGTTGCCAACCCAGTCGCTCAGAGCGCTTGTGCCTCATGACTTGCTCGAGGAAGTTGCGGAAGAGAAGATTTCGATCAGACTCTTTGCGCACCATGTACTCTGCATAGGGAAATTGCGATGCATAGTCAATGTAAACATCCTTGGCTTTTCGAATCCATTCACGGAAGAGGTCAGAAAATCCGGTGATCCACGGGCCTTGCTCCTGTTGGCGGTACTTCAGCTGCGCCAAAAGGTTGTCCTTGTTGACGGCTTGAACAGCATCAGCCTTGCCGAACACAACTAGAAGGAACTTATCAATCTTGTTGGGCGGGATAATGGGAGGTTGGCTGTTCCGCAGGTGGTCTCGGTATAGTACCCGCAGGACCTCGAGCTGATTGATGAAGTACTCCTCGCTGTTCACGATTTCGTGCAAGACGTGCTGGCGCTCGATTTCCTTCTTCGGTTTCTCGGCAAGTTCGGCTTCTTGGATCTTGTAGTGCACGTTCCAGTCTGCCGGCTTGACTTCCTCAAGAAGCATTTCATCCAGGTTGGCTTTCTTCAGCGTCCTCATGCATTGGTGCGAGTAGCAGCGCCCAGACTGAGACTCATCCTCATGAAGCTTCGGTGCATAGCAGCCAGAGCCCGTTAGCTGCGGCAAGACTCCAGACACAGTGCCGTTGCCGAACTTGACCCATTCCTCCTCAGGCACGAGAACTCCGGCGTCCAGCATCAGTTGCGACACGCGATCGCTGAGAAGCTCAGCGTCAGCAACGTTGATGGTGGGCACCTTGGCGGTGAACAACTTGAGCAGGGCCTCCTCGACTGTCTTTTGTTTCAAATCCGGTTCGCCGTCAGCCATCTCGCGGATCCAAGCGGCAATTCCACTCAAAGCCCACGGCTCGGAGCACCTTCTGAGGTCACCAGATGTGAGTTTGGAGGGGACAAACTTCCTCTTCCGACCACTAGGCAGTGTGATCATGTCATAGGTCATTGATGACGGCGTTCCAGACTCATAGCCGTCGTATGGCAGTCCGTTCTGGGCCGCAAGCTGCTGCTGTTGCGTCTGGTATCTGGCCATCTTTCTCCGCTCTTCCGCCGCATCTGTCCGTGATCGAACCGGCGCTTGAACTTGGGGCGTGTGACTGTGGCTTGATAAAGATATGGACCGCTCAGGGAAGGGCGAGTTAAGGCCCGTTGAGCCACCGTAGTAATCAGAGCCGCCTTCGTGAAGTGTCCGAGATTCGGTACTGAGTGAGTGGGAGTGGTAGCTGCGGGTAGTGGGATGGGCGGAGAGCAGAGAGCTTGAGTCGCTGCCCGGGCCTGGAGGGAGGGCTGGAAGCGGCCGATTGGACAATCCGGGATGGTAATAGAGGTCTGGGTAATCCTCCTTGTAGGGCGACTCGCTGCCACTTTGTTTCGAGTGCAGAGACGCCGGCTCATCACCTTCATCGAAGCTTAGTCGGTGGGCAGATGGAGCCTGCAGACCGCCAGTACCGCCATAGTCAACTCCCGCATCGGCGAATGGGGACGCTCCTGCGTAGTCGTTGGGATTGGGTAGCGGCCGGGATCCGTCGTGGGTTGGCACCTCGCTGCCGTAAGCCAAGGTACCGGCATACCCGCCAGCAAGTGCACCCAGATCCATGCCACCATAGTCGGTATCGTCACTCTGCTCCTCGGGAGGTGGTGGAAGGGGATTGGAGGTGACTGGGAGATCGTGCGGGATAAAGGGCAAACTGCTGAACCTCCTATCGTCCAGTTCCGCCTGTTGCATGGCCAGTACCCCCGCAGTCCCTTCTGGATCGTCGTCGTCATCGTCGTAATCGAAAGTAGGAAGAGGAGTTCTGTTGACGTTTGTAGATTGCGTCATGCTAGTGTTGGCAAGGTCCGAGTTGTATCGCCGTAGTCCTTGCAGCTCGTCGTCGGAGAATTGTCCACCATTGATCGGCAGAGGGCGGTGCCGGCCGCCCAACTCAGCTTCAATGTCTTGTATGATATCGTCTTGCAACTGAGCTTGGTCCTCGTCTGTGGGAGTGATGGTGCTCGGGTCCCAGGTAGGCTCTTCCATAGGCCGGCTGGGCAGAGGGGCGTTGGTGGGATGTCGCTGCAAGCCGGGCGAGTGCTGCTGTTGGACCTGCGGCGAGGAAATGGGAGATGCCACCGAGTCGGATCGCGCTGGTCTGTCATAAAAGGACGAAGAATCAGTATAGCCTGGCCCGATGGGCATAGAGGACTGAATCGGGTACGGCGTCTGCGCGTTGTCTGATGGGTACAGCGCTGCGGAGCTGGTACCGTTCGTCGGGTACGAGTTATAGCTGTTGTTGTAAGACTGAGAATACGACGATTCGTAGGCTGGCGCCGGTGATGTTGCCGAGGGTGCCTGGACAGACTGGAAGGTGGATGGGTACGAAGAAACAGGCGACTGGCCAAACCCAGACGAGGAGTGAGTGGCCGTTGGGGAGCCGTAGCTCTGACTGTAGTTATTGTAGCCAGAATATGTCGGCTGCCGTTGAGGGGCTGTTGTGCTTGCGTAGGCTGCCGGGTTGTATGCTGCCGGCGTGTAGCTGGTCTGGGTGGGAGCGGTATATGAGGTCGGCGAAGCGGTGGATCCATACCGGCTCGGAGGAGCTGGATGGTATGGCAAAGATGTCGAGGCCGTCGACGGCGTCCGCGCAAAGGCCTGGGGGTTGTAGCTGGAGTGAGAAGACGTGGGGGGCGATGAAGCTTGATACTGGTGCTGGTAGCCAGAGAGCGCATTGTTGGTTGAGCCGTAGCTGTGGCGCCCCCCGGAATGGGTCGAGCTAGTCGGGCTCGTCAAAAAGAGTTCGTCTTCGCCCCTCGAGCCAGACTGCTGATGGCCTCGGGCTTGCGCGCGGCTCTGGTCGAACATGGCGGCGTCATCGCCGTTGTTGAAACTCGGGCGCCGGCCGAGGTAAGCAGACTGATCTTGCGACTGTTCAGGTGTGGGGTATTGTACGGGAGGAATATGGCCGTAACGGCGCTGGCCGTCGCCTCGGAAAGACATGGCGATCGCGAACGTAGGAGCAAGAGCAAGCGCGACAGCGACGTCGAGACGAGTCCGTGAAGGCAGCCTCTCCCGCGGGCTGCTATGTCGACCTGAGCAGGATGATGGCGGAGGTCGATTGCATCTGTTCGTGCGAGCTCGATCGAAGTGATTGCTCGCTGGGCCGTGCGGTTCTCGAGTCGGCGGATTGTTCGGGTATGCGCCAGAGAGTAGATCGTCGGAGGTGTAGAGATGGCGCTTGATGGAGAGTTGAAGTTAAGGTTGGCCGGCCGTTTGTCTGGGTGGTCGCGGAGTGAGCCTCGTGTTTGGTGGTTGTGTGCTGTGGTGCGGCGCAGGCGCAGGCGGGCGTAGTAGGACTGACGTCTTTGGGCTGCCCTCTGAGCAGTGATGTGCGGCGAAGGTAAGTTGGAGAAGGTCGTTAGGCTGATCGGCCTAGGACTGACACGCAAGGCAACCGTCGTCCCGCGACAAACAGAGAGCTGAGCACTCGGGACAGTCGTTAGGCGCAGAAGAGCAGTGCGTCGTCGGGAAGACAGTCCTGTGTAGAACTCTGGGTGGTGCCAATAGTGCCCTTCGGGTTGGAGTGAAGGACGAGAGAGAGGCAGCAATGACAATGTAGTGCAATGCGGCGCGGTGCGGTGCGGTGCGTTCTGCCAGTCGGGGAGAGCGAAAACTAAGCCACAAGACCGGGGCTGGAGAGTCGTCAGAGTCGCAAAGTCAGAGTCGCCGGGGTTGGCTTGGGGCTGGCGGTACCGCGCAGGGCAGACGTGGACGATTTGCGAGTCCCGAGGTGAGATGCGTGGTTTTGTCTCCGAGGATGGTGTCGGACAATTGTGTCTCTGACGCTGCCTCTGTGCCTTGTTCCTTTTCGCAGGTCAGGAAGGTCAAGTCGCACGTCGCACACAGTGGCCGCGTTCGTCGGGCGTGTTTGCGCGCTCACACTCGCTCAACGTGTGGCCCCGTCAGGATTGAGGGGAACGGGCGGGTGGATGCAATGCTCGGTAGGGCGAACAGACGTCTCTTTTTCGCAGGTCAGACGACGAGTGCGGTAGTCTCGTGTCGGGGTCGAGTTGTGGTGTATGAAAAGAGAGACACAACACCTCACTTTCTTTTTTTCTTCTTTCCCTTTTCGCTGATGATGGATTAGATCGGTAACAGAAAGGTAGGTCAGGTACCAGTTGCGAAGTTGTGGGTTTGGATGGTGGGAGGCGCCGGGGCCAAAATATGAGGCACCAACGGGAACAGACAGCAAAAGGAAACTGGTCCAGTGAGGAGGAATTAGGCCAAGTAACTACCCTGTAATCTGGCCGTCGCTTGTTGTGAATGTCGCTCTAGTTGCTGGTTCCAGGTGAAGAAGAGATTGAAGCTGGGCCGAACAAAGTCTTGGCTCGGCCGCACCAGGACGGGGAGAATGGGGAAGTCGAGATGAGCGAGGACACTTGCACTTGCCCGAGACGAGGTACCTGCAGGGCGAATATTGGGTGAAAAGGTACATTGGCAACCGGTCTGGATGTCGAGGTGGGCTGGGCTGGGCTGACTTTGATTGATATGTCCAATTAAGGTGCGAGTACGTACTACATAGTGCACTACCTAGGTGTGTTGGGTCCGTTCTTCGTCCTCGACAATATTCTGAGGGGAGTGGAGTGGAGGGGAGATGGGAGGGGGGATGATTCGAGGATGGAAGACACCCGACTGCTAAGCAAGCATGCTGCACTCACTGGGAAGCACCGACATGCTCGAGGCAATTGTCCCACAAGAAGGGTAAGAGAAGTGAACTAAAGGCGGGAGGCTCAGACATCGGACACCAGACCCCCCCCTTCAATGATGTTGTGAAGTCATCTGATGTCCAACTTTATAGCACCTCGGGTATATTATTAGAGAGTGGTTCATTCCGGTTCCAGGATGAACACACAAGAGTCTGAAAGTCAGTGCTGAGCCGCCTCGAGTACCTCCGCAAGTACTACACACTAGTACCCACGTTGATTCACTGAACCTACCAACTATCGTATCGAATTGGCACCGCACCCGGTCGGGAACCACGACCCAATCACGGAATCCCATTTGTTTGATTTCAGGCCATGTCACCCTACCTTACAGCTCTCGACTCCCCTCTTACAACTGCCAACCATAAAGCACCAGGTTTTGTCGCACTTTGCGTCCGCTGTGCTGTGCTACAGAATAAGGTAGGTCATAAACTCACAAACCCGACCTGGGGCTTCACTGGACGACGCTGGCTGTTCTCCCGTGAGGCTCGTTTTCTCCCACACCACATCACGCTGGTCTCTTCTCCTCTTTTGAGCCTCGTATTTCGACTAACCGCACTCTTGGGCTGCACGACGGTTGGACCAACCCTGTCCAACGCCCTGGACGCACGGAAAATTCCAACAATTCGGGGTCCCTGCCAGGTGGATATCAATCTGCTAGTGAACCCTATCCTCGTATAGCCTCCCACGACCTCCGTCCTACAGGGACTGTGATCGCGGCCCGCGGGAGCTCTAGTCACGCCCCCAGCTTCGTCACCCGCCCGGCGGGAAACCAAAGAGCAACGAGCACGCAATGCCCGGCTCATCCGCTTTGCATTCTGTCTCGTCTTTTGTTGCCCCATCTCGGACCTTGTTTGCGCCCAAGCACAGGGTCCAGTTCATGAAGCCAATAGACTGAATTTTGGTAGACCGCGAGCCAGACATTTCAACGTCGGTCGGCATGCTGGTGACCCCCTCCAAACCGAGGCTCGTCTTGGAATTTCTGCGGGCATGGAAGATGGGAGATTGCCATCATTTCGTACCACGTGTCCCATCAAGATCGATCTTGACCCACGCACTGCGGAGCCATGGCCGTCGCCGTCTCATACATCGCACTTGGCACTAACGCCTGTGGCAACGAAGCTGGTCTCGTTTAGAACAGCGTCGTTTTCGGGCCAACTCCCCGTTCCGTCTTCTACTTGCAGAGGCTGAGACCCCGAACTGCAACAACAAACCCGCAGACTCGGACCTTCACACCGCGTCGTGCTCTGTCTGTAGGGCTGACTGCATCTGGAGAGCACGACGCTGTGGTGGTGTTGGTCTCCGCGCTCGTCAGGTCAGCATTCCCAAACAGTCAGATACCAAACATGACTGGTCGGTCGGTTTGTTCTCATGCAGGAAGCGTGCCGGGGACTCCTAATGCCTCAAGTCTGTTCAAGTAGTTCCTCTTCTCCGTCTCTGGACGCCTTTATTCTCGAGTGCCGGGACTCAAACAGTCGGGCGTTGGCCAAGGTGTCCACAAACAAGATGTCGAAGTTTCTTTGGGCTCGGAGCTAAAGTTTACGATGAGTTGCAGAGATCAATGGTTGTCGTTACTGACCCGGCAGCCTACCTTTACACTGACCGGGTTCTGAGCATTTGCAACATCAATCGGTTCCCTCCGCATGAGCATAACACAAGGTGTTGCTGGACACATAGATCCAGTTGTTTCAAAGCTGGCATCTCAGCGATCATTCCGTCAGTCACGATTCCTATGACGCTCGATCTACATATTCGGGATAAGCCTTGCGACTGCCCCGCCAAATCGTTTGAATGGCCAGAGCTTCATGCTAGTGCAGATTGTGTGTACAGTGCATACTACTAACGAAAATGGCTGAAGCTCTCGATAGTAGGTAGCTTTATCGATCCGACCCGGGTACCTACCTACTGGGTTGCTCCCCGCCGAGCCGGACACAGCGGCATCTTCGTGTCATCGACCGGATGGACCATAAGAGTTGGAGGCCTGCCATGCTTTGCGGATTGCTTGTCCAGGCCACTCCCGGCACTTTCGGGCCATGTGTCGCACTTTGCTCACGATTCTGCTGACACTGCCGCGCTGCCCTTCAGCAATCGCGAAGCCACAATCGGCGGGGGAATTGTTAGTGAGGGGTGTCCAGCGGAATGGGTCCCCTGCGCGGGCGGTGCCAAGGGTGGCCGACCATCGGCTTTTCCCCTGGTGCCAATGGATGACGATACCGTTTCGAGCGCCTCCTAAGACGGCTCCTAAGACGGAGTTGAGATAGCAGAGCAATTGGCCGAATACGCATCCTGCTCCTGTCGCGTTGCATCCGCCATTTGTAAGCGTTTCGAATGCCTCGAGGACAACAAGCCAACCAGCTGCGTCCGAAGCTCAACCCGAGCCCACTTCAGCCAAGATGACGGCGATGAGATAATGCTCGAGCGGGGCAGAGGCCTTCCCCCACCATCCAAGCGCAAGCTGGCGTGCTGCTGCCCAGTCAGTACTCAGAACCTGGGCACGGAGAAGAGGAGAGGGGAGATACGGACTTAGGGGCAAAGATCAGTGGGCGAAAGAGGACGCTGGGCGAGTAGGAAAGCGAGGCGAGGCGAGCTTCTGGTACTCGGAATTCCGAATTGTGCCACTTCTTCGGCCATAGAGTTTGTGCAGCTTGTGCCGTGCCTCCCTTTGTGCTGTGTCCTTCAGTGAATGTCTCTGCCTTTCTCTTCCCACCTAGGCCTGGTGGTCCCTCCCGAGTCCCCAAAGACTCCATCAGGTACTTTCACCTTCTTCCCCTCTTTGCACCTTAAACCTTCGTCATTCTTCTCCTCAACAACTGCCGACTGAGCAACAATCTCACACTTCAACAAACCAATTCAAACCAAAAACAAGACAAAAATCATTCAAAATGGTCAAGGCTGGTAAGTACGACTCTTTATATACCGGGATAGCAGCTCCGTCGCCCTAGTGCAAAGCCGCGGCGCTGGGATGGAGGGGTAACGCCGTCCAACCATCCGATTTGCGCTGGATTGAGCGGGTTTTTGTATGTGGGAGAGAGAGCAAACACCCTGATGGCTCTGCGACATGCCACGACGGGGAACAGCTTTCCGCTGGCCAATCTTCAAGCTCGACCGACTCCATCCTCGTGTCCCTTGCCTTGCGGCTCCCGATCTGCTTGGTCCGAGTCAAGATGGTTTCCGTCCTTCCCGTCGTGGGGAGGTCTGGGATGTTTTGTTCGAGGGGGTGGGAAGAAAGGAGTCCAGCAGGGAACGATGGACGAAGATCAGTCAGTCGCTAACTTTGTAACCTAGTCGCTGTCGTCCGTGGTGACTCCAAGGTCACCGGCTCCGTCGTCTTCGAGCAGGAGTCCGAGTCCGCTCCCACCAAGATCACCTGGGACATCACCGGTAACGACGCCAACGCCAAGCGTGGCATGCACATCCACACCTTTGGCGACAACACCAACGGCTGCACCTCTGCCGGCCCTCACTGTGAGTACTGCTAGAAGCCGACACCTGCCGTAGGGGAGGGAATTAGAAAGCAGGTTGCTGACCACCGGACACTGCAGTCAACCCCCACAACAAGGGTCACGGCGCCCCCGAGGACGAGGACCGCCACGTCGGTGACCTCGGCAACATCGAGACCGATGCTCAGGGCAACTCCAAGGGCACTGTCACCGACAAGCACGTCAAGCTGATCGGCCCCCAGAGCGTCATCGGCCGCACCGTCGTTGTCCACGGCGGCACCGACGACCTCGGCAAGGGCGAGAACGAGGAGTCCAAGAAGACTGGCAACGCCGGTCCCCGTCCCGCCTGCGGTAAGTATCCATGGTTGCCATCAAGAACCATAAGAAGACTAACAAGTAAATACAGGTGTTATCGGTATCTCCAACTAATATACTGGTTCCCAAGGTCGCTGTTGTCCGGGTCGGACTGCGGCCCGAGGCGGGGTTATCAAGTTAGGCGTCCCCGGAAGCTACCATGACTAAGCGATAAGCCAACGTCAATGGACTCTGATAACTTGATAGCATCCTCGGCTTCGAGCTTCAACTCAGGCTCTGCATAGCAATATAAAAAACAACCGTAATGTTGCTCTTTTGCTATCGTGAAGCATTGAATCTTTGGGGTTTCCGGCTGGATGGTCGGCGGCAACGGTGGTGGGGTTTCGTCCTTGCACTGTGAGGGGTAGGGGATGACGTGAATCCTGTTGAACTGGCATCACACAAAAGTGTAGGATGTGTTCGGTCTTCTGCTTGGTTGCCTGCAATGCTGGACAACCTGCATTATGTATCTGAGGGATTGGTCGAGCCACATATGATCGAACTAATCTTCTGCACGCCCTTGAAGCTGGCCTACCGATGTCCTTCTTTATTCTTTTAAAAAGTAGTTATTGCCTCGGCCATCAAATGATGTTTTGTTGTCCTTCCAATTCCATAGGGGAAGCTGTCCTTAGCTACCAAAGGCAGGGGCAACGCCTTACATAAGGTAGCTGCAACCCCGCTCTCGCTTAGCCACCCGCCGCCTGCCACTGGCCAGCGGCGAGCTGCTACCCCTGCCTGCAGCCTCCGTGTGGTCCCTGAACCTCCTTTCCCCACACTTGCTTGCTCGAGACCGGGCGAAATTGAGGCAAGCTGTCAAAAAGGCGGTACGAGTGTCGAACGTTTATCGAACAATCGCCTTTTGCTACTCCTTCTCAACTCTCCCTTTTCCCCCGAATCCATCATCACATCCTCTCTCCTCTTATTTCCCCTCATATCCCTCGCATTCACTGTAAGTCAACGGTTTTCCTTTCATTGCAATAGTTACCAAGGGCTTAGCTTCCCATCCATGGCACACGGGCAGCTGATGCCACTGCCCCGGTAAACTGCACATATCCATGCAGCTGCAAGCACCCTCATCCGAGCATAATGCCTTTGTCTCTCTGGTTGTATTTGCACAGGGATTCATGCTTGGATTAGCAGCTGGACAGAATGCAATTCAATCGCAATTATTTCGCTGCTCTTGCCTCTCCAAGCGTCTGAAAGCCATAGCTGCAGACTGTCTGAGACGGCTAGACCGAGACACTCAACCGTCACCGCAAACAGCTCAACATGGACAGCGCGCTAACTGCTACAGTTTATCTTCTCCTAGGCACCCAGTCGCTCATTGATCCTCCATCATGTCGAAGCCCTTCTTCGCCAAGGTCAAGAGCGTGCTGAGCGGCGACACCCTCATCTTGACCGCTCCCAACAACCCAAAAGCCGAAAAGACCTTCTCCCTCGCATACGTCGGCGCCCCTCGCTTGAACAAGGAGGGCGACGAGCCTTTTGCTTTCCAATCGAGAGAATACCTCAGAGAACTCGTCGTTGGCAAGCAGATCCAATGCACAGTAGCATACACCGTACCTTCCGGCCGTGAGTTTGGCACTGCTCTGCTCTCCAAGGACGGCCCCTCGCTGCCCGACGAAGCTGTCAAGGCTGGATGGCTCAAGGTCAGAGAAGATGCCGGCCGCAAGGAAGACAACGAGGCGATTCTGCAGCGTCTCGACAATCTGCGCAACTTGGAAACCGAGGCCAAGAGCGCCGGCAAGGGTCTATGGTCCGACAAGGGCGGCGTCATTGAGGTTCAGAATGACCTCGGTGGTCCCCAGTTCATGAACGAGTGGAAGGGCAAGACCGTTGATGGAATTGTTGAGCGGGTCCTTAGTGGCGATCGTCTGCTCGTGCGACTTCTGCTTTCGGACAAGAAGCACGTGCAGGTCATGACGCTCCTTGCCGGAATCCGTACGCCGACCACCGAGCGAACGATACAGTCCACCGGCCAGACTCAAGCCGCCGAAGAGTTTGGAAACGAGGCCAAGTCATTCGTCGAGGAGAGACTGCTCCAGCGCCGCGTCAAGGTCGATATCGTTGGCGCAAGCGCCCAGGGTCAGCTGGTCGCGGCCATCATCCACCCCAACGGCAACAAGAACATTGCCGAGTTCCTCCTGAGCGAGGGCCTTGCGAGATGCAATGACTTCCACTCCACCATGCTCGGCGAGAAAATGGCCGGCCTTCGTGCCGCTGAGAAGACGGCCCAGGGCAAGAAGCTGCGTCTGCATCAGCACCACGTCGCCAAGGCAGATGCCTCGTCTTCTGACATGGTCGTCGCCAAGGTCATCGGCGCCGACACCATCATTGTTCGCAACAAGGCCGGCACCAATGAGAAGAGAATCAACTTCAGCAGTGTCTGCGGTCCCCGCAGTAAGGAACCGTCCGAGGCCCCTTACAAAGACGAGGCCAAGGAATTCCTGCGCAAGAAAATCATTGGAAAGCATGTCCGCATCAGCATCGACGGTTCTAAGCCTGCTACAGAACAATTTGAGGCCCGTGAAGTTGCCACGGTGACTGAGAAGGGCAAGAACATTGGTCTGCTTCTGGTCGAAGAGGGCTACGCTTCCGTGATCCGCCACCGCAAGGACGACACTGACCGCTCGCCCAACTACGACGAGCTGCTCGCTGCTCAAGAGAAGGCCAAGGAAGAGAAAAAGGGTATCTGGTCTGGCAAGGCGCCCAAGATCAAGCAGTTTGTCGACGTTTCCGAATCTCAACAGAAGGCCAAGATCCAGCTCGGCACCTTGTCAAGACAGAAGAAGGTGCCCGCCGTTGTCGACTTTGTCAAGTCCGGTTCTCGTTTCACCCTTTTGATTCCTCGTGAGGGCGTCAAGCTCACTCTGGTTTTGGGCGGCATCCGCGCTCCTCGTGCCCCGGGCCCCCGCGGCGAGAAGGGTGAGGAGTTCGGCCAGGAGGCCATTGACCTCGCCAACCGTCGCTGCAACCAGCGCGATGTTGAGGTTGACATTTACGACATTGACAAGGTCGGTGGGTTCATTGGTGACTTGTACATCAACCGTGAGAACTTTGCCAAGCTGCTTGTTGAGGAGGGTCTTGCGTCCGTCCACGCCTACTCCGCCGAGAAGTCCGGTAACGCTACCGAGCTGTTTGCCGCTGAGAAGAAGGCCAAGGAGGGCCGCAAGGGTCTCTGGCACAGCTGGGACCCGTCACAAGAAGAGGAGGAGGAGTCCGCGCCCGCCGAGACCACAACCAACGATACCCCTGAGGCGTACGAGAACAAGCCCAAGGACTACCGGGACGTCGTCATCACCAACATTGACGGCAACGGCAAGATCAAGATCCAGGAGATCGGCAAGGGCACTGCTGCGCTGACTACGCTCATGAACGAGTTCAAGAAGTTCCACCTCGACTCCAAGAACAGCAAGCCCGTTGGCGATGCGCCCAAGGCCGGCGACTACGTCGCCGCTCAGTTCTCTGCCGATGGTCAGTGGTACAGGGCCCGCATTCGCTCCAACGACCGCGCCGCCAAGGTGGCCGAGGTCGTCTACGTCGACTACGGCAACTCGGAGAAGCAGCCTTGGTCTAAGTTGAGACCCCTGGACCAGCCTCAGTTCACCGTGCAGAAGCTCAAGGCGCAGGCTATCGACGCCTCGCTGTCGTTCCTCCAGCTGCCTACGGCGCCCGAATACTTCTCGGAGTCCATTGCCTTCATCGCTGAGTTGACCGAGGGTAAGGAGCTGGTTGCCAGCTTCGACTATGTCGACAACAAGGAGGGTGTCAGCTACATCACGCTCTTTGACTACAACGCAAGTGACAAGAAGCCGGGCCCGAACGACTCTATCAACAAGGAGATTGTTGCCAACGGCCAGGCCATGGTTCCCAAGAAGCTCAAGGCGTGGGAGCGCAGCAGCCAGCACGCTGCTTACCTGAAGCACCTCAAGGAGGTCGAGGCCAAGGCGAAGGAGGAGAGACTGGGCATGTGGGAGTACGGCGATATCACCGAAGACTAAAGGCAGCGAATTGATTACGAGCAGGATAGGAAAATGTCTTTAGGGGCGGTTCAGGAAAAGTCACTACATAATTCGCAGTAGCCTTGTATGAATCAATAGGCAGCATGAGGCCTTATCGGGTTGGCCTAACATGGGTTTTTTTTTCCCGTCTTCATAATCATAATGGCGTTTCATGAGTGTCATGGCGGTTTTCCTCGGAGGTGCCGCCCGTAAGATGGATTTCCGAAAGGTGACGAGGACTGAGAGTCACGATTGATCCTCGGAGTTTACGTAATGAGAGGTGTCCCGGTGCCGCTGGCGGGCGGGATGGTCGGCCGGTCGGTTTAATGTCTCCCAAGGCCAGACAGGAATGGTCTGGTCCAGTCCAGCGGAGGAGAGCGGCACCACATTTACAGGCCTCTCACCGCGCGCTTCGTTCGGCTCGCGTAAGTAGATGCGCTAGGTCACGTTGCGTTGCGCGCGCGAGAGGAAGTAAAGGAGCGATGGTGGGAGGCGGTGGAAGGTCAGAGAAGCACGAGAAGCCCCGGGAGCCGGAGTTTCCTGATTCAAGTGGGGGGTCCTTCGAGCGTCCTTTTTTCGAGGGCGACTTCGGGGGCTGAGGTGACTTGGCGATTTGGAGCGGGCCAGAAGGGTTGCCAAAGCTCGTCAGGCATTGGCGCGGAACTACAGGCTTCCCACGATAACGGGCTCGTCGTCCCTGGTTGTGCTCCGTAGACTAATCCTAGAGTAAGAAGGCCATGCTACTGTCGCCAGAGATAACGGTAGAGTTCCATGGCAACCGAGGGGCAATTGAAGCGGCGTGCGGATCTGACGGATAAATATGAAGGGGGTTTAGAGCGACGCGATAGGATACGGGCGATTGAAACACCAGGTGAGGGAGATTTTTGAGCCAATGGCGAGCGACGGCGAGCACGTGGTGAAAGGCGAGAAGCACGATGGTGTCTTTTCTCGGGTTAAGGGGAGCTGAGTCATAGCCGAGCGCAGATTCCGTGATGCTGCATTCACATCTCGGTCATCTCTGGATGAGTGAGAAGCGGTAGAAGCGCTGGAGGTGTGAGCCAAATTGGGCGAATGGCCTCGTCTCGAGGAGGGGCGATGAGTGAGTGTCTAGGACCGAAGAAAAAGCCTGGCTCACGTTGCCGAGTACGGACGGGCACCACTACAATACGGTCGTACCGGGACGGACGGACGGGTGATTGCGGCGACGGCGGCGTCGGTGATGAGTAAAGCGTTCGTTCCCAAGACGACATCGCCTATCACCGAAGAAAGAGACGCTGCTTGAGTCGGGCCTTTCTCGTTCACTGGTCAGCAGTATTTCTCGCTTCTTCCGGCTTCCAGGCGTATGCCTTGGTTTTGGATTTTTTGTTGCCTGAGCGATTCAAGCGACTCGAGGTTCAAGCAAATCCCATCGCGATTCGCGATCACCCGGCTCCGTTTTGTTATGGGGATGTTACGTCGATGCTGGCCCGTGGGCAGCCTCGCAGGCGCGGGCAATACCGCAGCAGAGCGATTTTTAGGGACCGAAACCCAGCCTTGGACCAAGCAGTGAGGAGAGTCGACAGGGTCTTGCGACAGGAGCGGATCTCCGTCAACCTTTTGAGACCAGAAGTTTGCAACTTGTCGGCAACACTCTCAAACTGGCATCAACGAAGCGGTAGGGAGGGCGGCCCACGGGTGCCCACGGAATACTGGGGGTATGACGCTGATTCTGGGTCATGGAGGGGCGAAAGGTCAACGGTGGGGAGGGGGGTCCTTACCTCCCCTTGCTGGGCGGATCGGATCCCCTTCAGTGCAGCCAGCACCAGCAGACCAAAAAAAAATAGCAGCCTTACTCACGGTAGCCGCGACCGTCGACGTAATACCTACCCCGCCAAACGGTGGGCGACTGCGTGACGGTGGGTTGTCGTCGGTGTTGCTCGACCACGCTGGATGTTACTTCACATGAGCAGAGCAGCATAGCATCGCGAGATGAACCAACAACCTGCCAGAATTGGTCTTATTCAGAAAAACAGCGATCAGCATTCTAGACAACGCGTTTACTTGTGTGCAGTGTTAGCCAAATGGGAATACCCATGAAGTCGGCCGTGTCTCCGAAATGCTGGCCGACAGACTTGTAGCCATCACAACCTTGTAGATACCGTCGTTTTTTCCTGGCGGCGGTTTATTTTACTCATGTACACGGACAGCAGCAGCAACCGCCCCCCAGTGTGGGTCTAAAAAGTGTCAGTGAGGTGAGGGACAAATGTTACCCCTCGTCCCAGGTGCAGCGCGGCGCTTCTTTCCTCAACAAAGATCCAAACTACTTCTATAACATCACGTCCTCCCAATTTCTTCCACCTACAACTTTCCTCTTCCTCTCTCTTCCCAAGTCAAACTCTCCTTGATACCACACATCAACCGCCACCATTCATCCATCATCAACCAAAATGTCTACCTCTCTCGACCAGCTCAAGTCCACCGGCACCGTCGTTGTCAGCGACTCCGGCGACTTTGCCTGTTAGTTCACCCCGCCTCCCCTCCTCTCCCCAAAATCTCTCAACCCGCTGCTGCTGTCTGTCGATGGATTGGTTCGCTGCCACCACACCCCAATCCATCGCGGGCAATTGCCAATGGAATCGCATCATGGTGCCAACGACGGATGGACAGAAAGCTAACATGTTACCTTTGCAGCCATCGCCAAGTACAAGCCCCAGGATGCCACCACCAACCCCTCCCTCATCCTCGCCGCCTCCAAGAAGCCCGAGTACGCCAAGCTGATTGACGAGGCTGTCGCCTACGCCAAGAAGAAGGGCGGCTCCGTCGACGAGCAGGTCGACGCTGCCCTCGACTCCCTCCTCGTCGAGTTCGGCAAGGAGATCCTCAAGGTCGTCCCCGGCAAGGTCTCCACCGAGGTTGACGCCCGCTTCTCCTTCGACACCAAGGCCTCCGTCGACAAGGCTCTCCACATCATTGAGGTGCGTCTGCCCCGATCCTTTGACTGCTTACTGAGATACTGACGACCACTCTAGCTGTACAAGGAGCAGGGCATCTCCAAGGACCGTGTCCTGATCAAGATCGCCTCCACCTGGGAGGGTATCAAGGCCGCTGAGATCCTCCAGCGCGACCACGGCATCAACACCAACCTGACCCTCATGTTCTCCATCACCCAGGCCATCGCCGCCGCTGAGGCCGGTGCCTACCTCATCTCCCCCTTCGTCGGCCGCATCCTTGATTGGTTCAAGGCTGCCCACAAGAAGGAGTACACCAAGGAGGAGGACCCCGGTGTCAAGTCCGTCCAGACCATCTTCAACTACTACAAGAAGTTCGGCTACAAGACCATCGTCATGGGTGCCTCTTTCCGCAACATTGGCGAGATCACCGAGCTTGCCGGCTGCGACTACCTCACCATCTCCGTATGTCCCCCCTTAAAGTCTCCACCTGCTCACCAGCACGTCACTAACAAGTTCTCTAGCCTAACCTGCTTGAGGAGCTCCTCAACTCCGACGCCCCCGTCCCCAAGAAGCTTGACGCCACCGCTGCCCAGAGCCTCGACATCGAGAAGAAGTCGTACATCAACGACGAGCCCCTCTTCCGCTTCGACTTCAACGAGGAGCAGATGGCCGTCGAGAAGCTCCGCGAGGGTATCTCCAAGTTCGCCGCCGACGCTGTCACCCTTAAGGACATCATCAAGGCCAAGGTCCAGGCATAAATTGCTTGTAACGGGAAATGGGAACGAGTGCGCTAGGCATTTATGTGGAGGATATATCATGATGTGAGAATGACTTAATGAGAAGGAACACAAAACACAAACCCCATTGTATACAGCACTTCCAGAAGTGAAAACGAGGCGCTGTGAGAACTTTCCTTTTTTTTTTTGGAGGGAGGCATAAAATTACAAAAGATCAGACTGCTTTGGTAGCAACAATCCATGGAATTAGTCTCCCAAAAACCAGTCGCCAATGTCTGAGCAAGTGTGCAAGTGAACAATAAAAAACGAGGGGATAAAAACCGTCAATGGCTTTGATGCTTCATTAAAATAGTTAAAATACGGGTTGCGTCCATCCGGTTTGTAGCAGCTAGGTTTGTACAGTAGAAAGACTCAATAGTCGTATGAATATCGACGGCATGTTTGTGTCTGGTTTCCTCTAAAGATGATTGGGCACTTATCGACCCATTCTGATCGTTATCGTCGGCTTGCATTTCCATGTCCTCTTCTCTGACACATGGATAACCATTTTGTCCTTTTTTTTATATATGCATCATGATTCTCCACTCCCTTTCTATGACCGGGCCTCGTGCTTCTTGCTCTTCTTGTGCTTCTTCGCCTTCTTCCCTTGGTCCTTGTCGCACTTGACGCTCTTGACCACGTGCGTGACGCCCTCGGGCGTGGCCTCGATGACGAGCGCCGTCAGCTCGCCGCCGTTGACGCAGCCAGAGTCGAGGCCGAACGTGTACGTGTTGATGTTGAGCCCCTTCTTCGAGTCGTGGCCGTAGGCCACGGCGGTGCGCGGCTCGCCCTCGGGCAGGGCCTTTTGGTGGGCGTTCCAGGCCTTGGGCCAGCTGCTGGCGCCGTCGCGGCGGTCGGTGGGGATGGCGATCTTGCGGTCGTCGGGCTTGCGGCGGCGCTCGTGCTCGCGCTCAATCATGGACTCGGTGACGGCGCCGCCGGCGGCCCCGGCGGCGTAGTGCGTCTTGCGGTACTCCTCGAGGACCTTCTTGGCCTCCTCCCGGCGGAGCTCCTCGCGCGGGTAGACGAGGCCGCGCATGTTCATGACGGCCCAGGGGTCCTGCTGCTTCAGGGACAGGCCGGGGACGAGGCCGGCGTGGACGACGACGAGGTTGCCGAGGTTCTCGACGGTGCCGACGTCAAGGATCACGGGGAGCGTCGAGAGCCAGTCGAGGTGCTTGCGCGAGAGGGCGCGGGCGGTGGCGCGCTCCCTGGAGTCGCCGTGCGGGAAGATGGCGGGCTCGAGGTCGTCTTGCTCGGGTTCCGAGACGGCGTCGTTGTCGGAGGCGGGCTGCGCTTCGGGCTTTGCGTCCTCCGTCGTCTGGCCCTCGGCCTTGGTCTCCTCTTCCTCCCTCGTGGCGACGGGGTTGCCGTGGGCGTCCTCGTCGGCGACGTGCTTCATGCCCATGCTCCTGTGCGCCAGCAGCACGCGGTCCTCGTGGTTGCCCCTCACGGCGGAGGCGCCGAGCTGCATGGCCAGGTCGACGACGCCCCGCGAGTCGGGGCCCTTGTTGATCATGTCGCCCGCGAGCACGAGGTGATCGCCCTTTGCCGTGTCGAAGCGCAGCTCCTCCAGGAGCCGGTCGAGCGAGGCGCGCATGCCGTGGACGTCGCCGACGATGACGAGGCGGTGGCGCGGGTTCGCGCGCGAGGGGACGTGGTGCCCCGGCAGCGAGGCGATGTGCACCGCGAGGTCGGTGAAGCCCGGGCGGGCGGTCGAGCCGTACGACATGGGCGCGTCGGCGGGGGAGCGTCTCGGGGCGTCTTGCGCGGAGGGGCGGCGGCGGATGGAGAAGTCGACGGAGGAGGCGATGCGGGTGGCCGCGAGGAAGATTGTGGTGAGGAAGAAGAGGGCCGCGGCGCAGACGATGCCGCGGTGCAGGCGGGCCGGGACTTGCAACGTCATTGTGACGACGGGCTGGGGCGGGTGTGTATATGCGTCGTTGGATGTGATATAACGGGTTGTCCCCTCGAGGGCCGTCTTGTTGTTGTCGGCGTGGTGGCTCGGGAGGGCTGTTCGTGTGTGTTTGCTGCGTCGGGAGAGAGAGGTTGTCGCCACTGATATGGCTATCGAGCTGAGCCGCGTGTCTTTGTTGAACGATGACGTTGTTGGGGGTTTGCAGGAGAGAGGAGAAAGCTTTTCCCCCGTGGCAGCGAGCCCAAGGTTAATCGGCAACCTTCGTTTCGGAGATTGGGAGGGTTCGCGCGGGTGGCTTCCGGCGTTTGTCTCGAAGGTTGGGACGAGACGGGACGGGACGTAGGTGTTGATGGTGGCCGCCGGCAACTTTGCAATGTTCCCCGGGTTGCGGAAGGGGGAAAAAAGCGTACGTAGATGGGCGGGCTGTATGGAGTCTCGTTTCCCTTATCGCAATCGGTTAAGGGGGTGGATGCCGTCGAGAAGGGATGGGTCCGTGGTCATCTACAGGTTTTCAGGGATGTGAAAACTCTTGTCAGGGATCATTCGTTTCTTCTCCGGTGGCGCCGTTGAAAAAGGAGAAAGAAGAAAAGAAAGAAAGAAACACAGGCTAATAGGGGACAATAACGAATAAAAGACCAAGACCTCGAGGCCGCAACCGAGGAGGGGGGGGAGGATGCGATGGGTCGAAGATGCCGTGCGATTTTTCGCCAAAACAGAAACCCACCGCGTCCGCAAAAGGATGGTTGAGAGGAGCAGCTCGCTGACCACAAGTGACCCCGGAGTTGAGAGGGAACGGGAGGCAGAGAGACAGAGCCAAGAGGGCTGCTTGCCCGCCAAGTCGAGGATTGCGGTGCAAATTGGTGGTGGACTGGGAAAGTCGGCACGCGACGTGGCATGCGACCCCTGCGGGTTCCCGCTGGGCGGCTCGAATTAAGGTATTGCCCTGCCCACCCTATCCGTCAGCGGCGTCTGTACGGAAGGCTTCCTCGCTGGAATGGGCTGTGGCCTCCTGCGCTGTGGAGAGGAAGGATTCACTGGGCACACACTCACACACACACTATAGTTGGCTCCGCTGCGTCGGCGGACTAGTTGGGGGAGGAGGAGGAGGAGGAGGAGGATTCGCATGCGGCGGGGCGGAATGACGGCGGCGGACGGACGCTGGGAAGAGTCTTGGTCTTGTCTGACAGGGGAACGATGTGCGCCTGGCCTACCTAGCGTCAAGTGTCCATCTACCTAGTCTAGTCTGGCATTCCTCTTCGCATTCTGCTAGGGGGACTCCTAGCGCTCTCTCTGCACTGCACCCCAATGCGATTGCCCAAATACCTACGATCGGCAGGGCTGAGTCTGCAGTGCGCGTTGCCGCATTTCTCACATCGTCCGAGAGGCTGAGACAGTCCCTCCCGGGTGCGTATACCGTCTTCGACAGACGGGGTTCTGGTTGTCTCACACGCAACCCGACGACTCTCTTGTGTTGCGTCTCCCGCCTCTTTCTTTTGCGTCGCTCCTCCCCAAGACTTTGTGTGGTGCGTCGCCAAGGTATGTCCTTGCGGCACAGCATTCGACAAGTCCCTTTACGGGATGCAATAGGTACGCCAGTCCCCCCTATTTGGCGCGCGTGTTTGCAGGCCTCGGCACCCCCTCTTTAAAGGTTGGGTATTGTGATTATCCAGGGGGGCCTCCGATGTCTTGGAAGGAGGAGAATAAGGAAAATATAATGAAGGCCGTATATATGGGCTTGGAGCCAGGTCTGCGCTGGCAGACACTCTGCCGTCTTTGTATTAAAGGCTTGGACTATGTAAGAGCCGGTTGTTACTTCGTGTGCCGAACATACTAAGACCATCGAGGCAATCAAGTCTCTCGATGGCAACTAGGTGTTGTTTAAAAGGTTGGAACGATGTCTACCAGGTGATCAGGTTGTCTGCGCCAGACAGAGAGCGGCACTCGGCCAATAACTACATTGTCAAAGGGTCCAACAAAGACACAGACCACCAACAACTTGCTGTTGCGCTGCGACAAAAAAAAAAAAAAGCAGATCAGTCGACACCCGCCACTCGTGCAACTTATCGAGAAGGAAAGAAGAGCTCAGAGAGCGGGAGACAATACTGGCAAAAGCACTCGGCTGAGTCGGGCTGAACGGCAAAAGATTTTGACCAGCATGGGGGTCGAACCCACAATCTCCTGATTCCACGGTATATCGTAGTCAGACGCCTTGCCATTGGGCCAACCGGCCAGACAATTCTGAACACCTGTGGTGTCCGTCTGTGTGAGAAACGGCGATCAGGTCGGTCAAGAAATTTTCGACCTGTGCATGAATCATGCAAACACATGTTCTCCTCGAGGCATCACTAACATCTAGTACCTACGAACAGATTGGAGATCCTCACCAAATCACTTGTTCATCCCCAACTCGTGCCATGAACATATTGCATTATCTGACGTTCAGTCGTATGGGTTAAGTAAAGAGCTGAGACAACCTTCTTCCTCGAGTTCGTTGTCCTCAAGGCCACTTTGTTTTATGAATGTAGTCGCCATCAAGACTTGACAAGGTAAGAACAACGGTTCTGTCAGATTACCGAATACAAGAAGCCTTTTGAAATAATCTTTGCTAGGTCTGTGTTGCAATCTCGGCCTCGACTGGGCCAGCCCAAAGAAAACAGTGCTGAAGCCTCAAAGACTACAGGTTGGCCTTGCGCCGTAGACCAGGTCCATCACTAAACAACCAAGCCTTTGATCTCGAATACGGACAACTGATATGGATTTTTGACCGACTACAATGGCTTGTATAATATGATGCTCCTTGTCTACCTGCCACGATGTACTTACTGCCACATCCGCAACAACTCACACTCAGAATCGCTCAACCATCCTAACAATCAAGACATGAAGACTCTTGTGCTTGCAGTCATCGGTCCTCATGGAGCCGGCAAAACCTCCTTCATTCAATCCGTGACGGGATGCGACCCCGTCAACCTGCCTCAAAGCCCTGCTGTCATTGAAGATGGCCAGTTCTCTTACACACCTCCTGACGTATCCGATGTCTCTCTGCATCGCTGCAACCTCGCATCCGGACAGACGCCATACATTCTCGTAGATACCCCAGGCCTCTGTGCCCGAAGGGACAATGCCCCGGACCACGAGACGGTCAGCTTCATTAAGGCCCGGCTCGACCGCGCAAACGTCCAGCTCGACGGCGTTATCTACCTCCAGCGCATCATGGAAGCGACCAGTGCCGACTTTGCGATTCGCAACCTCGAACACTTTCACGAGACGTTCAAGTCGGACGAGTTCCAGCACGTCGTGGTGGCGACGACCTTTTGGGACGTGGCGCCCGAGATTGGCCCGATGAGCGACCAGTTCTTTCTCAATGAGCTTCGCCGGCTAGACGCCTCGATGCAGATGGAGCACCGGACGGCGCGGCTGTATAACGACTTCGAGTCGAGCATCGTTCTCCTGAGGAAAACCCAGCGTGTGTCAACCTTCCACCCCCTTGGAACTTACGAGTCTAGTCTTGGTAAGTCCGCATACTCTGTTGGGCCCTGGGAAGATATCCTTTCGAATGGCAAGTGCTGTATGATGTGAATGTTTGACAGATGTTTATCGGATAGTTGTGGAGGTATTAGAGGTAGGTCACTGGAAATATTAAGATAACCATTGGGACTCATTTCTAGCAATAGCTAGCCATCTCGCACACCTTTTGCACAATCCTTTGGTATTGACTCAGGCCAATTTGCTGCTTGTAACTGGTCTTGGTTTTTTGACGCTATTAAAAATTACCACTAAGTGAATGCCAGTGCTTCTCGCTATCGTTTGCCACTCATCAATGATTTCAATTCCTGTGTAAATCAGCTCAAATCGAGCCACTTATACCGTGACGGGAGGACGGCTTATCTAGGAAGTTGGGATGATGGAGGGCAAATATGACTAGTGACCAACAGGTATATTTGGTTGGAACCAATCAAACAAGCCACCAAAGCCTGGAACATCTCTTGCGTATTTCGGGTTGACTGTTGCCAAGCCAAGCCACAACCGAGCATGACATGGCATAAGTGGCTGGCTCTGTCGCACTTTGCAATATCAGGCTGGACAGATCTCACCTCTGCTTCGAAGCCCAACTTTGTGCTGGTGTTCCAAGATGCCAACGATCGCACTGATCTGACAGCTTTTTCATTTTCTCGACAGTACCTGAAGATGGCCGTCGCCTACGAACCGACCTGTTAGGCCATTTTAGTTCGTCGGTTCTTGGCGCAGTCGGCCTTTCATGCAGTAGCGTCCCATTCATCTCGGCCTTCCTCATCCAGACCCGCAGTTCCTTTAAGAGGTGATCTCCCCGCCGCAACCTTGCAGCTCAGCTCGGAGTCACTCGCGTCGCGGGATACAGGCAGATAACTCCAGGCGAGCGACGCCACGCCAGCCTTACCTCGAGTTCCGTAGTATATCATATGCATCGTTGACTCCAACTTGCGTCTGTCTGTCTTGGTAAGTCTACGGTCTCCCATCTCATTCACCATGCGGCTGTACGGCATCCAATATCCCCGGGTCCTTCCCGCGGCGCTCGCAACCCTTGCCATCACCATCGGCAACGCTTTGCCTGAAGCACCATGCAGAGCATACCCCGGCAGCGCTGACTGGCCGTCCGCAGAAACCTGGGCCCGTCTCAATGAGTCTCTTGGAGGGAGACTCCTGCGACCGACTCCTCCAGGAGCTGTCTGCCATCCCGGACAACCCACCTACGAAGAGGACCGATGCGCCGCCGTCACGGCCGGCTGGAGCTCTTACGAGCTCCACGTCGCCGACCCCGTCTCCGTCATGTGGACAAACTTCAGCAATGACACCTGCCTTCCTGACCCGGCTGATGTGTGCAGCTCTGACGGATACCCTGCGTTCGTCGTGAACGCCACCACGCCGGAGCACGTTAAGCTTGGCGTCGATTTCGGTTTGTGTTTGTTCGTGCGTGCCAACGTCCAAGGCTGACTGGCTGCCAGCGCGGGAGAACAATGTGAGACTCGTTGTCAAGAGCACAGGTCACGATTACCTCGGCAGATCGATTGCCCCTGGCTCCCTCTCAATCTGGGTGCATCATATGCAAGGCATTGAATACCACCCGAATGAATTCAAGCTTGCAGGCAGCAACACCACTATTGCGGGCAACGCTGTGTCTGCCGGTGGCGGCACCGAGATGGGCGAACTCCTCAAGGCCGCTGCTGAGCATGGCCAGGTCGTGGTCGGCGGCACTGCCGAGTCGGTGAGCGTGGGCGGGTACGTTACCGGAGGCGGTCACTCGTTGCTTGCGCCCCGTTTCGGCTTGGCTGCCGATAATGTCCTTCAGATGGAAGTCGTCACGCCTTCGGGCGAAATTCTGACTCTCAACGAGGCGCAGAACAGCGCTCTGTTCTGGGCCATGCGTGGTGTGAGTAGAGCCAGCTTCGGAAGTCGACGTGAAGGCTGACTATCCCAGGGAGGCGGATCAACATTTGGTGTGATCACGTCCGTCACCTTTGCAACGCATCCTTCCCCACCAATATCCAACACGGCGTGGGCAATGCTCACCGAGCCCAGGGCCTCTTATCTCCCAGACCTCGCCGCATACTTCCTGTCCCAAGCCCCGTCGCTCGGCAAGGCCGGACTCTCTGGCTATGCCTTGATCAACTCGCATATGCCGAATCCTGTCAGCGCACCGGGTCTTCCGCCAAACGCAACCGGAATCATTGGCGTGTCCCTTCTCCAAGACGATGCAGACTTTGACGAAGTGAAGAGACTCTGGACTTCAATAAATAAGACCATCCATGAACGTTGGCCCAAGGTAGCATTCCTCAGCATGAACACGCAGTACCCAACATGGCAGGACTATTACGACAAGAACCATGACCAAAACAAGGGTGGGATGAATAAGTTGCTGGTGTCGCGACTTCTGGATGAGGAGGCGTTGACGGGAGACTTGGACGCCCTGGCAGGCGCGGTGAAGACTATGACAGACAACGTCGGAGGCATGTACGCCTTCTTGGTCTCCGGTAAGGGGGTACATGATGCGAAGCCGAGGGGTGGTGGGAATGCGGTGCATCCGTCATGGCGGAAAGCCTACATCCATGCTAGTAAGTTGAGACGGCCACACTTTCCACGTTCTACCAAAACTGACTGGGGCTGCGTAGTCGCTGCCGTAGGGTGGGCCTCGTTCAACACGACTTCCAAGGAAGACGCGGAGAAGAGGATCTACGATGCGGTCGAGGGTTTTCGTCAGCTTTCGCCAGAGATGGGTTCCTACGTGAATGAGGTGAGAACGGGTCACACAGCTGAACTATTACTCCCTGAGGCTTCACTGACATCAATCAGGGTTTACAATACGAGAGGGACTGGCAGAAAACCTTCTGGGGTGACAACTACGAGCGTCTCCTCGGCATCAAGAAACTCGTCGACCCAGACGACACCTTTTGGTGTCATCCATGCGTTGGAAGCGAGGGGTGGACGGCGAGAAGCGACGGGCGGCTCTGTAAAGTCTGAACGGCCTTCGCAGCTGGTCTCTGTATTCTAGCCTCAAAGATCAACGGCAGAGATTTCAACTTGTATTCAGTAATCCATGCTACTTTGATCCAATGTCCCGAACAGGATTCGTAACCCAGAGAGTGCTGAGTACGCATCGTGCCATGGTCTATTCTCGTTCATGAACAGAGCGAAGCTCTCAAAGTTCATCAGACCAAGGCCCGCTCCTGCCATCCATGTCGATCGACAGCGTAAAGTGATGTGTCTCCCGAAGTCAGAGACAAAGCCAGATATCTCACAAAACCATGGTGATTGTATTCATAATTAGGGGTTCCACTACTATTTGTTCGACCATGTCAGCCGTGGCCTACGACTTCCTCGTCGGGTTCATCGCCTTGACCCAAGGCTTCCAGATATCCTCAATCGTCTCGGGGTCGTTCCATCCGTTCCACTCATAGTTGGTCAGACCCCACGTGTCCGGGACGCCCTGCGCGCCGGAGCGCACGCGGTAGCTGCCGGCAAGGCCCCAGACCATCCAGCTGACGTTGTGCTTGACGGTGTACTCCCGCAAGCACACCTGGAGAGTGTCGTTCCTCAGTGTGGCGTCCTGGCCATTGCCAAACTCGGAAAAGATGACGGGCGTCAACCGGCTCGCCTTGGGGCAGTCGTTTGTGACGTTGCAGGCCGCGGGCTTGTCGATGCCCAGCGCGTTGAACCCGCTACGGTAGAGGCCGGCCTCGATGATGGGGCAGGTGCCCGTGTCCTGGTCCTCGCTCATCTTGTACAGGTGCAGCTCCCAGACGAGCTTGTCGGCCCAGGCATGGCTGTCGAGGTCGAAGACCTTGGGCTCACGGCGGGCGGCGTCGCGGATGGCGGTACACTTGTAGCACGGCGCCGTCAGGTAGTTCTTGCCGGAGGTGAGCGCAGAGAGGTCCTGGCCGTACTGCATGCCGCCCCAGAGGATGAGCACGTCCGGGTTCGCCTCGTGGATGGCGTCGGCGCCGGCCGAGAAGTTGCCGACCAGCGTCTCCCAGTTGTAGTACAGGTTCGTCACGTTCCACGACTCGCGGACCTCGTTGCGGAGGGACAGCGAGACGATGTTGGGGTGGGCCTTGGCCCAATTGGCGACGTACGAGAGGCCGCGGCGCCAGTGCGTGGTGTTGAAGTGCACGTCGTCGAACCAGGCGTTGCCGTCGATGTGCGAGCAGCACCACGAGGCCTTGCTGACGTGGACGTCTGGCGAGATGAAGATGCCGCGCTCGAGGGCGGCGGCAGCGATGTCGGACCAGATCTCGAAGCGGGTCGTCTCGCGCGTCCAGGAAGGGTTGTGGCGGACGATCTCGTTGGTGACCTTCGTGCCGTTGACGAAGCCTAGAGCGGTGATCATGGCGACCTCGAGGGGCACATCCTCGCCTTCGCGGTCGTAGATCTGGTCGACCATTTCGATGGCGTAGCCCCTGAGAAGGGTGTGTTAATACGTTATCCTGGAGAGTGGGCTCTGTCACAGGACTTGCGACTTACATGCGGATGTAGTTGAAGCCCACGCTCTCGACGTTATCGAGAATCTGGTCGACCGATGCCCATTCCAGGCCCTCGGGGACCATGGTCTCTCCTGGGTTCTGAATCAGTCACAGCACCGAGGCATTGGGCCATAAGGCAGACATACCGCTCATGGGCCAGTTGACGCCGGCCCATGTCACAACCTCGCCGCGGCTGTTGACGATGTCACGGCCGCGGGTACTGAAGGGACCGTACGGCCACGCGCTACCGGTCTGGTTGCCCTCCTGTCTCGAGACAGCTTTATGAGAGATGTACCGAGGCACGGTGGGAGCCTTCATGTACTGTGCGCATGTTGACGACACGAGCGCCGCGAGGGCGATTGTAAGGCCCTTCATCGTGGAAGCAAGCTCGCGTCAAATCCCACCTTTAAAGAAAGCTGCAATGGAACGACGAGAGTTGGTCTCGAAGCTTGGGGGAAACGGAAGCGAATGGCCTGGGAATCCGGCTCTTAAAAGGACGTCACATCGGGTACAGCATCTGGGGCAACGATCCACTGGGCAATTGGCATTGCCGTTCGGCTCCGCATCCCCCGCACCGTTGGCTCCTTCCCTCTAGCTTAATGAGCATCGTCATTCGACCTGTCGACGATGGTCCGGTGATGGGCGATGGCTGCAGGCGGTGACCTTTTTACCGAAGCCATCTCACTCAAGGGCTAGGGGCCGGCGCCGCCAGGGAAACCCCCATGTCCACGAACAAGACTCACCCCAGGTTCCTGGTGACGGCATTGGACCGCTTGAACGAGTGGAGATGCTCGAACCTGGGCTTACCCCGCATTCGATAATGGAGATTGTGGAGAAGAGAAAGACTGGGAGGGGGAAACGAAGATGACGGGCAGCGGGAGAAAGACGACCTAGTTCTTTTGCTGGGCAACGGTCTTGCCGGGGCGGGGGAAGTGCATGCGGTCTCGGGGCCGGATTCGCAACGGACACGCCGAGTCTAGTTGAGATGCTGTCTGGCCTTGCCTTCTGGCCATGAGTGAGCCGGAAACCTCAGCGGTTCCGTCAACCAAGGCCTGCCCTCTGCGAGTTTGGGCGAGTTTGTGGCTTCGCCTCTCTTTACTGGCATGCGGTAGGTTAGTATCATGTGATGGGCCCTACTTTGTTGGGACGATGATACGCTATGGCATTGTAAGATTCAAGACTCAATTACAGTTGAGTAAGCTTAATTGATAAGGCTAAAATATTCAAATCCTGCGGGACCGCATTCCGACACCACATCATTATCACAACCTGGTCCTCGTAGAGTTTTCGTTTGACTCAAAAACTGTACAGCTCGGCAGCACATCTGACTGAACTTCTGTGAGCTGTTGTAAATATATATTTACTACATGTGTACTGAGTAAGTGATCAAAAGAGGATGCGAACGTTGTTCTTCTTGTAGCCAAGCAGGTACCATGGCCGAACCAGCAGAGGTCAATTCACCACCTCACGTAATATTGGGTTCCGAGACTCTTGATGCGGGGAAGTAACCAAAGCCGGACGAGTACTGCCCGGCCATTGGTCTGCCATAAACTACGTTACTAAACAAGCGGGAGGGACGACGCGTGAGCACGCACGCTATTACCGAGTCATTAGAAAGGACGAGACTTCTGAGAATAAAGACATTGGGCGCGAGTTGCGAAAGTGAAAAAGAGAATACCGTCAGGGACGGGGCAGGGAGAACACAATGCGCTATGGGAGGTGGACAAGCCTCGAGAATCGTTAAGCTTCCCGTGATCTAGTTCTGAAACGGGAACGAGCTTTGTCTACACAAGATAGAGGAGGTTCAGAAAAACGAGGGGAAAAAGAAAGGTGTGGTCAAGGGCATGATCCGAACTTACCGACCTTCGGCAGAGAGCGAAATGCCGTCACGGGCACGGGGAAACTCAGTTGAACTTCGGGACACGACCCTCCACTACCGGGGTTTTCCAGCTACGAAAAGGTTATACACAGTAATGGCCTCAAGTTGATCTGTTTACCCCGGATTTGACTTATGAAGGTAGCTTTTTGACTTTGTGTGAACCTTGTTGCGATAGCCGTGGGATGAGTTTTCAAAGTTCACGTTGTTCAAGGCTAGGCAGACTACAGGTTTCGCGACTGGTGGGTGAATTGCCAACCTTATATGCTTTGCAATAGATCGATATGAAGTCCCCAAGCTCAAAATCACGCCTCGTACCTAAACCATCGTATTCACTTGTTTAGGCTCTTCTCCGGGTTCTTCTCGTACCGATTGCACCACTTGCGCCACTCCTTGGCCGCCTTGTGCATCACGACCCGCAAGTCGTCCTTGACGTCGCTCACCTCCCAGGCCTCATCCTCCCAGTTCTTTTGCCCACGCGTCAAAGCAGGGGACCAGCCAATAGCCTCTAGACACTCACTATGTCACGTGGGAGCCGTCAGTACATCTTATAGGCACAATAACAAGTCGTTTGGTAGGGATGAGACTTACACTTCCGTGGGCGACGACGTGTATTTGGGAAACAATTTCGAGTCAACGCGGTGGCATTCGGCCTCAAGGTATCGCGCAAGCACGTCGATGCGGGTCGCCGGTCTGAAGCTGAGTTGCAGCTTGTCCTCCTTGGCCATCTCAGCCTCGGACTTTTGCGGGTCGATGGACTCGGGCTTCTTGGAGGAGGATGTGAGGCGTTTTGTGACGGAGCGTGCTGTCTTGGAACCCTTGATGGTGAAGTACGCCCATACGGCTGTAGGATGTTAGCAAGACGCACGGGGTAGATTTGGTATGTGGGGGGATACTGACCATTAACTTCAAAGAGTCCAGAGACGGCAATCATGATGGTATCGATCGCCAGCGATACAGGTAACAGCCCCGTAGCGATGATGGCGTCCCGCTGTGCCTTGGACTTTGTGCGCAGCATCGAGTTGATGAACTCCTCCCTCATGGCCTCGGGCGTCATGTTCATTGATGGTGAGTACACAAAGACAATCTCTTCGACCCCGACTGTCTTCTTCGTCTCGTGCGACGTGTGAGCCGGGTCATCTTCCATCAAGTCATCGTGTTCATTGCTCTCCTTAGCCTTGAAGTGATCCTCCTCGTCCTTGTCACCTTGCTCCTCGGCAAGCTTCTCCTCTCTCGCCTTCTCATCGAGGTCGTTACCTTCGGGATTCTTCTTCTCGTCATTGATGAGTTTCTCCGTGTCTTCCTTGTTCTCGGACGCCTCGTCCTTCTTCTCCTCGACGTTCTTCTCCTTGTTGTCCTTCTCGTCGACTTCGACGGCCTTGTCTTTCTTTTCCTTCTTTCCCTTGCCCTTGAGCGACAGCTTGCGGGAGATGGCCGAAGGGGGCTTTGGCGGAGGCGTAACCCTCGCAAGGTAATCCAAGTTGCTCGTGGTGGTATACTGCATAGCCTTGTCCACACCGCGAGTGCACTTCGCCTTGAACCCCGCCCAGCTCGTCGTCTTTGCGTCGCTCAGCTTGGCCTGCCGCACCTCGTTCTGCCACTTCCGCTGCACCTTGTGCGTGACGCCCTCCTTGACGCCCTCGGGCGGTGCCTGTAGCGGCGGGGGCGGGGGCGTGTAGATGAGGAAGCGCGTGGGGATGGCATCGGTGGGCGCCTTGGCCCCGAGCCAGGGCTTAGGGAAGGGGACCAGATACGTGATGAGCTTGTGAGGGTCTCGAGAGTAGTGGATGGGGTGGGAAGGGTCGTCGTTGCCAAAGTCCGAGCCTTGGCGCTTGGGAGGAGGCGCGATGCCCTCTATCGAGGGCGTTCTGGAGAACGGGGGCGACATTGGGTTCTGTGCGAGCAGCTCTGCAACGGCTTTGGGGTGAGGACGGGCCGGTAGGGGTGGTGCCTGTCCGGATTCTTCTGCCTGAAGACGTTGCGCAAAGGCAAAATCCTGGTCTTCGGGCGATGAGAAAGGGTTGGACGACAAAGGCCCGTTGCTGCTCCATGCAGGTTGGGTAGGGCGTTGGGGAAGGGGAGGCGCCTGGGTCTCTTCCTCCTCCTGAAGAGCGAGTGCCATGGCATAGTCGCGGTCTTCCTGCTCTTGAATGGCGGGATCCAACCCATAACCCCCGCGCTCTTGGGCATAATAGTCAGGGACTTCTGTAGATACAGGTCTTGGGCCAGGCAGCGCTGGCCGTTCCTCGTAATGCTGATGAGCCTCAACAGCTTTGCCCTTGTCAAATGACGTTGGATGATCATTGTGGTCTGAGTGCGCTATGTTTTGATGCAGCGCGTTGTGCTCTGGATGCTCTTCGGCAGCTTTGTCTTTGTCAAACGATGAAGGGAGGCCTGTGTTGTCTGCGTGTTCTGTATGATGATGCAGAGCGGCATGCTCCGGATGCGGCTCAAACGCCTTGCCATGGTTGAATGGGGTAGCTTGGTTGTCGTCGTGAGAGTACGCCGCATCATAGTATTCCTCTGGATACGTCTCGGCGGCTTTACCCTTGTCGAGTGAAGAAGGCTGTCCATTTGATTGACTTAACCCAGTGTCTTGGTGTAACACGGCAGGCTCGGTCATGGGGGAGACATAGTGTACCTCGTCCACTTTCGACTTGTTCTGCTCGTCAAAAGTAGGCGCCGTGTTATGGGCTGGGCCCTTGGACTCGCCAAGTGGCGGCGAGGGGCTCTTGATGCTTGGCGGATCATAGATGTTGTCCTCCTCCGTCACCTCCGGAAGCGCGCCGGGCATCTGCTGCTTGTGCTCAACATACTCTCCATAGGATGCGTTTGAGCGCACACTGTTGGAGCGAATGGTTGTAGGCGTGGCTGGGATGATGTTGACAGCGGGGACTCCGCTTCTTGGTTCTATGGGCGAGTCGTTGTTGGTGTTATCGTACCATCGAGGCTGTGACTGGTGCCCAGATTGTGACTGGCCTTGGTTGTGAGACCCCGATGACTGGGGGAAGAAGAGCTCCTGCTCCGCAATGGAGTTCGTCGTATGACGTTCCCGTTCCTGTGTGGTGTCCATCCTGAAGGCTCTTGGCGAAGCAAATGCGAGGTGATGAAAGTTGCCAGAGATCCGCGAGGTTTCCCAGAAGGGAGGAGGTTTACGGCATGAAGGGAAAGAAAAAAGAGAGTTCAGGTTAACAGCACCAGCGCATCACGATTATCTATGAACCTTAATATTGCGCCTCGATAAGAGGCGAACAACTTTACTACGGGAACGCGCAACACACGACTGCGGCGCGGGCAAGGAGGGATTGGGCGGCAAGACGGATGACGTGTTTCGAGATAGTATTAGCGTGGCGCAGTTCAACAGATTGTGGCACTGGCCAAGCTTTTTGAAGGCGATGGCGATGGCAATGTCGTTTCTCTACGTGATTTACGAGCTCGCGCAAATTGGCAAGGATTCAGGAAGCGAAAATTGTGGCTAGAGAACGTTTCATAGCAAAGAGGGGGCGATGCGTTGGTGGTTGTTTGGTGGGTAAGGCATAGTGAGGTGATCCCGGGATTCACTTGGATCTCCCAGAGGCCAATTCGCATCTAGTAAAAAGTCATCACGTGACCGTTCGTGGCTCATCTACCACAGGCATGCCGTTCGGAGTCTGTCCCGGACGGAGCCCACGATCCCTTGGCTAACGTGCTCCATGAATAACACTTAGGGAGATACCAATATCCGAACTGGGTAACGACGACTCAGAATAGGCTGCATATGATTTGGAGGTCAAAGCCCCGAAGTTGTCGAGAACGAGTATGTATAGCGACTCGATCCCTAGAGAGCAGCCAAGGTCTTGTTGGGTTTCGAGTGCGTTGCGATACGACGGCTGGGCTTTATGGCGACGCAGGCGAGGCCAAGAAACCTCGCGGGGTCGCAGCGTGAAGCCTATACCAGAACGAAGAGTTCCGGTGTCAAAGGGTTGTGAGTGTGGGAGGCTTTGAAAAGGGGCAAGACTCGATCGGGATGAGGAACGACGTAGGATTGGTTAAGCGAGAGGCGAGTAGCACTGAGCCACCGGGCCTGACACCTGTTGAACTTGGCTCGGTTCTGTCCTAAGAGGTAACAGACAGCCAGGCCGGAGCAAGATATATGAACGGCTGGATTGGAGTCGCAGTCTCGCCCCCGATCTTCTCCGTTCGTGTCACCGCACGAACAGGGAGACCGAAGCACGGTTGACCGGATGTAACTGCAGAGCTTACCAAATCGAACTCACCCTTACCGAGAAAAAGAAGAAGAAAAAGACGTGGAGGCCTGGTTCTTATCAAGTAATGAGCTTAATACCAAAGTCTGGTACTAAGTAGCAGGCATTCATCTATACGGCGGTAACGCGAAAATGACAATCCTTGCCGCAAAGACGAGGTTGCTTGGATGAGTTGCTGTGTTGCCGTTTAGCGCGCTCAGTAAACTGAAGTTCACCATATGTTGTCGAGAAGTTGGGATTGTGGCATCTGGAAATGTTCTGCGGCGCATTGTGCTGCAGGTAGAATCTCGACGGGATGCAATGAAGAACAGAAGAAACGCAGTCCACCGGTGCCATACGTGCGTGTCTGGGAGGTGCAACAACACTGCGTAACCCAGCTGAGTCATACCCCTAGCTCAGTTCTCCTCATCAGGGACCGCCCGACCGGGCCCACTCCGGCCAGCCCCCATTCGGGACCCTCATCCGCGAATAACTTCAACCCCCATCAGTTTCTTCCATCCTAGAATCCGTCAGTGCACTGTCAGAGAGTCCCAACCACATCAGATGCAGCCTCAGCTACCCGATTTTCTCCGCCGCGTTCCATCAGATGCGACTCTGCCCGTCACCGTCCCTCGCAATCAGTAGGCCTCTGTCAATCTTCTCACAACAGACCAGAGCCTCTGGTCTTTGCCGCACCGAGTCTAATTCGGCATATGAGCAACGTTGTTAAGTCAGTGCGGCTCCAAGCTCAATTCCTTCTCAACGATTGCGGCTCTTGCACGATTTGGTTCGACTTCAGATGCATCAAGGAGGCATATGCCTCTTGGAATAACTTTGCTTTCGTCTGAGAAGTCTGGGAGCCCCCTCCCTTCGCATGGATGCGTTTCCGCTCGCCTCCGAGGCATGTTTCATCATCATCCCCGTCGCTTCTGCTCGTCGATCTCCCGCCCACACTCCGAGCACTCTGCCTTCTCTCTCTCTCTCTCTCTCTCTCTCTCTCTCTGTGTGTGTGTGTGTGTGTATGTGTGTGTGTGTGTATGTGTGTGTGTGTGTGTGTGTGTGTCGTTGTATGATAATGTACCAACAAACGTCCATTGCCGACCGAGAAGCTTTTCCAACATACTTTGATTCGTCCGTCGTGCTTTGGTCCGGCGCCATGGCCATCTTGTCCATTCGTCACCGCGAGTGTAGCAAGACTAATGGGTCCTCTAGTCCGGGACTGCCGTGCCCCGTTGCTGGGCGTGGACCAGTTTCTCCCTGTTCGTCTTGGGCCCCATGCCAACCGAACATGGTTGCAGTAGAAAACTATGGTACTCAGAATATGAAGCACATCAAAACACAAAACACCCAGTCCCGCGGCCTACTTCCCAGTGCTTATTTTGGCAGCCCTGTTGTCGAGCTGATGCTTCATAAGGCAGGCCGCAAACCAGGCAAACAAACCGTCCAACCCTTGGCAAGTGTCAAGGCATGCCTCCCCCAGACTCTCGGACCCCAATGATTGGATTGTCTGTATAAGTATACTCAACGGCTGCTCCCCGTAGATCAACTTGGTCTTCGGAAGTCTAGACCCAGTCTGTAACCCTACTTCTCCTTTCTCTTCAACCCAGGGCTGGTTTCCCGCTTTCTCTTCGCCGGCTACCGCGACGATGCAGGTGACGAGCTTCTTCCCGCTCGTCTTCGCTGCCCTGGCGGCGGCGGCCGATCCGCTCGGTACCGTGCTCAAGGCGAACAATGGCACATTGAGCACTTTCAGCTGTAAGACCTCTCTTTTCCCGATCAGGACATCGACCACTGACATCCTTCAGCCCTCTTGGCCATGGCCCCAGGCCTCAGCCAAACCCTCGGCAAAGCCGTTGACATCACCATCCTCGCGCCCTCAAACACCGCCTTCGCCAAGGCAATGGAGATGGACCCCACGTTCTCCCAAAAGGCCACCAACGCGACCTTCGTCGCCGACCTCCTCATGTACCATGTCGTCACCGGCAAGACTCCCGCCGCCTCGTTCCCTGAGACTCCCAAGTTCGCCGAGACCTTCTTCGAGATTCCCTCCACCAACGTTACGGGGAACCAAAAGGTCGAGCTCTCCAGGAAGGGCGAAGAGGCTCGGGTCTTCAGCGGCTATAAGCAGTTGAGCGTCGTCACGAACCCCGACATCGCCTTCATGGGCGGGGTGCTGCACATCGTCGACTCGGTCCTGACGTTCCCCGGAACCCCCGCCGAGACTGCCATGAACACGGGCCTGACAAGCATGGCGGGTGCGTTGATGCATGCTGGGTTGGTGGATAGTGTCGACTCGCTGCAGGCCGCGACTGTGTTTGCGCCGACCAACGCGGCTTTCCAGGCCATCGGCGCCACGGCCGCGTCCATGGAGCCGCAGGACCTCGCCAAGATCCTCCAGTACCATGTCCTCACCAACCAGGTCCGCTTCAGCTCGGCTGTGACGATGACGAAGATGGCACACAAGAGCTTGAATGGCGAGAAGGTTACGCTGCGAAAGCAGGACGGGTCAGTTTATGCCAACTCGGCTAAGGTCACAATTGCCGATATGATTACTACCGACGGTGTCATGCACGTCATTGACAGGTGAGTCTACAAACCTTCTCCTGTGGGCCATTGGCTTGTGTCTAACATTATCCAGTGTCCTCAACCCTGCATCCCCTAAATTAACACCCGGCACTTCAACGCCCGCCTTTGCGGGTGCCGTCCAGGCCGCCAATGCTCCCTTCACCGAGAACGTCAATCCAACAGCCAACTACGTTCCGGCATCGTCAGGTGCGGGAAGCTTCAGTGTATCTCTTAATCATGCCATGCTCGTAACTCTTGGTTGTTTGGCAGCTGTGTACCTGTAAGCGGGGCGGCATGGTGTTACCTATCTTCGATTCATTCAAGCTCTGGCGAGCAGGCAGTACAGAGAAGAATATTTCTCCGATAATTAAATTTAATTGAAACGATTTCGGTACGCGAACGCCCAAGTTGATTCATGCTTCTTCGAACCATACATGCGGTTGCCCACGGCGATATGTCGGCGGGCGATATGCCTTCTGGTCGGACATCGGTCGACTCGTGAGGTCTTCAGGACGGTATCCTGTCAAACGGCATGAACCAATGACGTTTGAGGAGAAGTCACACTGATTTGTCTCAGAGCGTGCCTTGGTTGCCTGTCATGACAATGCTGTATGAGGCTGAGCAGCATTCGCCAATCTGTTCTTAACCTGCTCCATGGCAAGCCTGATCCTCTAATCACTTTTACCCTCCGACAGGTGCGCGATATTACTGAGCACAGTTTCATTTGGACCATCATTTGCGTCTTGTCTTGAGCCCACATTGTCAAACTCGAGATCTTGCACTTCCGAACGCGCTGAGCGACACGTCATCACAAGTAACAGATACATAAAAACGACCGGCTGCATACCTGTCCTCCCTTTGGTACAGACATCAAAATGCGACTTATCAACACGAACACTCTCGATTTTGAAGAATACATCGGCCGAAATACACCGCCGTACGCAATCCTGTCCCACACATGGGAAGAGGATGAGGTGTCCTTCCAGAAAATGAAACAGGAGTCGAGGGCGGGGATGAAGGGATTCAAGAAAATCCAGAATATTTGCTCGTTAGCCAAAAAAGGCAAAATCGAATACGCCTGGGTGGACACCTGCTGCATCGACAAGTCAAGCAGCGCCGAGCTCACCGAGGCCATCAACTCCATGTTCAAGTGGTATGAGCGCGCTACAATCTGCTACGTCTGGTTATCTGACCTCACTGCATCTGCCGACCTCGACACGGATTTGAAGAAGTGCCGATGGTTTACGAGGGGCTGGACTTTGCAGGAGCTCATCGCCCCAAAGTCGATGAACTTTTATAATCGAGACTGGAAATTTGTTGGACGGAAGATGGACTTGATTCAACAACTCTCCGAAGCTACATCAATACCTATTACGGTCCTTCTTAATACGTGCAGCCTACAAGACGTAGCCATTTGTGAGAAGATGTTTTGGGCCGCAGAAAGAGAAACAACCCGTATCGAGGACATGGCATATTGTCTCCTCGGCATTTTCGACATCAACATGCCGCTGCTTTATGGCGAAGAAGAAAAGGCCTTCAGACGGCTACAGGAAGAGATAATCAAGACCACACCTGATATGTCCATCTTTGCGTGGGCCGCCAAGCGGACGGGGACTTTACATTCTGGGACAGGCTCAGGTGTATTCTGCGGTGTTCTTGCTGAGTCCCCCAAGACTTCCTGTTTTGGCGCCAGCTTACTGTTAACAGCAGTAAGGTGACTGCACGGCGGATAGGGTGCTCAACAACAAGCAATGGCATTAAGATCAGCGATTATCTCTACCACCTGCCAGCACCTGGACGAGCAGGACGCCAGCTCGTCCTGCCCGTCACCGAAGATACCTTCACAAGAAAGATGGGTGTGCGCCTGAAAAAGACTATCAACGGCTCACTCGTCAGGGAAGATCCGTATACGCTTGCGGAGTTTGTGGCCTTGGATCTCAATGTGTTCCGCCAAGACTTGTGCCTATCGACAAATACTCCCAAGCTACATGAAATAACAACCAGCGATACGTTGTCGAGCGGCAGGTGCGTTAGGTTTCGAATGCCCTCTAACATGAAGATAATCAACGCCTGGCCCTGGGAATACTTTGTAGACGAGGATTATGAGCTAGTTGTGCCTATGAAAAACTATTCTGGCGCAGTCCTGCTCAGCATCGAGTCGCACGCCGATGAACCCATCGAGGAACGCTCAGAGTGGAACTGCATGTTCATATTCTGCGGGGACGCCTATGATCCCTCACGCCCTACCATCAGTTGTTCGATCGTGGATTATGACGAGTTTACTATGAAGCTGGACCGCATCACTGCACGAATGCTCCGACATGAACGTGTTACGAACAAACAGATGCGCAACTCCCTCACCAGATCAGTTCCGCAAACAAGCACTACTGCCTTGGTTATACCCGAGACCGGGCAGTCGGCAGTGGTGTCTTTTACGCTAGAACAGGTAATTGCAACACCATCAGCATGGTCGGACCCAGTCTTGGTCGTACGATTCGCGGTCGAATTCCGCAATTCAAGGACAGTCACTCCAGCTGAGGATAAACATTGGACCGATGTCTACAAGTTGTCAGACCCCCGCTTGTGGTCGTTCCACGTCTGAAGCAATCGAGTCAGCAGCTTCGTCAGCAGAACTAACGAAATTTGCCTTCTTTTCGTACCTTGGCCCAGGGTCAGCCGGATCGAATCCGCATATCAACTATTCATCTAAACACTTAGACGCCGATGTCGTTCGATAAACACAAAGAGATGCCATTTAGGACCTCTATGCCGCCCCCAACGCTTGAAGGTATGGACTAACGGAGACGCGGAACGGATGCCGAAATCCTGGAAAGTTCATAAATACATCTCAGCGAGGATAAAGACGGCGAGCATCGTGCTTTAAATCTGTGTAATTACTTCTTAACCCGTCCTCGGTATATACAAGCATACACAAATCACGTCGTCCAGAACGTCCGTTCGCGACGACCCGCCCTCGGGTCCCCCGAATGACTAGATGGAATAAACATCAAAAAACCCACTGTGAATACGCAAGGAATAACAGACGACAGCAGTGAAACAAGGAAAGAACTGCCAACCAAGGATGGAAAAGTAAATAAAAGGAAATGCTTTTTGAACCGGGTTTACTCCGTAAGTCTGAGTGTCCGCGCTGAGCCTTTGATTCTAATTCGGTCTGAAAGTATAGATGGTCCTTTACATGGTAGGGATACCCTCGTATTCAGCGTAGCCAAGAGACAGGTTCATGTTCTCTGTGCGGTCGTTAGTTAGGGCGTACGAAAGTGCAAGATGGGGTAACTTACGGAGACACTGAGTCGCCGCACCCTTGAGCAGGTTGTCAATGGTTGAGCAGACGACGACGCGCTTGCCGCTGCTGTGAACTGCGAAACCACCGATCTCGACACCGTGCTTGTTCATAATGTTCTTGACCAGCGGGGGTTCGCCAACAACCTTGACGAGCTTCTCGCCGGCGTAGCGGTCCTGGTAGATCTGGCGGATGTCCCGCGAGGTCATGGTCTTGTTGAGGGGGATGTGGATGGTGGCCTGGATGCCACGGAACCAGGAGGCGACGTGCGGGGAGAAGGCGACGTCGGTGCCGAGCTTGGCGCTAATCTCACGCTCGTGGATGTGATCCGTCAAGCTGTAGGGCATTAGGTTGTCCTTGAGCAGGTTGACATCGTTCTTGGGCGAGGGCTTAGTGCCGGCACCTGAGTAGCCGGAGATACCGAAGACTGAGGGAGAACCGCCGAGGTGGTCAACCAAGGGAGCAATACCGAGCTGCGCGGCAGTAGCGTAGCAGCCGGGGTTGGAGATCTTGTCGGCCTTGTAGATCTCGGAGCGGCCGGTCAACTCGGGGAGACCGTACGTCCAGGTGTTGTCGAAACGGTAGTCGGCGGACAGGTCGACAATGACGCTGCGGTGGTCGGCGCCGGCCTTGCGGGCGTCGTTGATGGCCTCGATGTAAGGCTTGCAAACACCGTTAGGGAGAGCCATAACCCAGCAGTCGATGGCACCCTTCTTCTCGAGCTCAGTGACCTGGTCGGGGCTCAGGTTCTCGTAGATGACCTCGCGCTTGGTGTAGCCCTCAAGCTTCTGGCCAGCGAGCTCACGAGACGAGACGTGGCGGAGATCCATGTTGGGGTGGGCGTTGAGCATCTCGATGAGAGCCTGGCCGGTGTAACCACGGGCACCAATCAGGGCGACGCGGGAGGGAACGTCGTTGGAGGCGTTCTTCTTGCCCAGAGGAGGGTTGGGGTTGGTAGTGGTGTACGTGGCGAAAGTGCGCTTGCCGGAAAGGCTGGCGGCGGCAGGGGCCCATGTCGGGCGGCGAGCCATGGTCGAGAAACCACGAGCCTGGGCGGGGGTGGTAGACTGGTTGAGGCTGCGGCTCGAAGTCTGAGCAGCGCGGCGCAGGCGGGCCTCCAGGTTGGAGTCGCCAAGCATGGCGCGTCCATGGGCGTTGAACTCGTCGGTCAAGACGCCGAGCTCCTGGAGGTTGTCGATGCCGTACCAGAAGAGCTGGTTGCCCTTGCTGGAAAAGCTGCCGTCGGCCTTGTCGAAGAACCAGGTGAGGTTCTCGTCCTCCTCGCTGACGGTCCAGACGAGCTTGGGGTGGTCCTTCTTGATGGCATGGAAGACGTTCTCCGTGACGTTGCTCAACCATCCCTCCTTGGTGACGGTCAGGGTAGCCAGAGTCGGGTGGGATCGCTCCTCGTTGGGGGGGAGGACAATGGCGAGGCAGTTAAGGGGCTCGTCGTAGTAGGCCTTGAAGGGAGTGCCCTTCAGGAACTCGATGTATCGGTCAACGGTGGCCTCGGCGTCCATGCCCTCGCGGTCGCGGATGAGGGTCTGCTTCAGCTTGTCGAGGTCAGGGAACGAGGAGATGCTGTCGGCGAAGGCAATCTTGTCTCCGCGGCGGATCAAAGTACCGGCGCCGGAATCGGTAAACAGCTCCTTCTGCAAGTCACTGGGGTGAATGATGGCAACGCTGGAGGTTCGCGGCAGGGTCTCCAGAAGTTCCTTGATCTCCTTGATCTTAAGGCGGGTACCGTAGCGGCACCAAGACTGGGACATGAGGTGGTCGTACTCCTCGTCGAGGTTGATGTGGGAAATCTTGTCACCAGTCTCACCATTGAAGAGACCACCCTTCTCAGAGAGGTAGACAATCTTCAGGGGCTCGAGCGCACGGGCAAGCTCCGCAGCGGCGACATCGGCGTTGACGTTGAGGATCTGGCCCTCGGGGGTCTCGGCCATGGAAGTGAGAATAGGAACGTAACCCTGAGAGATGGCAAGCTCGACGGGCGCCTTGTCGACGCTGGTGACCTTACCAACCAAGTTCCACTTCTCCTTGTCGAGGTAGTCGGCGGTCAGGACGGTGGTCAGAGGGCGAGTGCGGACGCCAAGGCTCTCGAGCTTCTCGACAAGCTTCATGTTCTCCTGGAGGAACAGCTTGCGGGCGACCGTCAGGGTCTTGCCGTCAGTCACGCGGATACCCTCCTCGAACTGAGGCTCGACACCAGCCTCCTGAAGCAGGCGGTTCAACTGCGGGCCCGCGCCATGGACAATGACGGGGTACAGGCCAACCTCGTAGAGGAAGGCGATGTTCTCACAGAGGTCATCGAGGTAGTCGGTGAGAATGGCACCGCCGACCTTGATAACGGCGAACTTCTGGGAGGAGACGGAGGTGAAGTATGAAAGGTATTGCTGGCCCTCACGGCGGCTGCCAATCTGGCTCAGGGTGCGGATGATGATGGCTCGGGTACGGTCGCGGTTGGCCTGCTCGGACTGGGAGCTTGTGCTTGAGAGTGCTCGAACGGCATTGAGGCGCTGGAAGGGGTTGCGGACGGCGACGACGTTCTGGCGGCGAACAACGCGGGGGATGGCTCGGCGAGCGCCGGCCCGAATAACGGCAGCGGAGAACATCGTGACTATCAGCAATTGGTCAGTGGATTGGGTTCTGTTACGTTTATGTCTTATTGAATTGTTTCTCTTCTAGTCGTCTCCTTTGATGCCGTCGTCTTCTCTCTAGTCCCAGGGGGTTCCAAGAGAGGTACGAAGGGTCACGGGGCGAATGCTCGAGAGCTTGCGCCTGAGTCAATCGCGAGAGGGGCTTCCGCGTGGTTGTCCAAAGCAACGCAGCACATAGGTCAAGAGATCGGGGGGACCGTCAAGTACACACCTCTTGCGAGCTTGGTTTTGAATCCTCGAGAATAGGTGATAGTCGCAAACACCCGGGCAGAATTACCTCGGCACTCTTACTCCTCTCGCTGACTCTTTTCAAACGCCAACACGGTCCAATTGGTGCCGACCAACGGAGGGAACAATTGACTCAGAACTGACCGACGACGGAGGGGCCCGACGGATGGTAACGACGATGACGGACGGAGGAATTGGACCAATTGTTCGCAAAAGGGTCGAGACGGAAGGAAGAAGAGGGAAAAAACAGTACCAGCAGGGAAATCAGAGCGGCAAGCGGGCACGGCGAGGCTTTTTACTTTTTGAGGCCTGCGAAGGTGCTGGGCGTGGGTATGGGACAACCGGTAAGGTATGATGCAGTGGAGGTGGTGTGGACTGTGGAGGAGGGGCAGGGGGGCCTGAGCCAGCCTGTTGTTGAAAATTCGACCGAAACCGCAGTCTACCTTTTTTTTTTATGGCCTTGCGCTGCTTCGCTCGCACCTTTTCCCCGCCACTCAGCGCCAGCTGGCAGGGCTGTCGACGGCGAGCCCAAGAACCTTGATTTTCCTGCTTCCTGAGAATCGTCCGTACTAGTCATTCTACCTTTTTGGATTCAATCGTCGTTTCACTTACCCTTATCTCTATAAAACCAGGCGAGCCCGTTCTTGCGTTTACAATGGCATTCGTAGCTTGTCAGAAATGACAGATGGATGACTGCTGCTGAAAGAGGCATCTGGCCATCTTCGTCAACGGTGCGACTCCTCCACGAGTGGGCTGCTGCCGCCACCACCTGGCAACGGCGCACAGGCGCAAACCCGCACTTCTCTCCATTGGGGAGTGGGCTCTCGGTTATTGGTCGGATCTGATAAGGAATGCCCCGGCACGGGTACAGATCACCAGAACGCCGCCAGGATCTGCAGTCTGCAGCCCGTCTTTCGCGGTACTACAGTACGCATTCACGCTAAAAAGAGGCATTTCCTGCCACTGGCCCTGGGAAATGTTCGCTGAAAATTTTCTTTCTGGCTGCGGTGGAGAAATGGGGGAAGAGCGAAGCTGCAGGCAGGCCTAGCACGAGCCGAGGCAGGCAGAAGAAGCACGGTAGAGGTCGCTCAAGCCATCTCGATTCGAATCATGGCATAATGTACGTTTGGGAGTGGCCATGCACGGAAGTGAGCTGTTCAACGCCCGTCGTCTACGGTCGGCCTAAGCGACGTAAGGGCCAGAGGAGATGTGTATTGAACCCTCTTCGACCACCGACAACATCAGCCAACTCATTCCCTCCCGGTTCCAGTCAGGTGGAAACACAACAAGTGGACATCCAACTCTAAACGCCGCCTCGGATCTGTCGCCTCTCACGCCGGCCCAACGCCGACGTAAACCCAGCCGGGTGCAGAGACCGCCGAGCTTGAGATGAACCACAAAGCTACCGTGGAACCTCCGCCGGGAGCTGGCTGGCTCGCCGTTAGGTAATGTCCCGTCCACACACTGCTCGAAATCGTGGATCCCCGTCCCAAGGGTCTCGACTGCCGACAACCATTCTGTAGCGGCAGATCCGCCGATTATTTACGAGTGTTGGTTTCAGGACTCCATCCGATCACGTATCCGGGTCCTCGAAGCTAGAGTTTGGCGTTCGCGGGCAAGTTTCAAAGTCTCTCATTGGCTGCCTCTTCTCGATATCGAGACGTAATGGAAATGAAGGCATACGCACATGTTACCATAAGCGATGAGACTCAGAAGCCGATAACGTTGCTCCGAGAACCAGTGGAAAACAAATCTTCATCACTTCGTTCGAATACAGTAGAATGACCAGTCCAGGTGTGGAATCAGGGCCAGTAGAATTCAAATTACGCAAACGCCTGCCATCCCTCATACATACATGCGGTCGATCCGCAGCCGGGGTGAGCGGCCAACTGCGTCGGAGCGAGTCCCGGAGTCGGCCAGCAGCCCTTTGCATGCAGACCATCGAAGTAGATCGGAGTCCGTTTCGAACAACCTCCGCGCTTCCCAAGTCATTAACCCGTAGAGGTGGCCCCTGAGCAAGGATGCCGCCTCATCCCCTCTTCTCCCACGGTTGCTCGAAACCTGCGAGATATCTGACAATTCATTCCATATCATGAGGGCGAACCATGAACCCAAGGGGCTAGTGTAATGCAAAAAAGTGTGGTATCTAGTTTTTGCGGGTAGCAACAACTGGCCGGCCAAATTAGCGCGTTGCAACGACTATATTGATAGGAAATACTGGTTAGAGCCACACAACGACACAGACGCGATTCAAAGGAAAAGCGCTCGGGGAAACAGAAACACTTACCAGCAGGAATGACGATGATGAGGATGAGGATGATAATGCCGGCAATCAGGCACATGCGCATCTTGACATCCTTCCACCACATCTGCTTGCGAACACGGTTGGCGCCCCGACGGAAACCCTGGGCCGAGACAGCCAGGTTATCAGTCTTATCTTGCAGCGCATCCAGACGCTCGCCTCGTTGGGAGACCTTGTTGATGTTCTCGCGCATCACACCGACGGTGTCATCGATTTGCTATAAATAGAACGTTAGCACATGACTCTGGCGACATGGTTCCGACTACGCTGCAAGCGAAACAAATTTGCCCCTGATTGCGACACCGACAACTGTGAAAATTTTGCGTGCGGCCCTGCTGGCGACGCTCGTTGAGTAGCGATGCCCCGGTATATGCCGTCAAAATGATGTCGGTCGCCAAATAGTCTTTGTGTTGTTGATGCCAATTGCACTGCCTGCCAACAAGGCTGATGTGCGACCGGCGTCGGCGCAACACAGCACAACAAAACAGAACACAGCACAGAATAGGCATGCGCAGGATGTTCCTGTATCGTTCGGCCGTTGGTGTTGTCATATTGGACCTGGCGCGCTGAAGAATTGACGTGATAGCCCAATCAGGCGTAGTCGGCGACATGTTGGGTCGCGCAGGTCACTCGGTCGGTCGGTCGGTCGTCATCAGGCGTCGGGCAATCCGGGGCAACGTCCATTTGTAATGGGAAAGAAGATGGGCATCCTCGCGACAATAAAAATCAGCGCAACTTACTGCTTGCAGAGCCTGGGTCCTCGCATTGCCGCCAGCTCCTCCTTGCTGTTGCGGCGCAGCCTGGCCGCTGGGGATGTAAGGGTCGTAGGGGGCGTCCTCGGGCATTGTCGCTGTGGTGACGGAAAAGGTGAGAGAGGTAGGTGTAAAGTTGGGGTTTGCTGGCGGAGCTCGAAGCTGCGGCTGGTAGGTTAAAGTGTTGTTTCGGGCGACCGAGATGCAAGATTGACTTGGACGACGGTTTGGAGTTTGTTCGATGAGATCGGTCGCTGTTGTTGATAAACGGTGGGAGAGCGATGTGTGGTTGGGAAAGAGGAGAAAAGGTGGTTGGCGGGCGTAGGAGGGTTGATGAGGTGGTTAAGTTCGGGTTCAGGTGATGAGACGTCTTGGAAAAGAGGCGAGCGCCCAGCCGAAACAAGGTGTCCGTCTGAGGATTTGGGGGGGGGTGGTGCTGCGGTCTCCTGCTAGGGGGGGGCTACGGGGGAGGGACGGACAGAGGGACATTCGGAAGGGGACAACCAAGGGCCACTTTGGGGGATGCTAGGCTACCAAATTTAGTCGAGCTGGGAACGACCCAGCCACTGGAACAAACCAGCACCAGACCTCAAAGGGTGCAGCGCGCAAGCAACAACACCTACGGCCACGGGGCGGAGGGAACACACTCAAGGCGACGCAACACGGCTCAGCACGGCCACCGCAGGGGATGATGGCTGGACAGGCAACACAGGATGGGGCGCCCAGGGGGGAGAGACGTGGATGCTGGAACAGCCCATGAGGGCCAATCAAGACGGATGTTTCGACCAAGTCAGAGACAGGCCGGTGAGGGTACGTACCCTTCGTCCGGTGCCTGGGGAACCCGGCAAAAAGTGGAAAGCCAGAAAGTCATGAACGCAGTGGCTCTCTCTATTCACTCAAAAGTCTGCTGTTCTCTGTCGGCTGTCCACGCAGGTGCCCTTAAACATGACAAAGGGGACGGAAAGGTTCTTCCCTGAATACGAAGAATCTGGAAGCGTCTCCGAGGCAGCACTGCCATTTCCTCCTCTCTTCCCTTACCTTTGACGCCGTTCAACCAGACTCGTTCCAGGAGACCATTTCCATGGAGACCCGACTCTGAGCTTTTCCATCGGGCTGGGCTGAGAGGCTGGGCATCACGTCGCTTTGCTGCGGTAACGCTGGAAGTGCCACCACGAACCATAAACTCGCGGCCTCTGATGTAATCGTCGAGGCGGTGCTGCAGGGTCGTCACTGCCTGGACCCCGACGGACCCGGATTGGGCCGGAGTATTGGCCACCTGCACTTCCGTCCCATCTTACCTGTCTATCCCGTTCGTGTTCCTTCGCATTGCCCAAAAACGGCACGTGAATTACAGCCACGTGATATGCGTATTTGCCCGGAACGGAGCTGGCGAATCCGAAAATTTAGTTCCGGAGCTTAGCCGAGATTTGCGGCTTAAGGATTCTATCTCCACAGCGTCGGCGGCGCAGCCATGTGGCTTGTCAGTGCGCCCTGAATCACCCTTCTTGCTTCCTACCTCCTTATCTGCCCAATTCAATCATTCAACAATCGACCGCACCTGAGCAATTTCAATAGACTTTCGTTTCCATTCGACTAGAACGCAATGGTATCCTTATACTGCTAATCTCGGTTCAGGTAAGGGTAAAGGGACCGGTGCTCAAGCCGATGTTGACCTTCCAAACGGAAGAGAACAAACTCCTCGAATCTTAACAGTATTGCTAAGTAGCACAGTGATCGCTTGCTGGTCGTCGAGCAACGAGGTATCTAGCACTCCTATACCATTTAATTTATCGCGGTTGACCCGCCGCGAAAGGCATAGTACGGCATGGCAAAAAACATCGGCTGTCATCCCAATGGAGATAATGATAACGGCGTCGCTTCATCTTCAGTCGAACCTGTATTGTTCCTGCACTTTCATACGTCGCGCTTCTAGATTTGCACCCTCGTCAAGCACTTTATAAAGCTGATCCCGCCGGTTGCGATGTCCCAGTTAGCCCCAAACTGTTGCAACGGTGTTTCATCGGCCTGCCAGTCGAACCTCGGTCAACAATGGAATGGGCATTCTATTCCGGATACTGGCAGGGAAAGGTTGACCCCCGATCAACGTGGTCGCAACCATAGCTTGTTGTCGAGTGGGCTTAGTCCCTTGAGGAATGGAGTCACCTAGGAGTTAAATTACGCTCTTCATGACAGAGCAATGCGGAATGATGCGCCTCAATGCCAACGACCCGGGCGATGACACAGCAGCCTGCGCATCGCAAGTTCTCTCTGGCATGTTGTTTCTCTGTTGCCTGCACCGGCTTGGCATGCATTCTCGCGGGAAATTCTTAGTTGAGCCAAGAATGCGGATTTGCTGCGTTCGCTATGCGTTGTCGTCTTACTCACGGCCAGGATCACGAGCGGTTTCCGTTTTGTCCATCCCATGTCCCGAGGCCCAAATCATGCAGCGTATATGCACTCTAGGAATGGACCGGCCGAGTACTGTCGGACTAAGTCGTTCGCAAACGTCGACCACCCGCCGCTCGCACAAGCGCCAAGATTTACAAGCTTGCGATCGGCTGGAAATAGACGACGACGAAGACGATGCAGCGGGAAACGGCCAGTATTATGTCGACTCTCTCGAACAACGTCCGAAGTTGGAGTCAACAGAGAGGTACTGTTCTCGGCAATGTACACACTTGGCAACGGCCCACGGCGATTTCCCCGCTCGCTACCATTTCTCGATCCCACGCGATGGTTGGCTTCCTGCAGCAGGGACGCGGCAGCCTAGGCAGCTTCTGGTTTGTCGGTTGAGAGCTTACTGGGCCTAACGTCGAGTCCGGCACCAGCGGCACACTGGCCCTGTTTTGTCGGATACTAGCCACCCCGGAAGCTCTAATGATCACCGACGTCAACCAGCCCCGATTTTTTCAGGTTATTCTACCTGAATTCCAGGCGGTATCCCACCCTAAAGCCGCCGCACGATCACACTGGATGAGCACGACGCGGTTGCAGCGCAATGCCCAGGTGTCCTTCATGGTCAACCGGTATCACCGGTATTGAAGTCGATCAGCTCATGAGTGTTGCATGGCTATGACCAGAGCCAAGGTTTATGTCGAGCAACAGTAGCCTTGGTTCCCGTAGTGAAAAGACGAACCCTGGCTCCGTACCACCCGAACAGGAGCCCGGGCCTGGCACGCGAGAGCTGGAAGACCGGGAACACGTCAATAATCAATGTTTCCAGCTACAAACCTTCTTCCCCTTAATGGGAGCAAAAAGGGTGCGAGATCCCCAGTAGTTCTCGGCGGAACCCGAAGACGTCACCACCAGCTTGCACAACGCGATGCAAGCTTGGGGCATGCCAGCGACAAGTCAGCAAGGTGCAGCACCAAGCTCGTGGGACGGCAGGGGTTCGGGCCACAGCCGGACGCACGCTGTGGATGGGATGATGCACAAGCACCATAACCATGCTGAACAAGCTTAGCTGCCAATGCCTGCGCTAGAAGCAGAAGCAAGGAAAAGGGCCAAAGCCTAGGGAACCTACTACTGGCCGATGGGGAACTTTGAGACGGGGGAGAAAGATGGGAACACATCACAACACGACAACAACAAGTACACACGGTAAGACATAATCACGTTGGATCTCGTTCAGCTGGTTTCGCGAATAATGCTTGATCGGCCCCCCAAGTCTTACCAGGCCCGATATGCTCGCGTTTTCCATGCCTGTGTCTCTGCTCTCTGTCTTATTTTGTTTTCATCCCGGCTGATTAGTCGCGGGCCAGAAACGAAGGCAAATCTCGTCTTGTGGAATCCTCTTCGTATTTGCTTAAGAAGCTATTAGTGGACCTCCGCCACTTGTCCCCTTCCCATGGTCCCTTGAATAGGACGGTTCCGTCTTTTCTCGTGTACTCGATCTCTCCTGACCAAACTCGTATTTACTTGAGGGTCAGAAGCACCCCCTTTGCGCCCCCTTTTCTCCTTCTCTCGGTTTCCTGGAACGAATGCACGACGCAAAGAAGTGAAAGCAGCAGTACTCGAGCGAGCGCAACTCCGCCGTCATCACCCCTTCCCCTCAACTCTTCTCCGTCACTTCCAACTGGACTCGAGTCGAACACTACAAGCTGCCAAGGTGCCACTACTTTTCTGGGGGCGTCCGACCTGCATGCACGTACATGCCTACATACAAGTACACGCACTTCCCTAGGGCGTGAGCTATTGGCGTGTGTGTGGTCAGTCCAACCACGCTGTACGAACTCAACTCGCTGTCCGAGAAGGAGGGGAAAACAGTACCAACCAACCTTCCTGGTTGTCACCTCATCGCAGGTACTACATTACCTCACGACCTTGGCTCGACTCCATGCGCACGACCTGCCCGGATTACGCTAGGAGATTTCTTACATCGTGCAATCGTTGATCGGTTCTTATTTCTACCCTGCGGCACCCGCACTTTCGTTTTGCTGCACTTGATCGAGGCCTGTCCCCGGATTCTGGATCACTTTAGTCTTGTCGTTCATGCGGTCCGTCCCTCGAAACCAAGGACCCCCTCCGTCGCCAACCTCTCGCATCATGCCCGCACTGAGGGGCCGGCCGTCATGGTCTGTAAGCCGGCTGTTGCCGGCAATGCTGCTGGTGACCGTCCCGGTCACCAACGCATACAACCTGGTTACGGATGACCCGAGTAAGTGGCACGTCCTTCTTTGACAATGTTGTTATTTACAGGTATCGCGTGCAGACAACATCAAGACCATCGCAAGATCGATGACCGAAGACCTCATGTCTTTCTACGATGGAGACAAGCCGGGCAATACCCCCGGTCTTCTTCCCAAGCCGTACTATTGTAAGTGCATTCTCGTGGTCATTAGACCCCTAGTTGGGTACTAACACTATCCAGGGTGGGAAGCCGGCGCCCTCATGGGCACCATGATCGACTATTGGTACTACACGGGCGATGATACCTGGAATGACGTTGTCACTCAGGGACTCCTCCACCAAGTCGGCAAATACAACGACTATATGCCCGACAACCAGACACTAACCGAAGGCAACGACGACCAGGGCTTCTGGGGACTTGCCGTCATGACAGCCGCCGAGTATAAGTTCCCCGACCCCCCGAGGATAAGCCGCAATGGCTTGCGCTGGCACAGGCAGTCTTCAACACCCAGGCTGCACGTTGGGATCCCGACAATTGTGCAGGAGGGCTCAGATGGCAGATCTTCAATTGGAACAACGGATACGACTACAAAAACACCATCTCGCAGGCTTGTTTCTTTGCCCTCGCCGGGCGCCTAGCCCTCTATACTGGCAATACTTCCTACTCCGACTGGGCCGACAAAACATGGGATTGGATGGTGGGCGTCAAGTTTATCACAGACGACTACTATGTCTACGATGGCGGTCACATCCAGTACAATTGCACAAACATCGTACCCTACCAGTGGACGTACAACGCCGGCGGCATGATCCTCGGTGCGGCGGCCATGTACAATCATACGAAAAGCGAGGTGTGGAAGAACCGGCTGGATGGACTTGTCAAGGCGGCCGATGTCTTCTTTGTTGGCGAGGAAAAGAACATCATGCAGGAGGTGGCATGTGAGACGGTGAATCTTTGCAATGTCGATCAGCAGTCTTTCAAGGCGTATCTCAGTCGTTGGCTGGTCGCCATCACTAAATGGGCCCCACACTTGTCGGATAGTGTCATGGCCAAGATTCGTCCGTCGTCTATTGCAGCTGCAGCTCAATGCAAGGGTGGCTCGAACGGTCGTATGTGCGGACTGAAGTGGACCGAGAACGGGACTTGGGACGGAATGCAAGGTGTCGGGCAGCAGATGGCGGCCCTTGAGGTCACCCTCGGCAACCTCATCGGAGTATCCAGGGACCCTGTTACTGCCCATGGTGGCGGCACTTCCCAAGGCGACCCCGGAGGTGGAGGCAGCGATATTGGGCGAACGATTCCGGCGGTCTCGAATTGCCCACCTTTGAGTCCGGGCGAAACGGCCGGAGCAGCAATTTTGACGATGGTGGTTCTTGGATTTCTTGTCGTCGGGATTATATGGATGCTCATGGACGAGACGTCGAAGAAGCCCCTTCAGGAGCGCTTTTTCGACTTCAGGTCTGCGCTTCTTGGAGGCGGGGGCCTAGCAGCTTTGGCCAAGCGACACAAGACGGATGAGATGAATGAGAAAGGGAAGGGAATCGACAACGATGTTTCCAGCGACGGAGCGAGCTCACATGAAAACGGCATATTGTCTCCGTTGCCGCCCAAGGGTCATGATGTAAACGGCCAACGAGATTTACCGCAGCGGGGCAGTATGATCTCTCAAATGAGCGATACGACAGTGGTTTCGACCCATCCTCCGGGGATTCCCATGGTCCGAGAGAAGAGGCTTAGCAGGAAGAACAAGAACCTTACGTTGCGGAACAGCATAGCGTCGCAGCGGTCTGCTCGGATCGAATAGTCCGCAAAGGAGCAAGATCTCTATGCTACTTTGCTTTTACCACCCACGGCGTTCACCTGGTGGCTACGGACATGTTTCTGGAACATACTTGGATGTTTACATACGCATTGGGTTGGCATCATCTTGCATTCATCGGAAGACTGGACTCAACAGGCATTGTCAGCAAGCCAACTCTTAAGCAGAGATAGACAGAAACAAAAACTAACGACGTTATGATAATTTGTACATAGACAGATAATGGCAATTGTAATGAAACCGGCCCATGGCTGCTCTGTACGCGTAACTTCTTCAGTACTGTGAGTCAAGTGAGTGCATTGAAGGTGGGAAGGTAGACCAGGAGCTTGTTTTGCAAAAGGACGTTGCGTCGGGATGGTGATCGAAGCAGAAGAAATCCAAACCCCTGCTCGGACGGACTGGGGAAGATAGCTGGACAACGAGAACGAGGTTACTAATGGGGCGGAGCAACACAGAAGCCGGATGCGAGAAAACATATTTAAATTGAATTACATAGTCTAAGAACAGGCTTTCGCTTTCTTTCGGATAACTTCGACGCCAATCAAATAGCCGACTACCGACGGTTATATGGTAGTGATTCCTAGGTTTCCACTCCTAGTCAGACGAACCTGCTTACCTGGCTGTCCATCGGTCCTATGAGAGGAAAAGCTTATCCACCGATACCTACATCCTTTGACTCCAAAGTTTCTGCGCCTCATTGGTCGAACCAAGCACCGACTTGGCACTTTTGTCACATGCCGGGCCTTGAGGGGATTTGGGCGGTATGGTGATTGGGTGTTGTGGAGGCGAGACCACTTCGGTTGATGTTATTGATATGCTCGACACTGCCGGTTGATCTCGACTCACCTGCCTTCCTAAGAGCAAAGTGCCATTCTTGGTAGTATTCCGAAGGCTTGCTGGAGGCTGATTGGAAATCAGGCGCATGGAGGATCAGCCCCGTGCAGCTGTGGTTGGGGATACTTTTTTTGGTGTAGCTATTTGGCATGCGGGGGAGCCTGGAAACGATCTCTAGCCTTTCAAAGTTAGAGTCAACGTGAGCCTAGCATAGCGCCCGTGGCGTTCCCGTGAAAGAGCTGTCTTCGCGCCGAACTAAGCTGTGGCAGTTGGGCGAGTAATAGCGGACTAGCAGCATCCTCGTAGTGGAAGCTAGTCCGGAGAAGTGGGCTAGAGGGGCAAACCAGGGATGGATGAGATGGTTGTGTTACATCACTCCAAACCCCGCTGGACACATGCATCGTCTCGGCATTTCACCCGTGCTGGATGATTACTGATATTGCAACTTGGCCGTTCATGCCTAGGCTAGTTTCTTTGATTGTTGATAGTCGTTGAAAGTCGCCCATCAACCTTCTTTTAAGGAGAAACGAGCCCCGAGAACGGTCGGAGTGCCTTTCCGTCTGATGTTTCCACATCTCATCGTATGCTCCAGCACAGACGTTTGAAGACACTGGTAGGATACCGTTTTGTTTATAAGAGTCCGAGGGGATAGGTATGGAAACGAAACAGCTACTCTGCTCCCTTCCAACTACGAAGACTGACGGGCTACCAGATTGGATCAGCACAACATGGCGCGAGAGTATCTCTACCTTACCTCCTCGGCCGTCCTGGGGAGTTACATCCTCTGGACCGCCGCCGAGACGTACCTCCGCTGGAGCCACGGCTCCCATCTCACGTCTTCCGACACTCGCGCCTACGCTCACCCCGTGCTTGCCGCTCTCCTCGTTATCCCGGCTCTGATTCTGTACAACAAGGCCTCATATCTCTTCAAAATGAGAGCCCGCAACTGCGGCGAGGTGCCCGTGTATCCACACATGGATCCGATTTTCGGCAGCGACTGGGTGCGGGCTTCGCTCGCGCGGCAGCGCGACCACGGCCTGCTTGAATGGTGGCAGACCGTGTTCGACAAGCTGGGCCACACGTGGTGGTTCAAGACCCCGACGGCGTGGATGCTCATGACGAGCGAACCGGAGAACCTCAAAGCGATCTTGGCGAGCTCCTTTGAGGACTTTCCAATCACGGGCCCGCGGAGGGAGGCGGTGCTGCCGATTTTGGGGCCGGATGCCATCTTCGTGGCCAACGGAGAAGGGTGGCACGGGGCAAGGGCGATGATGAGGCCGACCTTTGTGAGGAACCAGATTGCCGATTTGAAATGCTTTGAAAGGCATGTCGGGGACTTGATCGGAAGGATCCCGAAGGATGGCGGGACGGTGGATTTGCAGGCATTGCTGTACATGATGACTATGGACTCGGCGACAGACTTTATGTAGGTTTTTCTAGCGCATCAGGCACGACGATCTACTGGTTGGCTGTACTGACCAGGACGACAGGTTTGGCCATTCGACGGACATGCTCACGACGCCGTCCCTCGAAGCCCGCGAGTTCACCTCAACCTTTGAGTACATCACCACCCGCTCGGCGATCCGCTCGCGTCTCGGCCTTCTCACCTTCTTCGGCAACGACAAGAAGTGGGAAGACGGGCTCAAGACCATCAACCGCTTCTGCGACACTTACGTCGAGCGCGTGCGTGCCGATCTCGAGGCCAACGAGAAGAAGGCGAACAAGGAGGACCCGGAGCGGGGCTACGTGTTCCTAAACGAGATGATGGCGCAGCCCGGTATGACGCCAGCGTACGTTCGCGCGCAGTTGTTGTCCATGATTCTCGCGGGGCGCGACACGACGGCCTCGACGCTCTCGGCGCTGTTTTGGATCCTGGCGCGAAGGGGCGACGTTGTGAAGAGGCTGAGGGACGAGGTCGAGGGGCTGCAGGGGAGGAAGCCGACGTGGGAGGAGATGAAGGACATGAAGTACCTCAACATGGTGCTCAAGGAGAGTGAGTATACGCTTTCTTGACGGCGTCGATATGATTGGGATTAGGTTTTAGAGTGCTGACTGTGCATACTTAGTCTTGCGATTGTACCCGACTGTGTCGACCATGTCACGTGGCACGGCGCGGGATACCACGCTCCCTGTGGGCGGCGGGCCTGACGGCAAATCGCCCATCTTCGTCCCGAAAGGCACAACCGTGCGGTGGTCTACCTTCCGTGTTCACCGGAGGAAGGACCTGTATGGCGAGGATGCGGACGAGTTCCGCCCCGAGCGCTGGGAGGAGAGGCGGCCTTCGTACGTTTGCCCCCGTCACGACCCCCCTCTTGCTTAGACATCCCAGTGATGTGCAGCAATGATCAAGCACCGGTGATTGTTGGTTTGGGAACTTTTGCTAACTCCCGTGGCTATTGCAGGTGGGATTACATCCCATTCTCTGGCGGTCCCCGGATATGTATCGGCCAGCAGTTCGCGCTGACGCAGATGAGTTACTTCGTGGTGAGGATCCTGCAGACGTTCAAGGAGATCTCGCCGAGGGACGACAGGCCGTTGCAGCAGATCGTGGGGATCACGACAAAGCTGCCAAACGATGTGCTGCTGAGTTTTACACCGGCTTAGGGGCTCTTGGGCTTGTGGGTGCGAAAGAGTTGGTGGTGAGCCACTTGAAATTGCTTTGCCGATTCATGCAGCATTCAGATTGGTGTAGTCGTTCGGGGTGTAGGAACATGTCCGTATTCACACTAAGAACCATGCATGACCTATGTCGTTAAAATCGATCCTCCTGCACGTCACGATCACTCTTTCTACATCCTGTTTGCCAAGTCTGACATTGAATCTGATACTTGAAACCGTGTAAGCCATCCAGTCCAAGGGACTTGTCAGTTCGCAAACCAGACGGCGAAGGCAGCGCCCACACCTCGAAAACCGCTCACCATCGCACTGCAGCATGCAGGCAGGATGGGTGCGTCCCATCTCGGCATGCAGATACGGGTTAGTGCGATGCGGTGCAAACCGGTTCAACCCCAGACGGGCCCAGGCCCGACACCATCGGCCCAACCGTGTCCGCGGCGGTGATATGCTGGATCTCTCATGCACTACATGCATCTTTCATCTGTTAGAAGTAGGTAGGTAAATTGATGCGGCGACCGTTGCACGAAACCCCTAAATCAAGTATTGTCTCCTGAAAACCACAAAATCTTACCCTCTTCTCCCCACGGGGCTTGGGGTACCCGATGCACGTTGCGGGCCTATGCAAGGGCTTCGCGAGCAGCCGAAGCCCATGTCTCAGCCGCCCCTGACAAGGGAAAAGGAAACACCGGCGGGCAATCTCAATCTCAATCTGAACCAACGCTTCTCCCTCAAATTGTTTAACTGGTTCACGTCGTCCTACCAGCCTTTGAGAGTCGGGCCAAGGCTCACGTTGGACATGGACGGGGAGGATGAAGCTGGTTTCGTGCAAGGGTTGGAGGAGACTGCGGGTGTCCCGTTGCATGACGGGAGTGGGGTAAAACAGGCCATCATGGCGAACTGAAGTGAATCATTTCGGGACGAAGGCGACGGTGTCTCTCGACCTTTCACTTGGTTGTCACACCGGGACCCCGATGCGTGTAGCCGACTCGATAGGTCTCCAGATGTCCTAGTAGAGATGACGCTGAGCTGGAAACAAACAACCACAGAGCCAAGTTCGTGATTGCGCGCTTGGGTAACAAGACGGGAGTTGCCTCAAGTCCGCCCACCAATGGCGAAAAAGACCTGTCTGCGTTCGTTCTCGAGACCTTTGGACAGTCAGGCAGAGTTAGTCGAGGTTTCTCGGCGTCGTGGGCGGATGGCCCGGTGCAAGAATGCCCGTTTCATTGTATTATTGAAGGGGGTCAGCGAGACAAGAGAATTAAGGAGGCACATTCCAGTAGCAAACAATCCACTCACATTCCGGAAGCCTCGATCACGAAAGCAACAAGAAATAGCGCAACGGACGCCAAGTCCAGGTTAGTTGTGTAGGACATCAACCGCCGAGACCGGTGAGGAAACAATGGTCAGGTCATGTTGGTTATCAAAAGCCTGACAGGAGCCGGCCAGGTAGGTAACATCCATGTCCCGACATATCACACTTACCCCTTTAGGAAGCAAACGAACCAACACATTTCTTATTCCAACTTGATCGACAATTCCGTTTGTCACGGTTTCCTTGAGGGAGCAAGGGGAAGGGGTACAGTACCGATGTACGTATTATACAATGCCGTCCCAGGGCACGGTACGTCCGTTGGGAACATCACCACAAGCCGGGAGAGCCATTTCGGTTAGCCGCAGGAGGGGAAGTCTTGTCGGGCTCACCAACAACAGGGCAGTCAGTGGTAAGAAGCAAATATGGAAAAGGAGACATGGATTGTCCTTGAGAAGAGGAAAAGGAAGAGAGAGGGGGGGAGAGAGTAACCCAGGTCTCCACGCAGAAAAGAGATGGGACAACAGCAGAGACAACGCATAATGACCCCAAGACTCAGTTTGTGTCAATCATATTTCTTAATCTACCATTCTTCTGCGGGAAGAACACAAAGGTGCCCTTTGTTCCCTTTTTAGCTCCTTGGGAACCTTATCTTTCTCTCATCTTTTCCGAATCTCTGGTTCGTTGTATCCTGCTTCACTTATCCGCGCCGAGCTTCAAGTTCAGCCAGGTCGCCTCAGCCTCCTGCAAACCCCACCAAGTCACCGTCTCGATCGATGGTAGCCACCATCTTCCCCGGACCGCCGTCGAACGCCTCTCCCATCACGGGCCGCAAGCTTCCCTGCCCTTCGTAGACACACGGACCTGTGGCCACCGCCACTATCATCGCCATCAACGGAAAACCTTCGGCTCGACGCCATGTCTTTCTTCGAGGGAGACACACGCAAAGGCGAACAGCCCGCGCCCCCGCCACGGGCCCTCACTCCCGTCGAGATCGGAGCCATCGTCGGCACCATCACCGTCTTTGTCGGTGTCGTAGGGTCTCTTTTGTTCTACCGTGCGCACAAAGCCAAAAAGCGCCGGGAGTTAAACGGCGAAAGGGTAGACGATGACGAGCATCAGTTGCAGGGTACGGGGAATAAAAAGAGTGACGAAGCATCATTCCGCGAGGAGACAACGGTAACGAGACTGCCGTCGCCGCCCCCACCAAGATACCATCCACCCAGGACCAAGAAGGTTTGGGATCCCTATGAGGGTCCCAAGATGGATGATGCTGACGGTAGGCTTCTTCTCCTTGAGATGATGTGGCGTATACTGACGGTGTAAAGTTGAAAGAGCCGAGAGCCACGAGATGCAGCAAGGGATGAAAGCTGGATATCGATAAAGCGAGAGTCGTATAGATGCGAAGGTGCAAATTCTTCTCGATCGTCATCATTGTAGTGCGCGTAGAGCCTGACTTACGGCTTGAAGCCGAAGAATGTCGATGCGGACATCTAGTACCTCGGGTATCTGTTGTAAATAGCTCGCGGTTGAATTCTGTATCAGTTCATTTCAGAACAAAACATTGCCAGACGCCATCCTGGTCGCATCTCCAGCAACGCGATGCTTGCTTCTCACCACCTAGCTCGTCAGTGCTTCCGGTATACTGGAAACGAAGTAAATAAGTACCATGTGCCTGTCTCGCTGCAAATTCGAAGAAAATGTATTGGAATTCAATACCTAAAACATTATCCAATCCACCCCAATCATAATGGACAGTCTGACTCCCTTCGTGATCTTACCTGAACGCCAAGTATGCTTCGCGACCCAACCGTTTCACATTGTACTGTAAGAAAAACCGACATTCATCATGCTGCTACTGTTGACCAGGTTTGGGCATGTAGCGGCTTCTAAACGCTTGACTGATGCTGAACCTGCTCCCAATGGCGCCATCTTGCATCTTGCTCGCCAGTGCCTCCTCGAGCGCGGACTGCGTTACTGAAGCGTCTGCCACTCATTAGCAAGTATACATCTTCTCAAATCCAACTGAAAACCTACCGTCCAAGTCACTGAAGCTGCTGCCCATGCTAGGCGTCCCGTCACTCCCGTCCCGTGAGTAGCCCTTTCTGCTCGGACTCTTCCCAGACAACTCGGCCGGGCGCCGTGGAGAAAGTGGACCGGCTGGGCGACGCTCTCCTGTCGAAGGGCCGTGGGATACCAGAGCAGGTGAGCTGGTCGACGAATCTGACGTCTCCGAATGATGGATCTTCTCCTTGCCTTTCGGTGTCCGACGGACGTTTCGTAGGTCGCCCCGCAGAGTGGATCCCATGTCCTGCGCCGATGTATCGGAGGACTGCGGCTTGTATTGAAGGAAAGCGGGCTCAGCGTCTTCGTCTTCATCTTCGAGGTCGCCTGGTCCGTCACGCTGCTGAAAGCGAGGAGGCCGGCGGATGATGCGCGACTGTGCCGGGCTGGACTCATCGTCGGAGGATGTGGGAGAACTCAGTTCGTCGGCAACGGGCGAAGTCGGTTCGGGGCTGCGGGGTGTGGTCTGGATTGGCAATGATGACAGGCGACGGCGCTGCGTCTCGTTGGACGGACGAGAAGTTGCAGGCTTGCTCTGGCGAGTTGATGAGCCGCCGCCCAGATTGTGTGTTACGGTGCCGGCAGAGCCATGGCGGGAGATATTCGGTCGTAGGGAACTCGTGGTCGGGGTTGCGGGCGTACTAGTATCGGTTCGTGGAAGGGGCGAGTCGCGGCGGATGGAAAGGGCGGACACGGTTCTCAGGTGACTTTGAGGCTCGGCGCCAGGGATGGGAGAGGGAGCAGAGGAGCCTTTGGCAGCGGCTGTGGCTTTTCGAACCTGGGCTCGTAGCTGGGCAGTGTGCCGCTCGGTCAGGTAGGCTACTTGCTGCAGGAGGAAGTCGACAGTCACATCGAAATGCGCAGCTCTGGTGGATGGGTTAGCTTCATACACTGGTCGAGGCCAGTCGGGGCAACAAACAGTTCGTTCCCTAGACACAAGTCAGTGAGCGACATCCAAAGAATCGACGGCGCATCTTCAGCTTACAGTCAATCTCGGTCTTGGCCGCGTTAGATAGGATGTTCCACAGCACATCGTCCTTGGTGGAATCCCAGTTCACCTGCAGTGATGGGAAGCGCATCAGCATCGGCAGCCCGCGGCGCCGTGAGCAACCAGACAAGGCGACGAGTGGAATGGACTTACCGGAGGAGGATCCGTAAACTCGCCCCGGAGAATGGGCAGTCGGACGAAGACTGTGTACGTAGGATCAGTCATGCCGAGCGTGCGTTCATCATGCTTGCTGGCTTAGCTCATGAATAGTGACAGCCTTGGGGGAGGGAGCTTTCGACACGCGCAACAGCATGAGAGAGGGAGAATGACGGAAGTGGTTTGGCTCGTTATGCGAGCCTTATCGGAGCTACGGCAACGATAAGGGAGCCGCGGGTGGGGCGGCCGACAACGGCTGGGACCGGTCGAGCCGCGCACTGATCTTTCCCTTTTAAGCGTTTCGAAAGGAGACCGCGGGGATTTTCTCCGCCCAACTCTTTCGTCTCAGCATTTCGGTTTCTCTGCTTAAGTTACTAGCGTAATAATGTAACGGTCTTGGGAGTCTATGTTATTATTCACACTGGTTCTTATCAATGTTTCAAACTTGGGGGTTGAGTGAAACCTTTAGTGTTCAATTTGGCTACAAATGTGCCATCAAACTGTAGCCCATTAAGGGCAAGTAGCAATCACGATGTGGTCGTGAGTGTCGATAAATGTATTAAAGACCTTTGGTGTCCACGATCACTGCTTTTCTTCTCCGCATCATCCTCTTTCCTCCCTCATAGTCTACCGAGTCCTAGAAAGCTGTAGAAGAGTCATGAATTGCGTAGAGGTCTTGCCGACATCACACCTTGGGGAAAGTATTGAATTGATTACACTAAACCAACAACCCGAATAATGATATGGCGGATGACAGACTGCCGAGCCTGTCAACACATCTTCCTGTTGTGGGGCAAGCCCAGTTTATTTGCTCTTAACAAATAAACTGATTAATGAAGGAGGCAGAGGGCTGTGCTGTTAGACATTGATGTCATCCTAATAGGATGTCGTCGAACGATGGGCAAGCCGATTTCCGTAACTGTCTTTTGAGTTCTTCCCATATGCTTGCTTACACTGTCGAAACGTATGAAGAACATTCGCATAGATCGCTGAGTATCTTCTAGGGTGGTTGCTTAGTAACACGAATCGAGCCTAGGTCCATTCAATGCTGCTCACTAAGCCGCCAAGCTAATATTCTGATAAACAAAACACGCAGTCATCAATTTACTCATGACCAAGAAAACAGGTATGCAGCACGAGTCGATGGAATGCAATAACAAAAACGAACGTGCTCAACGGCATTATGTAAGACTGTTCTTTCCCTGACATCAGATTATAGAGAGGGACCTTGGTCTCATAGTTTTGCGTTAACCAGAACGCAAAGAAGGTTTCATATCCTAACACCTTTAGCTGGCGATACTCGATTTAGCTGAATCTTGATGAACAATCATCACAATATGCTGCAGAGAAGACGACATTCGATTGTTAGCCTGAGGTCGTTTCAAGTATTAGCCACATACCTGTTCTTGGTGCCTGGTTTTATCGCTTCCGAAACCTATGAACGAGATACTGAGGACCACTCGCGTATAATTGCTATTGTGAGTTTCATCACTAGAAAATTTTAGCGCCATCGAGCTCTTTTTTTGATGAAGGTGAACCTTCTAGAGTGTAGGGCCTTCGTACTCAAGCGTTGGAAAGGTTCAGCATGGCGCTATCAGGATACCTCTTCCTGGTCAGAGTAAGATTGCTTTCGCTAGAGACCAGTTTGTATGCCTAACCCACGACAGGCTACTCTATCATGAAGACAGATGATCAAATCGGTTATGCCTATTCTGACCCAAGTCTTTCCAACGCTTTGTTCGATATCGAGTGAGGGATTATCCCATAAGAGCTCTTCGAAAAGCTTGCGCTGACTATGAGCAGGTACATGGTCTGCGAACCCACCGAACCCGAGTATTTCATGCACGCAGTCATTAGAAACCCTTGCCGATCAGGGGGACTCGGCATCCATCGCCACGAAAACCACATATCTCACGAGGCCTTGTTAGATATTTTCCGCAAATTAACAGGAATTGCCGAGGCTTGGACTCAACATACTATCCAATCCGTAGTTGTGGCTGTTCCCATGTACTTCGACGAGAATGACCGCAGCGCTGTGAAGCAAGCTGGGACGTCTGTCGGATTGGGAGTTGTTCGAATACTGAACGCACCCACCGCTACTGGAATTGGATATGGCATAGACAAGTCGAACGATGAACCTGCTCACGTCGTCTTTTACGAACTGGGAAGAGAAAACTTTGAGGTTTCTGTTGCTGAAGTGGACATGGGCATTTTTGAACATCGCACCACAGCCAGCGACCCCAAACTTGGCAAGAAAATAGGAGAGATTATCGAGAAGCGGCATACCGGAGACTATCATTTTGACTTAGTCGAGATGGAGCTTTTTGAGCAGACCTTGACACATATGGAGAGGGTTATCCAAAATGCCAACCTATCACGGACAGATATTGCTCACCTTGTAATCACGGGCAGCTATACACGGGCTCAACAAGTTCGGTCTATGATAGAAGCCTTCTTCGACGGGAAACGTGCTGCAGCATTGGACGATCGATATGATTCTGAGTTGATTCCAGATACCTTGGACCATGACGAATCTGTTACTTACGGCGCTGCCATTCTGGCCGATATCCTTGCCGGGCATGAAAGATACGCCGAGATCGTTGGAAGGTATTCTGTGCAACCACGAAGTCTGAGTGTTGAAACCATTGGGGGAGAAGCGTTGCGCGTATTTCAAAGGTGGACAATGCTACCAGCTAGCAAGACTTTGAACTTTACCACAACTACAGACGGCCAAAAGACCGTCATCATTTCAGTTTTTCAAGGGGAGCTTCCCCAAATTAGGAAGAACGACGAGGTGGTCAATCTCAGGCTGGATTGTATCCAACCTGCGCACCGCGGCACTCCCAAGGTCACCTTGGTTCTTGATGTTTACCCAGATGAGGTAGGCAATCTCATGCTCAATGCAACTGCCCACCTCGTAGGAGCCAGCGAGAATTGCTTCGATAGAGCGTCAGCTGTTTTACACGAATTCTACACTGAAGGCTTTATTACTGTCGAAGAGATGGAACTTGAAGCAACATTTGTATATGACAGATCTGAGCCTGAATTGCCTGGCTCATGCATAAACCGTCAAAGCAAGCTTGACCAGCATGACATCACATTAGAGGGGATCTATAACTGGAAGACAGTTGGCTTGCGCTGACGCAAGGCCTTTTTGGATGACACAATGAACCAATATGCTATTTCTTGACCATATACCACAAGCGGTTCCCAAAACGCTCCAATACACCATTTTCGACGGTTGAGTGGGTGAAGTGACTTCCGGACCATGTGTCTTGAACGTATCGCTTAACGACGCGAGGGTGTGCAAAACCTGAAGTCAGCATTTGGGTCCGTGTTGATTCTTTTGGTCCTGTCTTCAACCGTCGACAAAGTTGAAGGAACAATATTTGGCTGAGATGAATGCGAACGTAATTATGTCAAGATCGAAATCTCGGTATCCCTGGGCGCAGGCATCAAGGTCTCAATAAGTCGGGTAGGAAGGGCTGCTGAAATAGATATTCGGCGTCCCGCTGTAGGCAGCATTAACAGAGCAGGTATGATCGATCATCTTGCCTACTCTGGTGCTAACGTGTTTCTGAGAGTATATTGCCGCTCTATCTTGTCATCCTTGACTTGACCTATTTTTCACCGTAGCTTGTGACAATTCTACCCTAGCCTACGATGGCTCCCATCAAAAGCCTGACCCACCGTCCCACAGCACCAATCTGAGTTTTCTAGTCAACCCCATCCGACTCCCACAACTTTGTTTTCCATCTTGAAGCCTTTACAAATCCACTTCTGGGTCAAACCATCATCAAAGGATCCGATATGGTGTAGTGGCCAACATGATGCCCTCTCAAGTCCCACGAGAGGTTAGGCATAGCCCCGAGTTCGATTCTCGGTTTCGGAAAATTGTCTTTTGCATTTTGACTGCCTCAACTTCCAAGATATTCTTGGTCCGTAAAGCCACCGTCGATGACTGGCCTTGGTTGCCATCAGCCTCCTCTCTTATTCTTGTTGTACCTCCTCAAGCTCTCAAGATAGGAAACGCGATATGCAGTATGTTCAGTTTTCGAGTATAGCCCCTACAACATACTAATCTATAACCTGTTCTTCTACAGTCTGATGCTGGATGGAATTCTAGTGCTTAACCTCGGTCTCCAACGCCCTCTTCAACGCCGTCTCGTTACGAGGTGTGAAAGTAATCTTGTAGTGTCCCGGCGTGATGATCAAGTTTGTCAAATCCGCTGCTCCGGTGACGGGGTCGGTATCGATCTTGGTAGTTGAAGACAGCTCGAAGCTGGCCAACATACGAAGGAAAGTGATATACAGCTCGCGATTAGCCAGCATGGTTCCGGCGCACATGCGGTAACCAATTCCATAAGTAAACATGGGAGCTTCGGGATTCTCCAGCCAGCGCTCGGGGCGGAAAACCTCGGCATCGTGCCACAGCTCGTTATCTGCCAATGAGTTAGAACTTTGATACTTGTGTGAAGACTAGGAGATTACCGACCCATATTGCAAGCCCAGGAGTTGAGGAACACCACTGTGCCCTTAGGAACAAGCTTCCCCTCGTAAGTGAACTCCTTGTTAGTTGCCCGGGGCAATGAGAGTCGAAGAACAGTGAAGTATCTGCCCAATTGTTGTCAGCCCATCTGTCTCTTTCACTGTACCATAGAAAGCCATACCTCAGACATTCTCGCACCAGAGCGCGAACGTAAGGAATCGTCTGATCGTCATACGCATCACACAGAGGGTTTGTCTCATCATAGGTTGTCCGAATGGCGTCAAATGCTTTCTGCTGGATCTCAGGGTGTGTGGCCAAGAACGCAATTCCCCACGTCGAGACTGCAGTAAACGTCTCAAATCCGGCGGAGAGCATCGTCAGACTGATTGAGGTCAACTCTACGCTGCTGAGTTTCGCATCTTCATCGAGTATAACATTCGCCTGGATACAAGGCTCATGAGATCCGTTCCGGATCTTCTCTTCGAGGTCACCGTTCAGCTTGGACAAGTACTTGTCTCGCCGACATCTCATCTCCACTGCATGTCGTTTGCCGGCTGAGAAGGGGTTCAACCTCAATAAGGGAATGTAATCCTGCACATTGTCGGTAACGCTCCTGGTGCGGCTGATCTCGCCTTCAACTGTGGTGATTTCCCTGAACAGTCCGTCGTCATGACTTGGAAATCTCATGCCCCAGTTGAGAGTGACGGCCAGAGAAAGACTGAGTCTTTGGACGAGAGGCATAGGGTCGACTGCTAGAGTTCCCCCCTTCCCGTAATTGAGAGCATCTTTGAGGAAGTCTCTCGTCTCCAAGTCCAGGTGGGGAATGTACGTCTCAATGGAGGGTCTGTTGAGGGCAGATGCTGCACCCTTTCTCCTTCTTTTGAGGGATTCATTGTACGGAGATGTGCCAATTGTGGTACCTGCAGTATTTGCAACTATCTGTCTGGTGTTAGCAACGTTTACTTCTCATAAAGCACTGGATGGTCAAACCTTGTGGAAAGTGTACAGCTCAGGGCGAGACGCGGTCGCTTGCGAGTTATTTCCGAACACGACCTTCGCAGCAGCAGCGGTATTGACAACCAAAACCGGTAGGTTGCCTAGCTGAACCTGATAGACCGGACCAAACTCTCGAGCCCATTCCCGGTACTTCTGAGAGGCATTCCCACCAAGTTGGTGTAAATTTCCGATGACAGGAAGTCCTTTTGGGCCGTTCCAAGCCGGCAAACGAGCCTTAAACCGGACTACTTCATTCACAACGAAATAAAAAAAGACAGCTAACACGGTTCCTTTGAAAAGGTATTCGATGGGTTGATGAGTTGCTCCGTGAGAAAGGCTCTGGATGAGCTCGGCAACAAACATGTTGGTAACAGGCAGATGTGGTAAGTGATTGAATACCCCACAGAGTTAACATGTCAAGCAATTTCAGGGTCTAAAATATGGTCTCAATTATTTATAATTAAATACATCATTAGGCGGAAACCGCATTTGTGCCATTGAGTCCCCCGCGTTTTGGCGAAGGGTCGATCGCGGAGCCCGCGGGGCCGCTTCCGCGTCGGAATTATTCTTCCAAATTCCGTTCCACAGTTCTATCAGAGTGTGACCGGCAACTTCGGTAAGACCCCAATTCAATAAGATTTTTTGGATAAGGCCCTCCAAGCAATAAGTCAGAACTAGTTTACGGTCAACTATACCTGTTCGAGCAGCTTTTCTCATAATCTCAGTTTGCCCCTGCTGAACTATATTAAACAAATCTGTCTTGTACCTTGATTAGCCATGATTTTTCCGCTGTCGAGCCAATTAAGATCCTTACTGGAAGCTTACTGTTGCATACATCAACTCAGTTACTGTTAAAGGATCCCTGGAAGCAATTATCTAAGATTTGGCTGATCTTCGGTAGCTCCTTTGCATCAGACTTTGCGGTGCCGACAGCAAGAATCGAGGCTAGCGATAACGCTAACGGTTGATGGTGATAGCTGCACCTTCTGTACCGATAAAAGCAGCAGTGTCTTGCCAGTGGGATTATTGTATATGAGCACTTGCTGTTCGAATAAGCAGGTCGTTAACGATGTCAGATTGGTCAGCAGCTTGAAAATAGACGGAAGCCAGTCTAGAACCCATTGTCACCGCGTATGATGAGATAATCTGTATGATAATCATCAAAGATGGGAGAAGAGTAGCGTTAGAAACACATAAACCTCATAAACTGTTTACAACATATCTACAAGCAAGTGTGAAACATCCATTGCAGAGTTGTTCAAATCTGGCACGAGGAATTTGTCGTGCAGGTTCTGGGCAGAATCAAGACCTTCCTCTCCGACACCAAGAGCTGACAATGAATTGCTATAATCCACCCCGCTGTCCATCGCATTGAAGAAGTCGTTCAGCTCTTGTGTCATTTGAGCCTCTGTGAAAGGTTCTTCCGAGTTTGCGGGCCATTCAACCACCTCTGAGTCCCGCAAAGCGTTATCGAAAACTGTTTGTGCATTTTGTGGTGAAACATCGACATTACTGGTAGATGTCGGGGGCGTTACAAGTGCGTGACACTGCGCGCTAGCTTCCCTGCCATCTCTGGGTTGTGGAGCATTTAGCCCCAGCCTTCTCCAGGCAAGCCGCAAGTCACTAATTCTTCTCCAAAGTCGACTGGATACATATGATCTGGCGCTGAGACCACGGATCAAATCCAGGGCAACGTGGAACTCGTCACGAACAGATGCGCCGTGCTCTGATGGTACGAGGGCAACGACTAAGAAAATGACACCGAGTGCAGAAACCAGGAAGTGATTGAAGCACATCTGTTGGTTCTGATAAATATCTGTGGACTTGTTGAGAGAGTCCAGTCGTTGGATGGTGTCTTTGGCAAGTTTGATAAGCGATTGGACTTTAGACTTGTTGGCCTTGAGACTGGACGTTGAGTGGAGAAATGGTTGAAGGAGGAGTATTTTCATTTGATTGGCCCTCAAATGAAGCAGAAGTTGAAGTCGCTGTAAGCCTCTAGGTACTGATGTAGGACTGGTTGCCTGTTGGTTTGGACTAAACCTGAGGTCTTCTGGGAGATCGTCACACCATTGATCTATCCGGTAGAGCAGGTATGAGACTTCATCGTCCCTGATGGCACCAGTCGCTCGAGCAGAGTTGTATGATGTACCCCAGACCTTATCGCCTATGCGGTTGTACTCAACCATGGCTTTGAGATAGGGAACGTCTTGGTCCTACAGAAAACATCAGTGTCTGGTATAATGTGCATCGATACAATGAAAGGTGGTATGGAAGGCTCACTGGTTCAGGTAATTGCTGATCAACATCAAAACTGTGCATAACAAATGGCAGACCTGCCCCAAAGCCCCACCGGCGATCTAACGTGTAGACGCACCAAAAGAGTCTCGAAGCCATCCTACGATTTGCAGCATCTTTGAATGTCTTGTTCAAGGTTGCAGACTGGTGAAGGCCCATCTCTAAACACCATCGCGCAACGATGCCCACAAGTCTCCATGCTTGCAGATCATCGCCCGTCATGAAGCTATAGACGGCCTGTGTAAAGTCAGTAAGGATAAAGGTAATGATTCGCTTGCAGAGATGGTAATTACCAGCAAGATGAACAACATAGTAGACTTGATAGTCGCAGATTCCCAGAGCATATCGTATGACGACTTTCTCACATCGAGAAATAGGGATTTGCCAAGATGGCTAGAGCCACCTGCTTCGACAGTCAATGCTGCAGACAACACCATTTTGACCAAACTCAGATCTTGGGGATCAATTATTGTCGGACCTGGTATTGCGGCAAATGCGAAACCAAGGCGTGAACCACTATTCATGGCGCGATAGAGGTTCCGCACCTTTGCAATGAGCCATTGAATGTCCAGGAAAGGATACTGTATGCCTATCTCTTCTTCGTAGACGTTGCATAAACGCACAGCCTCTTCTTCGTTGATGAGCCATAGAGGGTCTATTGATCTGATGTCTAAGCCGAAGGCGGTCTGGATGGAAGGAGAAGGCGGTCGAGTTGGGTTGACAGATCCAGGCATCTCGCCGGGATCCGAGTCGGTGATTCCAATTCCTCGTGCGCGAAGATGAGCCCGGGCAAGACTGATGTTGAAGGTATAACTTGCCGATGGCTGGCAGCTGTCATCTTCAGCAGACGAATCCGCATCGGTAACAATTGAGTCCGACTGGGGCGCCGGATTTACCAGTGCGCTGTTATTCGGATGACTTGAAGACGCTTGTACAATCGTCAGTGGAACCTCTGACTGAGATGGACTTGAATGCGTTTCCGAGGGTTGTTGTGATTGTCGACGCAACAAGTCCAGCCCTCCTTGAAGGGAAGCTACTTGATCCCTCAGAGACCGGAGAGTCTCGGCATCGGTCTCACTGAAGCCATCAGCGACACCAACATTGAAGCTTTGGAGATGGAGACTGAACTTACATACTGTTCCCTCGATCCTTCCGGGGCTTTTTCGAAGCAGGGTAAGCACCTTGTGTTGTTAGTCATTGGCCATAGTGAAAGACAATCGGATATCTCACAGGTCAAAGCCTGACGGGCGCAGCGTAAACAAGGGCTCTTTCCGTTACATTTGCTCTTCCTCTTCCTACACTCAAGACTGTGATGAGGCATCAATGTCAGTATTGATGCCAGTGATGCTCGAAATTTCAGGCGGGTCTCACCAAGCTTTGGAAATGTACTTTCCGCGGGTCGTCCGCGCCTTGGGGGTGGGCGGAATTCCGCTCTGGGGGCCAGGAGACCCGGATCTCAGTTCTGCACGAGAGCTTGGGGAATCTGGAGAACTCATTTTTGTGCAATCACAAAAGACAGTCAATTCTCCACGTACTCGGGCTTTTCCCGCTCCTCAATTTGCTGCATACGACTTGCTTCCTCGACCGAGCCTGTCGAACGATAAATCGAATGATAAAAGGTTGAGAAAGAAAGAGCGGAATCGGAATTGGGGCTTCCGGGGCTTTTGAGGGCTTGGCTGACAGCGATCCCCGCCACCCGCAAACTTAATTCCAGCAGGACCTCTGGGGTAGGGTGGTATTGAGCGGGCAAACTACTTGCCGCCAATGCCGGCATCGCAACCGATGGATTATTCCCCGAGATACTGTCTGGCTGTGTATTCTAGAAGCGATGGAATTTTTTTAAATTTCATATTTTTTGCTTGAAAGAGGCATTCAATCAATTAGTTGGCTGGTTAGAAGTCAACGTCATGTACTCTCATTCGATATGAAGGCTTTAGGCTGACGGCACAATGGAGTCATTACGTAAGAACTCGACTGTAGGTGGGAATTGTCACGGATGCCAATTCAATTCATATCTCAGTGCTAATTATCAAAACCTCATCTTGTGGTATTTGGATTTTAACGAAAGAACCCTAAGCTGCAAGGGATACAACCCTCAGACATCGTTGTATGTATGAAGACGTCTAACAACTAGCTTGCCTTCCAAAAACAAACGCTTCCTCTGCGACCATTGGCTAATGTCGCACTTCTAAGTTTAATCCTAATGCCTATGTTGAGAGAGCAACAAATGTCGCCGAATTAGTGTATTTTGTAGAGTATTTTGGGGCGGAAACAAGTTAAGCAAGTGTAAACCCTGCTGGAAGAACCGCGGAACGAAGCCATAAGTGATCAAGTGTGGATTAGAGACGGAGGGTTGCTTGACCATGAACTTGACGATGTCGGTAAGGCACGTAATACGAGGCGAATAACACATTTTAAGAGAGCGGCAGCTCAAAGGCGACGAGAATGCGCGCCATCAGAACAAATACAAAGGTGAGGCATGTATTCGGTCTTTACCATTCGCCCTATCAAGCTGCTGATCCGCCGTGATTGCGACGTCTTTCCACTTGGCACAGACTTAATCACAGCCACAGCTTACATTGGCTAATGTTGCCCGGACCACGTTGAGGCCAGCCTGGGGGCGAATCTCTGCAACATGAGATACGTCATGGATGGAACCAAGACCGTCCTCTCCGTGAATGCAACCAAACACTGTCCACAACGCTGAGGAGAGCGCATACATCAGCATGTACAAGGTCCACGATGGCGAACCCAGCGGACCATGCTGTGTGTGCAGAAGACGAAGCTCTAGCATGACTTGCTCTAGCTTCGAAAGCACTTAGTGTATTGGGCGCTTAGATAAGAGCAGACGCCAATCGAAACTAGGCGGCTTTGTGTCTGAAGGTACCCCCAAAACAACTGGCGTAAGGCATATGGGGCTTAAAAGTTCTTGCAGTGTGTGAAATAGATGCGCTTGATTGACATACCTCAGAGATGATAAGGGAGTGTTTGCGGAGAAAACCCGTTGTATGATCCATGGAAGCAAAATGGAAAAGTTAGAAGTCGAATTGCCTGGTAGGTCATTATCCCCACTTGCTTTACAACCAATATCATTTTGTACCTCTTGTTTGCTTTCTTGAATACAAAGAATTTCAGGGAGTTCATATTCGAACCTTGCTCGTAAAACCCAAGATTTGCCATCCCGCCGTTTATTATGTGGTTCTCGGGGTGTGCGACAGGTAACTCGGTCGGTCATCGGGACAAAGGGAACCGAGAATCAGTAAAATCCGCTCAAGCATTCGCTCGAAACTTCGTGTGCATCTTGCGTAAAACTCTCCTCCATCAAAACACGGGGCACTTTGACTACTTTGAATATCCAAACTAACAACCTAAGAATCAATCTCAAGACTCCGAGTCTGATAATTGATTCGAAATGAGCATCTCGACCTCTTTTGCGGCGGATTCCGCTTGGCCCCTATGGGACAGCCAGCCCGTTGATGGAGCCTTTGAAATAGATCTTCCGGAAGGAACCATCGACCAAGGGGTTGTCACAAAAGTATCTCGACCATGGTTGTTCGGCTACAAGCCGACCACACCTTCAAACGGACGCGCTGTGCTCATCCTCGGTGGCGGTGGATACGTGCAGCTCATGGTGGGCCGTGAGGGGATCGCAGTCGCCCGCTGGCTTGCGGACCTCGGCTTCGAAGCCTACGTTCTCATACATCGCTTCCCGACTGCCGAAACTGGACCTCTAGCGCCGGTAGATGACGCCAGGCAAGCTCTGCGTCTCATGGAAGAGAAGAAAGCCGGCCTGCGAGGCTTGGCAGTATGTGGTCTATCCTCCGGCGGCCACCTCGCATCAGCGTTGTTAGCCGAGTACCCAGCTTCATGGGCGACAACTGCCGGGCCACCGGTTCCTAAGCCAGAATTTGCAATCATCGGATATGGACCCATCTCGACGAACGCAAAGGGTCATACCATCGTGCCGAACAAATCCCCTCTCGATCCGCCGGCCAAACAGGAACTCTATGACATTGTGATCCCTGATCAACAGGTCGCGCGGCCAGCACCGCCGACTTTCATCGTGTACTCCGCGAACGACCCTATTGTTCCGGTGGTGAACGCGTACCGTTTAGCGCAAGGTCTCCAGGCCGCAGAAGGCTCTGTAGAGCTTCACGTCTTTGCAGATGCGCCCCATGGGTTCGGTCTGGATACTAAGAACTTGCCGGTTTCGAAATGGCCGTCTTTGGCCACGGCCTGGTTACAACAAAAAGGTTATCTGAAAGACGAGTAGAGGGTGGGAGGAGGAGGGAGGGTCGTGATGCAATGGTAAAACTATCAATACGGGTCTGTGGATTTGTATTTGAGTAGTCCGCTAGTTAAACATCACAAGCTCTTTTTGAAGAAAGTAAGTGCACCAATACAAAGGGCATCGATACCCGTCCGCAATGTAGGCTGTATAACAGGCGCAAACCTTGCTGTGTGATTTGCCGGGATTTCGTCCAACCTTCCTTCTCCCAGTTTCTCATCCCATAGCCCAGTTTCTATCCCGCCCCAATGCCAAAAAGCACAAGGTTTACCTTGTGACGTCGCAAGAACTGAGAAGTCCTCTGAAATGGTAGTTGCCGTGATGTTCGCATCAAAGTCATTTCCAAAATGCTCTTTGAAGCTAGTGGCCAGCGTTGTCGTCATCGACTCGTCGTTCACTGTGACTGGCAAATGCCGAGTCATCTTGAAAACGGGGGCGGCCGTTGCACCGCTTGCTTCACATTCGGCTTTTACCACCCGCTGTATCGAGGCCAGGAGCTTCTCCCGCGTCTCCGGCCGCACACTGCGGATGTCAAGGCCGATTTCTGCCGAGTCTGCAATGACGTTCTCTGTCTGACCGGCATGTAAACTGCCGACTGTGATGACGGAGATATCGCTTGGGTTAATCTCTCTGCTGACAATTGACTGAAGGCGTACTACAACATGAGCTGCCATGACAGCAGGGTCAACTGTTCGATGGGGCTATGAGTGGTGTTAGCCAGCTCTCATATACCAGCAAAAACATTCAAAGCTCGAGTACTCACTTGCGAACCGTGACCACCAAGTCCAGACAGCGTAATCTTCATACTATCCGCACCAGCCATGATTGTCCCCGTCTTTGACCCTACGCTTCCAGCTCGCATCGCCATAACATGCTGGCCAAGCACAAAGTCAGGCACAGGAATCTGGTGCTTGTCGTAAAGACCATCGTCTACCATGGCCTTTGCTCCAGTGCCACGCTCTTCCGCGGGCTGAAATAGCACAATCAATGTGCCGCTCCACTCCTGCTTCAGCTTGACGAGGCGTTCAGCCGCAGCAAGGAGACACGCCATATGCATATCGTGACCGCAGGCGTGCATCACAGGTCGCATGACGCCTTCAATGTCGGGCATGGTGACTGTACTAGCGTATGAAAGACCAGTTTCTTCTTTTATTGGGAGCGCATCTATATCAGCGCGTAGGAGGATGGTGTTACCTAGGCCATTCTTCAGCACGCCGACAAGTCCATGGCCGCCGATATTGGTAGTGATATCGAAAGCTTGGAGCTGCGACAGCTGCTCTGCAACGGCTTTGGCAGTTTGAGCCTCAAGGTTGGAAAGTTCCGGATGAGCATGGAAGTGTTTGTAAAGTGCCTCGTATTTGTCCATGTCAATGGGCGCGGCAACCAGCAGGTCACCTAGACTGATAGCTGGTGTAGAGTTTTTGTCCATCATGCAATGATTTGACGGTGATGATCCCGAAAAATGGTACTGAAGAGATTAGGTCTGTTTCAGTTATCAATCAGAGAAGAAGGGTTTGGAGACGTAAAGACGGAAATCGTTCAAGCGTTTTGTGTTTGATGGTTTGCCTCGTTTCATTTGGAGGACTTTGGAGGATCAACGAGTGGAGAAGTTTTCGGCTCCAGAACCGGCGCGGGATGCGGGCCGAAGTCGTGATGACTCACCCATGTTCAACTTGACACAGCACCAAAACCGCAGTATGGCGTGCTAAGCTGACGGCAAATCCGAAATACAACAAGATATTATGGGACAACAGGGAGGGACGCAAGAACAGCCTGATTTTGTAATGCAGTTCTTGCTACCCGCTCTAATAACCGTTGTAAAGAGAAAGAACGATGCCAGTTGTTGTTCTACGCATACGATTACGAATTTACCCTTCAGTTATTTCGCAGTTGATCACCATTAAATGCTTGAAATTCCCCAATTGAAGACAACACGCAAGAGAAAAGAAGACGGAACTTTCCACTTCACAGGCAGCGAGGCTTAAGAGCTTCTGTGCAACTGAAGTATAACAACTCGCCAATTCTCGATCTGTGTGTGCCGTAGTGTTGAACCATTGATGGCTGGTCCGATATCGTCAGGAGACGTCTTTAGTGAAAATCCGCATATTTTCATTGGTACGGCATTAAAGTCGCAATCAACAATTGTGCTAGCTAGAACCATACTAATGCCTGGTCTGTCCCAATCGCAAATTCCAACTGGTTAGAATTATAGATCAACAGGCATCAAGAAGCTACTCCATTGGAGAGATTACGGTCTTCTCGGAAACATAATCAGGAAGGTAAAAGCTAAGAATTGATTCGGTGACTACGACGACGAAAATTTTGAAGTGCATTAGTTGAGAAACTATGCATTTATATTCCAAGTAACCCTCTGTTTCAAAGATAATCCAAGTCGTGACAGGCTACCTAAGCAGTACTTGTCATATGAGGGTAATAGCACGTTTCTCACACCAATCTAAATGCAAAACCTCACCCTGCATTAGTCCGTGGATATATGCGTGACCGACGTACATGAAGCCTTCTTTGCACTGGCGAACAACAAAAAGATGTTGTCCGCCGTGAAACATCCATACCTGGTCTCCTATCTCTGCGGTATCCGGAATCGCTCCAAAGTAACCCTGTTCAGTGACAGCAAGGCAGCGATAGCGCGATCTTCTTCGTACAGCATCACAAAACTCATTTGCCATCTTCTTTAATGCGGTAGAGTCTTTCTCACGACAGTTTAGGTGAGCGTAGAAAAGAGCTCTGTAGTCGTCACCCGCGGTCTCCACCTCAAATGTGATATTGCCAATAAGAGTTCTCCAGAGCACATCGGAGATATCGGAACCGTCTGGGTAAGGTTCTAGTGTTCTGACGAATTCTGCTTGTTTTTTCAACCATCTCTTTCGTCGCAGCAAGCTGGGCCCACCGTTGTCTCTGTAATATGGTTCGATTTTGTCACTGAGCCCTAAAATTTTGTCAACGAAGCAGCCGCAAACGTCTAGTTTGTCTTGTGAAGTATGCAATCGAATTTCTGGCTCTGTAGAGGCGCAGGCCGCGTAACAGGATCGAAGAGTCATTCCATGGCTGCCGAACTGCCATGTCGACCAATCTGGTACCCAGGAGGGCAAGTTGAGGGACTTTTTGTTGAGATTGCTGTACAAAATATCAAGCGTAGGTGACTTGGCGAGAATCTTGTTGGCTACAGTTATGTATAAGTGCTCGGTTTTGCAACTGTAATTGATTTCCAGTGCCAAGTCGTGTCGATCGGCTGCAAGACCTAACAGAGAATATACTTTGTCTCTGGGGTCTGTGGACTGGAATGGGTGCGCTGAATTAAGTAGAGTGAGAAGGCTCAGCTGGTGTCCATCGTGGATGATTGATAAGCGCAACCTCATCAGTGCTGTAAGACATTCTCTTGTTGAAATCGGATCTTCTGAAGAGTATGGAAGCAAGGACTTGGGAAGTGATCTTCTGAAAACAAGTTTTACTATGACCGGGATCAAGTTCCAGTCATAGAGTTCCGTTCGCCCGCACATCATAATGAGGTTCTTGTTGAGTAGAAACTCGTGAGCACACCAACATCGACTACTCTTGACGAGACGTCGTTAGCTTAGCACCATCTTGCCGGTCAAAACTAGAATATCGGCATACCCAATTTCTTAAAACTAATGCTCTGAGTGATTTGCAGTATTTCTTAAATGCTGGATGGCTTTCGATACTGATGTGCTCCTGAACAGACAGAGAGACTAGACCAGAGTTTTCATACAGGAAAACAGTATTCTTATAAATGTCGCGTGCGACGGCAAGTGCGAGGGAGCTGTCATCCTTTTCAGGGCCAATATAAGTAACAACCCTAAAAGCTTTGCGATATATGGATCCCATTATTGAGACTTGTTGCTGCCGTTCTTTGGTGTCTTCCTGGTTGATGCAAATTGCGTCCGCCCAGATGATCCTGCTTTCCTGAGATGGTGTTTCATATCGGATATCTCGAAGAGCATGGTACAGAGACTCTGTGATAAGGAGGTTCGAACCATCTTGAAGGGTAATTTGGTTATCCCTCTCCGACGTTCCCCATTCATACGAAAGGGCCTCGTAGGACGGTACACAATCTAGACTGACGTGTTCAAGCCTACCATAGAGAGCAACGTTGCCTTTTCCCGGGTATAGATGCAGTATTCGAATATCGCGAGGGCCGGCCAACGTCTTGAAGATGTGTGCATGACAAGAGGTTGCCATCCTATGACCTGGATCAAACGGGTGCTTGATGTGGATAACGATTCGATGTCTAGATTTTTGGTGGGTTTGTATTCCCAGACAAACGTATCCAAGTTGAATGGATTTGAGTTGTGGACTGATTGACTTTCAATCTCGGGAATAGGAAGGAAAATGACCAATAAAGACGACAAATCTTACGATGGTTGGATGAAGTAGTCTGGTGAGTGCACGGAGTATGAGAGCGAGATAGAACAGACTTGCAGAGAGGAGAGTTCATGACAAGCAAGATGTGGAGGCCTCTTGATAGTTATGAGGAGACCAGAAGATCAGGCTCTCGGCAGTGCATATATCAGGGATATCTCTGCGGCGAACCAATGATCTGTTGGCCAGTAATTGGCGAAAAAGATGTTAAGGCAACCATTAGGCAACCTCCCGTTGCAGACATAGGGCAGCAACACCGAATGTGGAGACAGCTTATAGAAAACATCATTGGATAAGGCGAACATCCTCAGTGACAGCTTACTCAGCCTCTGCATTCTACGTGGGACGGCACAGTCGGCCGTCAACAAATCCACATCATTTAACTCCTGTCTCAAGCGGTAATCAGACCGTCTATTTCTTCTAGTATGAAAGAGAACGCTTTTTACTATTGTAAGGTGATTAAGTTTGGGACAGCCTCGATTTTAAGGAAACCAGATGAGGGCTGTCAACATTCGAGGAATGAATAATTGTGAGCAAACGCAACAAGAAGTATGCCATTACTCGCGGCCTTGTAAACTAATAAATCATCTGAAGTCTCATAGCGAGAGAATCACCTGCCGAGATCTTGACTAACATAAATGTGGCAGATAAATTTCTTTCGGATCCCACGGCATGTACATCAGCCGTTTTGGACCTCCATCATCGTACTTCCCATGGTACATCCGACTACTCCTTTCTATATTTCGCAGTTTCCAAGGCTCCTAACCTCATCTTCCGGTCATCGAATATATATTTCCGGCATCTAGTCCTCGAGCCTCGGCTCAGTGGCAATCCCAGCTCGGATTCTATCAAGTTCATCCTTGGCTTCTTTCGATACAGCGCGATCCTCCAGGTCAGCAAATTTGGCAGGCGTAGGATCGATCTCCTGACCATGGCACAGCTCTCGGTCCTCGAGTTGGACAGGCTTTCCGCCGCTGAAGTCGACTTGGCCGCAGACAGTACGGATCTTTAGTTTGCGGTCCTCAAGAAGACCTTCCTCCTGAGTCTTCTTTTCCTCTTCGGCCCAGACCTCGCCGACAGTCTCAGTTTTGGTGCGGGCTTTGAGCTTGCGGTCCTCTGGAATATCCTCTTCTTGGAATTCCTTTTCTTCCTCTGCCAATATCTCACCAACGGTCTCGGCTTTGGCACGGGCTTTAAGTCGGCGATCTTCCGGGACTCCTTGGGCCTCGAGAGCCTTGGCCTTCTTCTCTTCCTCGGCTTCGAAATCGCCGACTGTCTCACCCTTCTTGCTGAGGGCAGAAATCCCGTTGCGAGGAAGAAGGTCAACAGCCACGGCAGAAGAGTGGACCTGGTGAACTGTTAGAGCAGAGCTGTTTTCGTGCTGGGAAATAGTACTTACACTAAGTGGCGCAGCTTGCACAGCGGAAATAGCCGCCAAAATGGTAACAGCGGACACCGAGGTGAACTTCATTTTGAAAACAGAGGTTGGATCTAGTGAAAGTGGGACAACGAGTTAAAACAAGATATCTTCACAGAAGATATGATGAGTCTGACCCGCAGAAGCGAAGTAGGAACGTTCGGCAGAAGGAAGAGAAGAGTGTGCTGGTTAGTTGATTCCAGTGATAAAATTATCAGGACCATTGGACTGGAGCCTCATTGACTATATATACTTGTATTTCTATATCGCCAGCCTTTGAGAGTAGACATGCAGGCCTACGTGTTCTACAGGATAGAGCTACAGGTGACGGGCAAAACGACTTGTGCCGGATAGACACTGCCGATTCGTTAAAGTGCCAAGAATGATACACCTTCTGATCAGCTCCAAGGTCTGGACTTGGTCAATCACCCGTGATAATCTGCCACGAGGGGGCCCAAAATAAAGGAACGGCGTCGCCAATCGGAGAATCGGTGGATGTGCGAATATAGGCGCCCCAGGATCGTTGAACAGCTTCAAACATGCTCCTAACATAATCAACCAGTATTATGTGCATGGTGTGATCTTGAACAGCGACTATGGATGAAGAAATCGATTGGCGGAGAACAGCTGGGTAGGAACTGTTTATGACTCGACTTTCCCCAGACGCTGGGAGCTGACGTTGACACGGGGTCAGTGCATAAAGGCAAACAAGCTTTGTGATGCTGCGACGAGAACGTCGATCATACAAAGCTAAGGTTTGAATCTAGGGGAAATGAGCCAATTATCCAGTCGTAAGACTGCCACCTAGCTATATCAATCGCAGGGTTTATAGCAAAGTGACAAAAGCCCTTGTGGAGCTTGGTACAGTTCTTCGACCTAGTTCAAACTCATACCCAGAATTACATACCAGGTCATGAGAGAGCCGAGGAGCCATGGAATTACTCTACTTCTGAAACAACTACAAAAGCAACTATACGTTTCAAATAGATGAAAATGATTGCACATTTGTCTCAAAGCGAGTTCATTTTACGTATCTGATGTCACGAGATCAAGACCGCAAGCCTCTTATGGTCTATATTTCAACGTCTCCAAAATCGTTCGCAACACTAGCTATGGCAGCATCTTCTCATTGCGCTTCATATATCTCTATCTCTAGTTTCTACTCTTTGTTTTCCATCTTTTAAATTGCCAGCCCTACAACAGTGTCATGTCCCTGCTAAAATACCACCCTGTCAGCAGTGGCTTGGAAGATGTCCAGGCGCACTTGATTTCTAGTCGAAAGCAACACAGCTCTCAATCACAGCATTCAACTCTTGTCACCATCTTGTTTGGATTCGGTCTCTTTGCATCTGGTGTCATTTGCACCTTGTGGGCAATGGAACTCCGCTTAAGAATTTTCCCCCCTTATACATACGAGAGTGGGTTTAAGGAAGATACTTTGCGTAAGTGCTATCAAAGAGTGTGATGAGAATAACAGAGCTGACAATGACGCCCAGTGCCCTTCGAACGCATCCAATTAGAACAAGTCAGGTTTGGGACCCCAGTTGACTTTGAGGCAGACGGCCACGAAGTCCTTGTTGCTGGTGCCGACGAAAAAGTCTATGTTGGAACCCCATCTGAAGAAATTGACGATGCTTGGACTCGTCTGCTCTGGGGAAGGTATTTCTCCATATCGGAGGAGGAGGCAAAGAATCTATGGGGCGAGGACTATATGACCTACTGGGATCACGACAAGAGTGGATGGACAGGAGGTTTTGATATGTTCCATCAGCTTCATTGTCTCAATCAAATCCGACAAGCTCTGCATCGAGATGTTTACCCTGAGATACCGCTTCATGGGGAGGTTCACACTGGTAAGATCATTATCGTGGTGAAGCACCAGGCACGAGATGCTAACAGCTGCTTAGAGCATTGTATCAACCACATTCGTCAATCCATCATGTGCTGGGGCAGTACGGCCGTTACGCCAATCAAATACTTCCCTGGATATGGCCATGGATATGTGAAGAGCGACGTTGTTCACACATGCAGGAAATTTGAGCCGATCAGGGAATTCGTTTCGGACCGGTTCAATGGGAGTCTCCATGTTCCACGACCCAGTGGGTACGTGGACAGGTTTGACCATGCCTTTTGAAGAGGCTAGCCTTTTGATAACATACTGCGTGGTATCGTACCCATACTTCTGGGTCCCTATCGCGTCCATATCCTAACGAGTGGTTTTTGAGAATGATGAACATAGTTACGTCGACTCCAAATGTAAATACCATGAAGATTATAGAAGGGGCAAAGTGGCGTATGTCTGAACTTCTGGTGGAAGTTGCGAAGGGACGTATCCCAGGCCTTCATTGCTTGTTTCATTATTTTCTGAACCCACAGGGTATGGGAATAGGTGATAAAGGGCATAATATTTGGGAGAGCCGACGTTACCATTTAAGAGAAGACTTATAATGTATGCTCAATAATATATGTAAATTGCATAGGCGGTCAATTGCGAATCACCTGCGTGGACTTAACTGCCCCATTTAATTTAAAGTTGAAATAGAGTTAATCTAGGAGTAATTGGTCAATGAGAAACCGGTTTCATGGTTTATCTGAATGATAGACGGTGTTGGACTCGTGCACCAACCAACTTGCTTCAGTGCAAGATGCGCGAATTTACGCCCAAGGAAGGTTGCTCGCACTTGGATGTTAAGTGTGCCAGACTAGCTTCAAAAGAGCTTGGTCAACTTTTCTATGTCTAGGTTTATCAACATTGAAGGTTCTGTGTGAAGATTTGAGGACCATCATATCTGTACTTCCTTCTTCAACCAGTTCCTCCAACCATTGTCAGCAAGAATATGCCGCACTCTGGCTTCAAGCCACTCCGTGTTTCCCCAGAATCCCCAAGACGCCTGAAACCGACACCAGTCAACAAGAGCAGTTTCCCAATGCCGCACAAACGTGACCCAGTCATAGTCCGCAGGGCCTTTTCCTGGTGGCTTCTGGTTGAGAAGCGTGTCCCGATACAGTTCCAGCAGTGTTCTCTCGCCCTTGTCCATTGGCAACTGATCAGGAATATCTTCGTGGTGCGTCAGCATCTCCACAGGGACTGAGCAGGTGAACAGTTTCGCAAGGTCACAGCCACCGACTCCCAGCCCGGCGTACTGAAAGTCAAAGAATGCTACTTTATCGCCGGCCTGAGTCGTGAAGAGGTTCTCAGACTTGATATCGCCGTGAATGTAGGTCTCGAAGGACCTACCAGAGGGGGTGAGGAACTCGGCCACCAGCTCAGCAATTGAAGATGATGAGCCTTCGACAGGATCGCAAAAGGCGGATGACCATTCCGAATACTCGTCCCTACACAGCGATCCGTATTCCTTCCTTCGCGTGGTGAGGTATGTGTAACCACCGTTCAGCCAGAGCTTGGGCTCGGCGGCTCCATTGCCAGCCGCTCTCCTTTCCGCTTCCTCAAGCGGGGCAACACGAACCTGCCTAGATCGTCCGGCAACGAGGCCCAAGAGCTGCTGTGATACTTTGCCAACCAATCCAACGCAGCATGCACTTGGCGGCGGTTGAGGACCAGCCTCTTCTCTCCCGCGACAGGAAACTGCGGCCGCAGGTCGGTGATGATAGTCGCTGTGAGCCCCTGCAACTCCTCCGCCCGTGATTTACCTTTCATATCTAGAGTGGAGGCGAGACACTTTGCGACCGCGACATCATCCGCCAAACGCGGCGCAATCTCTTGATAGAAGTACTGCTCCACCTCGTAGCTCAACATCTTGCGAAGGTGGCCCTCGTCTCCTCCCCCTTAGCGCGAGGCGGTGAGATGAGTTTGATGATGAGATGGTATGTGCCGTCTGCTTGTTGCAAAATCGTGGGCGATGTTCTGGTTGAGGTAACTTGCCCATCTGTGTCAGAAACTTTTGCGGTGATGGCGCAGATATGTCCGTAGCCGGCCCAGAGTGTTTGGAGTTCGATTAGGGAGACAAGTTCGAGTCCCAGCCATGAGAGCATGATTTCGGCGACGCGCCGGGGTTCCGTGAGGGACGCCATAGTAAGCGAGAGACCGGCTATCGTGAGAATGAACTGGGTCGGTTCGAAGCTGACACCTGACGATGACGTTTGAGCGACGAGCTGGGTGAAGTTGGATGAGAGTTGCTGAGATTGAATGAACGCCGAGGCCATTTCGAGAATGTGGCTTGTGTGGGTCCGGTGACTTCACCTCTCAACCTGGGTGGCCTAAGCTGAACGACGCTCATATGCTATAACGGGAGGAGCGTTGTAATCGCAAACGAAAGATTCTGGAATTTTGATCCGAAGAGAGGTTCAGTTCCCCTGAAAAAGAGCCGGAAAAAAACAATCAATCACCGCCTAATATCTCATGCAAGCCGTGTCTTGGTCTTACTCCATCAATCCTGGGCAGGCTGGAGCAGAAAGCCAGCAAGGTTCTGATATTGCCAGCTGTCGCCATCTGTCGAGACTATCCTCTAGAAATTTAGGTGGGCGATTTTGCCTTCAATGGACGTCATCGTGAAATCCCCTCACATAACAGCTTATGAAGTGAAAGATGAATGAGAAGAAAGCTTCCAGTGCAACAGCGTAGTAGACAACTATTTGTCCCAGCCCGTTGCGGTGTTTGGCCATCAGGGTGTCCTTTCGCCCCACCTCATAGGATCGCCACATAAAGCCGAACGAGGTGCTCAAAGGTATTGCAACTCTTGAAACTTGAGTGCCACCACCAGCAGTCTCGCTTCCTTTTCGTGCGCAAACTCCGAAATTCCCTACACAATGGGGAGAACTCAACCATCGGTTGGACAGCCGCCAGCGGCGTTTCGTAAGGCTGCGCGCGCCAAGAAGGCTAAAGTCACCCTCAATCAACTCATACCATCGTTGCTCCCTACACATCCACGAGCTCGTCGCGGAGTCGATACTGCTGAGCTTATCGTCGAGCCAAAACCCACGACAAAACAACCCACACCTTCAAACCAGGGGACTGGCGATGCCTCTCACAATGGTTCGCTGCCTCGCATCCGGCTTCAAGTGGCGGATACTCTGACGGCTGCTCACTCAATGGTAGCTGGGATGTCAATTCCAGACAGACCGGCGGACCTGAGCAACAAAGAGACGCGAGTGGCCATCCTCAACATGGCCTCTCCACTCACACCAGGCGGTGGCTTCGTCAATGGAGCCAGCAGCCAAGAAGAATCTCTATGCATGCGCACCACGCTGCTTCCATCTCTTAAAGACGAATACTACCGTCTACCGGAACTCGGGGCTATCTATACATCAGACGTTTTGGTATTCAGAGACGAGGATTCCAGCGAAGTGCTGGAGAAGAAGGATCGGTGGTTCGTTGACTGCATCAGCGCCGCCATGCTGCGGAACCCCGAAACCGAGCGAGATGAGACGTCGGGATTCAGCTACTACGTACATGAGAAAGACCGCCAGCTCATCTTGGAGAAGATGAAAGTGGTTTTACGGGTTTGCCAAATTAAGGGTATTAAGAAGATTATCCTCGGCGCATGGGGCTGTGGCGCTTATGGGAATCCGGTAGCCGAGGTTGCGAAAGCGTGGAGAAAGACCCTTGTCCCGAGGAACGACACGAAAGGAAAGAAGAGGGGCAACAAGGAGACATGGGACGGGATTGAAGATGTGGTGTTTGCCATCAAAGACCCCGGTATGGCTGATGCTTTCGAAGAAGCCTTTGGCAAGGGGATTGAGCGAGATGAGCTGGATGAGGTTAGCGACGTCGAAGCTAGTGAAGTGGACGCGGATGAGAGAAACAAAGTGGAGCTTCAGGCCAGGATCGGCGAGTTGAAGCAGCGTATTGAGGCGACATCCAACTTGCAGCTCAAGAAGGGACTTGACTCGATTCTCATCGGCCTCATAAGTCAGCTGCCCCCAGACACTGAAGAGGACAACGGTGGAAACGAAAAAGGTAGCGACGAGGTAGAAGGTGATAGCGACGATGAGGATGATGAAATATGAACACCGGTTGCTCTTTGGACCTTTCGCCTGCAAAGTTGATGTTGACGCATTACCGATCGAGGACTGTAATATCTATCATAGTTTTTCTGTTCATTATCTCGAGGTCGCCTATGTCATGTTGCTGACTATGACTATAGCTTGTTATCTTGCATCGGACCTTCTCTGCTCCTTCCTTCCTCTCACAGTAGTCTCGAATGTCAAAATCCCTTTGCATAAAAAGGCTATGATCACTGGTCTTATGAGTTTAAGGTTTATGTAAGAAATCTGTTATTTATTTTTCTTCGTGTGTTTCGGTATTCTGAACAGAGAATACTTGGTACATGAGAAGCTCTAATTCACTTAGTGCGGGACTAAGTCGAACTCCAGCGCAACGGCATCCGGCATAGTACGAGCAGAGTCCCTAGTCGTGTCCGAGGCCGATCTCATTTATGTATTGACCATGTCCATTACTCCGAGGCTCTGAAGGTATATAAATCTAACGCAGATCAATATAGGGGAACTTTTCATTACCGTCATCTGGTCGAATATGTTGTAGCCCCAGCTGTAACACAAGGCGCTCTGTTGAGCTTTGCCATCGCGGCTGCTCGCGAGAATGAGAAGACGAACATTCGCTTCAATGAGGTCTACCTTGCCTATTGTGTCCATTTCGAAGTGGAAAAAGATAGCCAACCCTTTGCACGCTTTGAAATGACAACCTCCAAAGACTTTGCGCCGTTGTACCAACAGATTCTAAACAGAAGCGATATCAGAAGTAGCCGCGTGAAGGCACTTAGCCCTGGAGATGTTTTCGAGTTTTCTTATGCAAAGAATTACAAGAATTAGCATGGGAGCTATAGACAGCCTCGAGGATCCAAGTAGCTAGGTAATTAATTTCGATTTCTACAACCTTCCTAAAGTGCGCGGGTTCCTTTATGATGAGACGTTGCATCGTGTCTTGGGATAAGAATTTCCTTGAATTTCACAAGGATAAACCACCTTATGAAAGCGCCAAATTAAAATTTCTCCTCGCAAGTTTGGTCTTGCAATGAACGGCTTGTTGAAAGCTGGCCCGATGTAGATACACTGAAGGCTATGGTCCCTTTTGAACCTTGAACCGGCCTAGATAGTTGCTGTATAATGGCTTCAAAATCATACCTATGCGAGACAGATGTGGTATGTTTTTCTGCTCACATTAATGGGTTGCCAACTGGTTATAAAATTCCCTCTACGTCCAAGATATGTTATATTTACAATTCGTCGATACCGCGGACTTAATTGCAGACTTTCAAGCAAGCTATTATGAACTGGAATACTTCAGCACTTCCGATGTTACTAACGGAAATGTAATCCGGTCACTCATTGTACGCAATATGGACCGCCAATATTGCATTAATCTTCGCGTGGTTTCTAATTGTATCACTGAAGAAGCTTCGCCAAAACTCATTACAAACGGTTGAGTAATACCACGGTTTTCAGGTCCAGTAGCCATGGTTTCTGGATCCTGTCGTTAAACTTTAATGCCTAATGAGACGGGTCCGGACGTTTCTACTACGAAGAAGACCAGACCCCTCGGAAGCCTATTCATGGGAAGAACAGGGATTGACTGGATGCAAAAACGTCTCTCAAGCCCGAGATCTAGGAACCAGTTCTCTTCTGCATGCTAGAGCCGTAGTCGCCTTACGAGTGTCCATAGTGAACAAAACCAACACCCTGGACAAAGGCACATGTTCCCTTCTGAGAGGCTTGGTGAGCTTAGCCTTTATAACCTGTTCCGTGTTAAAAATGCATACCTGAAGTACCATTGAAAACTGTGTCTGCTTGAATGGCAGAGGACCTGTTCAACTGGGGCAGCATGCGATGGAGGTTCGTGTCGTTTCCAAACAAAACGAGATTAGACTCGATCAGCTCGAGGTTATAGGGTGAAAGCGGTGGCCATCAGTGATTATTCTACTTGTTTCAATTGAGATGTAGCATAACCAACACACAGTAGTGCAAGAAAATAAACATCATTCAACTTGACTTTGCATCTGTAACGCAACCGGCTCGCTTCTCTTTTCCTCCGATCCACGCAAGTACATGTTTCTGATAGAAAGATCAGGAATCTTTATTGCTATAATTCGGATTCAAAACCGTATTATATCATCGCCTAAATGCAATCACCTACAAGGGTTATTCTTCTGAATATATCCTGTACTTCATTCGCACCAGTTGCTCACTTAATATGTGCGAGGCTTTCTGGTCTATTCAGGGCTGATAGCGTCCTCTTAGCACATTAACTGCAAAATTTACACCTTTATCAGAAGGTTTTAGCGTCTTGGTTACCTCGGCCTTTGGGCCGTCTCTTTTCCTACCTACACTGCCGGAATTCCTCTCGCTTGTTTTCGGACTCCAAGCCAGCCTTGCTCGCTTTCATTGCATGGTCATTTGGCCATACCTAATGTCCGTTTGAACCCTCAAGAGGTTGTCAACCAACTTGATGACGACACGTTTACGCGCTGAGCCTCTCAAGTCAGGCGTTTGGAGCTCATATATGCCAACTCGGAGACGCCGCCTTGGCTTTTTTCTAGCTCGAGCTGCCTGAAACCGTTGTCGACCATGAAAGTACAGTCATACCCCGCCTACTTGTTGAACTAGATCGCCGATGAGATGGAGACCGAGCAATGTAACTGTAGGCGTCCCTTCCCTCTGCAGATGGGCTGCTGTACAGCAGCTGCAGTGCTGCGCCGATCGCCGCGCCCAACGTCAATCAACCGAAAGCCACGTGGAAAGGACACATAGACAAAGTCTTAAATACTTCAGAATTGAAAATCATGATGTTCTTCAGTCTCCCTCGGCTGCACAGTCTTTGAAAAAGGGTCGCACCAGTATTAGCGTGAGTCCCTACTGGTACCGGTGTTGGCTCAGTTTCGAGAGACTCAGGAATTTTTTCCCTAATCTCCGTAGCAGCTTTTGCGGGTCATCTTCCCAGGTTGTAAGAGTAAGCATGGGGGCCGTTGGGGGCCGTTGGGGGCTTCTTTGTGGGGAGAAATAACTTGCATCAAATTTCGAGCCCCAACAGACAGCCGGTCTGCTTCCTCTAGGAGCCTTGGAAGTCTTCAAAATTAGCCTTTCCTGTTGCCCCAACCCTGAGGTACCTTGAATCTTGATTATAAGTCTTTGACAAGGGCTCATGAGACCTCTTAGAACCCAAGGTCCATACCAAACGTCGGTTCAAGGTTGCGTATGACGCTAGTGGTCGCCGTACTTGATGGATGGAAGTACTCTTCTAGTGCCACTCATTCCAGTAACCTGGCAGCAATTCCATGCAGCCAACAGCCTCGGAGTAGCTGGTTCGCAACGACCGAGGCAATTTCCTTGGCTTTCTCGTTAACACGAAGCACCGTTAGTCATGACACATAACGGATTGTGGTAACATGAAGGCTTGTAGAAATAGAAAGTTGCTGGTTTTGTTAGAGAATGCCGTTACGAACAGGATCCTAAGGTTTCATGTTATTTCCCACAAATATCCTGTCAAAGGCAAATTCGTGATGCTGTTGTAACGCTTCTTGCCCTGAATTTTCTGGCTCTGTTAACTCAGAAAGGCCCATCGTCAGGCTCTGAGGCCCCGGTTTCTGCCACAGCATGCGTGTAGTTTTCTACATCACCGTAAGTTTTCAAAACGAGTGACTCTACCGTTTTGTTGTATGTTCCACTCCGGATCGTCGCATCAAACAAATAACTGTACTTCAGCAAGTGCCCCAAGGAGCTTTCACCACACGTATTGGTACACTGACTGGAAGGATTCCGTTTATTGCCGTTTCTCGCCCCGAGCTCAAGAAAGTCGGGACAACGGAAACAGCATAAGGCGACACCCCACCCCACCTATCCATGCTTTTCCAGGCAGCAGGGGACGCTGGCATCCATCCTTCGCTTCATTAGGCTGACGGGGATGCAGGGCGGTAGCGGCTTTTACTCTTTGAACCAAACGATAGGAGGAGATAATTCTTGTTCTATGGTGGTTGAAGCCTGACGAGATTGAATATGCTGGAGTAATTGTGCCCGATGCCGATGCAAGCTTGGACTCTATGTCGTAGAAGTCAGATACCTCAGGTTAATCGAAAATAACAATAAGAAATCATGTAGAAAGACTGACAGGGCATGATGGTTGATAATTGAGATCGACCTGATGAACATTAAAGCCTCCCTTCCCTCTCAACTCTTTGTTTCTCAGTCGATCCGCCTGCGATCTAGCGCTCCATGTTAGATACAGACGAGCAAAATGGATCCTAAGCACGCAAAAAATCAATCTGGGAGACGCACAGAGGACACCCACCGTACACGACGCCGTTCAACTGCGCTGCCTCCTGCCTACCATTACTCAACCAAAAGCTTTCCTTCTTCGCACCCATACGTTACCTCGATGCTTTCGAACCCAAAAGTATCGTCAGCGCATCCCACACATGACACTGCTATGCAAGGGCACGACCCAGCGCACACATTGTACACTGCATGGACTTTCCCACAGCATAGCCATATCCCTTCACAACAGACCACCGCCTCCTACCCCAGCAACTCCTCAACGCACGACGAGGGCTTCCGGCAATTAGATCATCCTGGTCAGCAAAACGACAGCCGTGTCAGGACGCCACATGAAGCACTCCAAGACAGTGTCCATATCTTCAATCCAAGTTTGGCATACAGCATTCACCAAGACGGCCCTTATGCAGCAAGTATGGGCGGTACTGACCTTTCGACAACGTCTTCAAGCACCTCAAGTCTCTATTATCAGCCAAGCCCATCGACCACAACGCCGAGCTCTGCGTACACCACAATTCTCCCCCAGTCTCCAATCTTTGCGGGAATGGGTGGCTGGGCTGATACTATGGCAAAGCTCCCCTACCCCGCTCCACCACCAGAGGATCATCGTGGTCGCGAGCACCTGCGGTTGAACCTCAAGAATCTTCCTGGCAGATCACCGCGTTCTGATTCCACCGAAGTGCATCGACACGACAGGTTAGTATCTCCGGCTGCACCACTTGTAG